CAACCATTCCGATGGCCGAATATATATTTAATCCTCGGCTCTTTCATGTCACAAAATAAATCTATCACTTGGAAAATCCTAAGTAGCTGACATGCTAACCACAGAGATGATCTGTTCAGCGGCGATGTGACACAAGTCCGAATCAGCGCAATACCCTTTCCCAGACAAAGATGAAGGGGAAAACAAGCTAATTATCCTCGGTCCATGGTGCAGAAAGCTGGGCTTCATGACATATTACTGGTCCAAGTTTTAGAATATGAAGATGCAGAGGTTCAGGGAACCCGGAAAGCTAGGTTTAGCATGTCTTCTGTCCGCTATTTATGGTAGGGTGTCCTGGTGACCTACCATATACCAGGTGTATCTTGCTCACGGACATGCACCGGCCGCCCAGAAAAGGGAATTGAGGTTTCTTAGAGGCATATACAGATTGACAATAAGCAAATTGTGGCCACAGCACGGAAAATCCATGGGATAGCAGGGCTCAAATTCACAACAAATGCACAGCCATTACAGGCGCTAAGATATCTGAGTCGTGATTATGTGCGTTTCCAGATGGCTCATGTGCAAATTCATACAATCATATAGGAGACTACTACAAGCCATCCTCATCTCTCCAACTGGCTTTAGTCTCTGGTGCTCACAACGAGAAGCCCATATATTAAGTGCAGATCTCTGAATCATTCGGAACCCGTGCTCACTCCTTCTTACGATGGGGACCGACCGAGACTCACTCGGCGCGTCATGACCACGCATTCCTACTCCGGCTGGGTGTCTCCGCTCGTCTCGAAAAAGGTCCCCATGATGGGCTGGAAGGCACTCCGTGCCTCGCCCACAATCTAGCTAGCTACGCAGACAGTAATTAACCTAGTACTTAGCTACACAAGAAAAGTGCTAACCAAACGAACCTCAAAGACTACGAGACAATGCACCAGGGAATAAGAGAAAAACCGTTCGTAAAAAAACAGTCTGCCCTCCGCTGCTCGCGTCCATTGGCATCCGTCCTGCGCCGCAATTTCTACCACCGCGAGGTCGATGTAGACTTGAGACGGTTCAACCGTGTTTGGGTTTAAGCGACATGAACGACGCTTGCGGGATGAGGCGCTCCAGGAGTTCTTGCATGCCTGGTTGAGGGATCAAGTACCCGATTAAACCTTCCAACAGCAACGACAACGACAACTGCACCGTCCTCGAACTGTCCTTGAACCGTTCTTGCTCAACATTAACACGCTAGTGTTGGGGAGAAGCGGTACTACGGATGGACCAATCATGATCGATTGATCATCCGTGGCAGTGGTGATAAGATAAGGTTAGGCGCTGAGAGGCTTCGCCACCAGTCTAGGGACTAGCATGGTGTTAACCGGGCCGGACCGAGACTAGTACCGCGGTCCATACTGTACGTAACCGGTTACTCGGTCACACCAGCTACTTGGTCATTGCCTTTGTGGATGGCACAGTTGCTCGTTTCACTCCATTCTTTTTGTGCATTCATGTATAATAGTATCAGAGCAATGTAACTGTATTTTTTTGCAGACAGAACACCTTTCCTCACAGAGAAATGAGCCTCCCTTTGCGTCTGGTGATGGGTGACACCCAATTTCCTTATTTGATACCATGTTTCTGGTGATCCCGGAGGGCTTTTCTCGACGACATGACACATTGCCAGGAAGATACTTTGGACTTAAGAATTTCATAATTACTACTGTATAATTAAGCAAATTTCTCTTATGTTGAAGGACTGCTGCACTTCCAATCTTGAAAATTGGAGAGTGTGTCATTTTGGAGGTGGATTGGACTGTTCCCACTGATTTCTATTAGTACAAAGCATCTATTGCATAAATGAAGGGGTGAAACGAATAGTGAGGCAAATATATGTGCATGACAGAAGGCCCCTTAATTTTTGCAATTTTCTTCCAGACATAAGACACCAAGCAATTGAAAAAGCTTGTTTTGAGTGATGAGAAATGTCAAATTAAATAACTGAAAGGAAAACATCAGAAATCATGAAATAAACATACCAGCTCATGGTAGGGGTGTCTAACTTTCACTGGAAACTCTTTTTCGCTGAGGTCAGACCAACTTTGAAGAGCAATTCAAGGTGGCTGAGTACTGTCCTCGTATTCCGAGGTTATCTTATCATCAGCTTACTAAGCATAACTGACCCTGGTTACAGCCGGTGTACGAGACCAATACAAATCGGTCTAGTCTCGGGCCCTGGCCGACTTCCTGGTTTTGCCCGATTTTGACCTATCGAAATAAAATATTCATGGAGGTCTCAATAGCTCCCTTGAATTTCTGATACTTGGTGCACAGGTACTTCAGATGCTTGCCTATTGAGTAGTACTGTTGGTTTTTTTGACACCCCCAAACCCAGCACTCAAATTTTAGGCGACTGTAGAGTGACCAAGATGCCGGTTATCTACAGTACCATTTACGGTACGGTACGGCACGGTCCAGCCCAAACGCGGTTTGGACCACTGGGACCGCGAGACTTGTCATGACAGGCAGATGGCCTCCTGGTTGACATCTTCCGGCTTTCGTTTTCTGAACAGATTATAGTTTATTTTGAATGTCAAAACATATGTAATGGTTTTAATGGGCATAGTCGGGGAAAGCGCCTGAAAGCAAGGTGAAAGGGGCTCCAGAGAAGGGCGGTGTGACATTGGAGTCGGCTCCACGTGACACTCTGCTGAGCGTGTCACACAGCATCCCGCACAGCCACCTCCGGCAGTGCTGCTTTCCCCCCTGGCTGCCTCTAAGTCAGGAAAATAAATTTGGGAGGATGTAGAGTGTCAGGGAGTACATTGAGATGAATTTTATACTGCTGAATAGAATTTTTACTGCACTGAGGCATCAAACGGTGAATTTTGGTGCTGGGACATCACGGTTGGACCAGGAACCGTGCTAAACTGCGGTTTTCCCCATGTGGTACCGCGGTCCGGCCTAAATGGCCGACGGTACAAACAAACACGGTACTATTACTGGTATTAGCCGAACCGTGCTAGTCCCTACACCAGTCACTGCCTCGAGTAGAGGGAATGAGCGAGAAAGTGTTCAATACCCCAAGTCTCCTCTCTCTCCGACGCCGTCTTTGTCAGACTAATGTTCGATCTGATATGCCGGTGGGCCGAAATACCAGGAATAAATGCTGATACTTTATGTAAAGAAATAACAGTGTAATCTCCTTTCATACCTCCGGCGTCAGCCCAGCATAGTAATCCGTCTCCTGTGCGATCTCCAGCGCCGCCCATCTACCCAAGGATTTTGAAAGTGCTCTTGGTCAAGGTGAAGAACAGAGGGGTGCCCTTGGTAAATTTTGTTCTTCCAATTTCATCCAACACTAGAGAGGCTATACGCCAAGAACGTTCAACGCACCAGTTGAACATGAGCGTCCGCGGAAGAGGAGCGAGTTGGATGAACGAGGAAAGTGTCATGTCTATTCATAGACATGCCAAGACCATGGCGTTGTTGATCACGCCACGTCGCCACCTACGGAGATTTATTTAATTTTTCTGCTCAAGTACATACTTCCACACTGCACAGCACAAATCCTCAGGTCTCTATCGCCAATATCGTCGTCAAACTCCTGTCATAGTCGACCTGCCAGTGAATAAGGACACTGCGGCAGATCACTGTAGGTGTTCCTGGGCCCCGCAGTCGATATTTCATCCTGGGCGTCAATCAATCGCTCGAGCCGATCGGCAGCCGGCGGCGGCCTTGAGCTTGAGAGGTGAAAGAAATTTGAACGTTCAACAACCACGGAAGGCAGGACCCAGCGACGTATAGCACCGACCTTGGCCTCTTAATATGCGTTTACAACGAGACTTATCCGGACCTAGTCTCTAATGAGCAGCTTGTTGGTACTTAGGTGTGTTGCGACCACTTGGGGATACTTGCGGTGTGCTGACTCCTCCCGGTCGCCGAGATTGCCAAATATGTCAATATAGGCGTTCTCCGATCGTTTACTGATTTGCACGAAGGTCACAGAAACTGCGCGGCAGGCTGCGTCTGCGGACCTCTGGTCCCCGCAGTCCCAAACCGCATGTGTGCGCCACCCTACGAGCCTGACAAGCCTTCCTTCAAAGGAATTCCGGTCAACGTGGAAAATCATATAAAACCCCACCCCTCGAATGACATTTCAGTTGCAATTTCGCCCTCAGCGCTTCCTCGACAATGCTTTTCGAACGGCTCAAACACTTCCTTCTCTCTGCGTCTCTAGTCTCGCAGATCCTAGCAAAATCCTCTCCGCCCTCGACTACGTTGGTCAAACTCCCTTATGGATCCTTCGAAGGGAAGGAATCAGGAAGACTCGTCGAGTTTCTCGGCCTCCCATTTGCCGCCCCACCGTCAGTCATCATACTTTGAGAGAACTCGCTTTCCACTGTGTTTCTTATTTTGCTTTTCTTCATCTTCCCAGTGTCAGGAAGCTCAGATTCGAACCACCTACCGACCCTCTCGCGTTCAAGGGTGTCCGCCAAGCCACGGCATTTGGTCCTGCTTGCCCGCAGCAAGCGACAGATCTTGGGGGCATACCTTTCCCTAGCCCTGCTAGCGTCTCTGAGGATTGTACGCTTCATATAACTTCGGTGACGCGCGTCCACTTTGGCTGACGGGACCTTAGGCCTTTATCTCAATGTGATCAAACCAGCCAACATATCAGAGGGCGAGAAACTCCCCGTCATCGTCGTGAGTCCCTCTGATCAAGAAACTCGACGTTGGTCACTGACCTTGACGTTTTCTTTCGCCTTTTTCCCAGTACATTTACGGAGGCGAGTGCAATTGACCGAGATTAGTGCTGCCCTTGCTAACGATGCCTGGCAAATCAGGAGGATTCGCAATCGGTGACACCTCACAGGTCCCCGGAGGCTCTCTCGTGCAGCGGTCCATCGACCTCGGAGCCCCAGTAATTCTTGTGACGACTGCGTATCGCCTCAATGGCACGTAACTTCTTTTTATTTCTGGTGTCCAGACTCACAGAGCATTGGCGCTCATTCGGGTTATAGCATTTGGGTTCTTGGGCAGCAAAGAGGTCAAAGCTGCAGGAATCGGGAATGTGGGATTGCGAGACCGTGAGTGACTGCCACCAAATTGAAGCCGCTCCTTGAGAATGAGATCTGTACTAATTGACTTGCCCATAGAACGATTCGCGCTTCAGTGGATTCAGAAGAATATCGGCAAGTTCGGAGGCGATCGCAAGAAAGTTACCATGTGGGCTTTTACTACAACTAAAACAATTTACCTTTTACTCAATCGACGTTTTCAGTTGGGGCGTTAGCGCTGGGGCCATCTCCGTCGCCATGCACATGCTAATAAACGATGGGAATCAAGCAGGTTTATTCAAGGGGGCTGTCATGGTACGCGGCGCCTTTTGTCCCTTCCTTTCCGCCTCTTTCTCAGCCCCAACCCAACTCTTTAGGAATCCGGATCTCCCGTTGTCTTGCCCGATATCGTCAACCAACAAGGGCACTTTGACGCCCTCGTCGCCGACACCAACTGTACCGACGCAGCCGACAGGTTGGAGTGTCTCCGAGACGCGCCTTACGCCGACCTCGTCGCCGCCGTCAACCGGAGACCCACTATCAGCTCTTTCCAAAGTCTCAAGCTCACCTGGCAGCCAGTCGTAGACGGAAACATTATCGTTCGCGATCCACAGACGTCTGTCCAGAGGCTCAAGTTTTCAAAGGTGCGCCGGGGTGAAGGAAATAGGACTTTGGCGCTTGGCTAACGCGCTGGTTGCAGATCCCAATCATGACGGGCTGTGTCGAGGATGAGGGAACGTAAGTTTCCTCGTGTGCTTAATGATAGGTCCGTTGGTGACCTTGATTTTTTCAGATTGTTTTCCGTGGTCATGAGCAATATAACGTGCGGCATTTCTTCAAGGCTTCACATATGGTCGAATTTTTGACTCACGTAACTGCCGATAAACAGTAATAATGCTCAATTCCTCGAATACGTGAAGAGCAAGTAAGAACCCTCCGTTTTATTTGAGTATCTTCTCCTAAAGCTTCAACTCCTCTTTCAGCTACTTCAACGAGATATCGGACAAGGATTTGAAAGCTCTGGAAATTGCGTACCCCGATGATGTTACCCAGGTAAGTAGCACTGCACCCTCTGTCTCCACTTTCCTCACTCATGTTGTCTTTGCATCGTAGGGCTCTCCATTCAACACGGGGACTAATCATGCTCTAACGTTTGTCATTTGTTTCATTGATGTGCTTTTCTTACCTAAAACCTAAATCCCGGATGCGTATACAGCCCACAGTACAAGAGGCTTGCTGCGTTTCAAGGAGATCTGATGTTCCAGGCAACGCGCCGATCTTTCTCGAGAGTAGCATCGAAGAGACAACCTGTTTACGGCTTCAGTACGTTGTTCACGTTGTTTTGTTTTTTCTCATACTTATCTGAATTTAAAGGGTACATGCGTGCTCGTGCGAGTGCCCTTCCGGGCGTTGGCGTTAGTCACGGCGGTGAATTCCCCGAGTTCATGGCCTTAATCACCGATACCGGGTTCATAGCGGCCGATGCACTCCGCGAGTCTCCCTTTTATGTTCTGCTACGCATCGACCTAACACTTGGACGTCTGAACAGTCTACTTCACCCACAACGGCAACCCGAACGCACCCCGGGGCTCTACCAGCCTTCTTCGGAACACGAAGTGGGACGTGTACAGCTCGTCCGCTAAAAACCCACCTCTCTTCACCTTCGTCGACCCTGGGTCGTCCGTCAATATCACCGCCGATACGTATCGCGCTGATGCTATGAAGTTGTTGAACAAGCTTTCCTTGAAGGAGATTGGGAGGTATGGGCTTTGACCAATTCCATTTGCTCCAATCTCGCGCGGATATCTGGTGCTCGAGATGCGTCGAAGTGATCTCGCCGTAGTTGTGATTTTCTATTTTATACCCCTTACCTACGAATCCGGTTTTAGTTCGTTACTATTGGTAACAGCATGAATACAATGTTTATACGCTCACGCGGATGAATGAGGCAAGCATTATTCTATTTATAGCCGTGCCAAGATCAATGTGCTCTTGTGGCAACAATTCGACTGTTGGGGCTGGAACGTGCCTGCCAGCGTAAGCAAAAGGGCATTAGGGCACGGCTAAAATTTATTTAGCTTTCGTCGTCAATCAGGAGAAAATGTTACCGGCGGTGCATCTAAATTGACAACAACAGCGCGCATTGTAGTCTGTGAAACAATGGAACTACATTGTTCTGTGTAGGTAAGTAAAGAGATGTACGCCGACCAACCGGTCGCAATCCAGTTCATTCAATCGGATTCTGTAAGTTGATTTGACAGTGTTGGGTAAATAGAGGTGTGTAGTAAATATTCCAATTGATCACGGCGAACTCCAGACTTATACGACGCCCGAAGGTTAGACCGTAGTGTACGTTGAGAAAAAGTCAATGAACGACTGGGGTAAGGGGATGGCGCGCCCAAGTACTTGCTTGCATAGCGAATTTTCTGACTTCGGGCGCCTATCCTAGTTCGTCCTTGATTGGTACCAGTGGCAACGTGGGTGGGAAGTGACGTCATTTAACCTGGGCATTCGTTCCGAGGTAATTCTACCGGATGATTTTTCAGAACTTCACTAATTCTATAATAGAAGTCAACATTACGAGATAGTATGCAGCGGGGTCTTTTCATTTTGACGCTATTTTCCTCGGAGTTCTCCCGAAGATATCCATATTTTGGATAAGCGCTCTGTGATCACGATCGGAGGAGCCATGGTAGGAAACGATAATCATAGAGATTTCTCTTCCCCAACCCTAAAAGACGTTGCCGTCACTTGATGTACCAGTGATCGACCTCGCGTTGCAGGGCGTGCTCCTCGAACAAAGTCGACTCGCAGCTGACCTCTCCTTCGTTCTCCTCAGACAGACTCTGTCCCCAAAGGATTGGACGTAGAACTTTCCCATCCCCAACCTTCAGGACAGATTAATAGAGACAGGGCGTTGGTCGGTTGCAGATCCTCTCTTTCTCCTCGTCCCCATCCCCATCTTCGAGATCCATGTTTTCATGTTATCTGAGCCACCGAAAGTCCGAGGCTCCACAATAATGCGAGGACCTGGCCGCATCTACAGACACCTCAAGTTCGGGCACAACCTGCGTCATCCGAAGCTTCTAATAACTCTTGCCTTCCTTCCAGCTACAGCTCGTGTGCGCAGCATTATGCGCTTCTTGGGTAGTGCCGAGCAGTCGAAACTGGTAACGGCATGCCAGATTTCAATTACAAACGACTCAGCGTGCGCCGATGAGTTTCCATTTCCTCTTTATTTCTCGATGATTCTACATTTGCGTGCCAGGCTGCGGCGAGGCCGATTTGCCTCCGACCCGCGTGCGTGTGCGGGGTCGGGACCCTGGACTTGCAGCTTCACCATCCATAATTGAAAGCAATTCCGCGCCAAGAGTCCTGCTCGGCAGAGTTTGACGCTGAAGTGATGACGAAATAGTGCGCCTTCCAGACGAAAGCCCTGGGCCACTACCGGAGATACTTCCTAGTTTGGATTTGTTCAAATGGTACGACTCTCTCGTCCATGACCTCACAGCTTCCCTCCACCTCTTCATTGTCTCTCCACCTGCTCTCCACCTGTCCCTCTCCACCTCCTCTTCTCTCTCCCTCGTGGCGATATGCCCAAGGTACCCTCCACATCACCGGCGACAGGCCAACCTCTACACCCGGCCTATGTACACACCACCGCCCTCAACTTTGTTGACAACGCCGGCCGCACTCTCCTACTCCGTGGTGTCAATCTCTCAGGCGCATCCAAGGCCCCGGTCGGCCATCCATCATACATCCTAGAGGACTTTTGGGACAGCGCAGAGGCGGGCGGCGAGAGTTTTGTTGGTCGCCCCCTCAACATCGACGATGGCAGTGCAGATGTCCACCTCGCAAGACTACGTGGGTGGGGCTTCAACATGCTTAGATTTCCCTTTACGTGGGAGGCCCTGGAACATGAAGGACCGTGAGTGCTCCTTGTATTCTCGTTCTTATGTTATAGAGGTTAACGTCATACCTCGCTGGCGTCTCTAGGGGCAAATACGATTATGAATTTATGGACTACACTATTCGTGTGCTATGTAAATGCAGAGATTATGGATTTAGAGTATTCATGGACCCGCACCAGGACACGGTGAGTGCATACATCCTTATCGTCGACGATGGGGAGTGGTGGCCTGCGCTAGCCGTCCCTCTCGTTAGACCACAGCCATCCGCATGGCAACTCCACTTCTATTTTCACCTCTGCCTCGTTGCTTACGCCCTCTTGTTCTCAGTGGTCCCGCTTCTCCGGCGGCTCAGGTGCCCCATACTGGACACTTGCCGCCTGCGGCATCAACCCTCGCAACATCACCGCCACCCAGGCCGCCATCCTCCACTGCGAATACCCTCTCGCACACGAAGCCGACCCCGCTTCTCTCCCCGCCATGGTCTGGTCGACAAACTACGGTCGCCTCCTCTCACAAACCGTCTTCACCCTCTTCTTTGCCGGCCGCGACTTCGCACCCAATGCAATCATCGACGGCGTGAACATCCAGGACTACCTCCAGTCACACTTTATCGAGGCATGTGGCAGGCTTGCCGACCGGATACGAGATTTCGGCAACGGGAGCCTGTTCGAGGAGTGCATCATCGGTTGGGACAGCCTCAACGAGCCGTTCGAGGGTCTGTGTGGATGGGAGGACCTCAACGCGAATCCGGAGAAGCAAGGCTCGACGCTGAAGAAGGGCACGTACCCGACACCTGCGCAGAGTCTACGGTTAGGCATGGGCCAGCCGCAGACGGTCGACAACTGGACGTTCGGCGCCATGGGCCCCTCGAAGAACGGTACCGTCACGATAGACCCCAAGGGCCGCAAACTCTGGGCTGACACCACTGTCGTCCCAAGCCAAGAGGACGAAGCAAGCTCCCAAGACGAGCTGCCGGATGGCACGCACCCGCGCTGGGGTTGGAAGCGCGACGTCTCGAAGTGGCCCCTCGGGACGTGCGTGTGGGCCCAGCACGGTGTCTGGGACGTCGAGACAGGCTTCGTCCTCCGCCCCGACTACTTCCGCTTCAGACCTACGCGCCCGGATGACGATGATATGATCGAAGTTGAGTTCATCTCGGACTACTGGAAGCCACACTGGCTTGCCTATGCAGAACGTATACGCCGCTCGCACCCAGAGGCGATCGTGTTCGTGCAGCCGCCTGTCTTCTCGTACCCCCAAGGATGGACGACACGGAGTTAAAGGGACGCTGTGTTTATTCGCCGCATTACTATGATGGCCTGACACTGATCACACGGCATTGGAACTGGTTCAACGCAGATGCGCTGGGGCTGTTGAGGGGGAAGTATAGCAGTACGCTGCAGGCGGTGAAGATTGGCGAGGCGGCGATTAGGAAGTCGTTGCACCAGCAGCTGGGATACCTACAGGACGACGTTGCGTTGCTCGGGGATGCTCCTTCACCGTCTTCCTCCTCGCCTTACCCGCCCCAACCGAATGATCGACAATCAATACCACAACCCGCTCCCTGGCAAGGCCAGTACCCCACCCTCATTGGCGAGATCGGCACCCCCTACGACATGGACGACAAGCGGTCATATGGGTGGACGGACGGGGGCAAGCACAAGGGAGACTTCGGCCCACAGGAGAAGGCCCTCGACGCAAGCATCAACGCGTGTGATGGAACGCGCCCGCTCAACTGGACGGTGTGGACGTACGTCCCCGACGACCATACGCACGAATGGGGTGATGGGTGGAATATGGAGGATCTGAGTTTGTGGAGCTGGGATGATCTAGAGTCGGAGGAGGAGGAAGAGGGACAGGAGGAAGGGGAGTTCAAGGACGAGGATGTGCTGAATAGCCGGGCGGCGCTGCTGATGGAGGCTGCGACCGACCCGGAGCAGGAGGGTGGAGGAAGTCGGGAGAGGAGAAGGACGAGGAGGAAGCAGCCGTACAGGTCCCTCCCGATGGTTGCTGCGTCGTCGTCGCTCTCGCTCGCCACGCTTGGGGCTGTCTCAGCGACTCTGCCCAACAGCGTCGCACAGAGCCGCGCACGTACTATTTCGCTGGGGTCGACGGCCTCATCGTCGTCGTCGACTTCGCGTCGCGTGCGGAGGTTGGGTCGAACCTCGCCCTATGACGACCTGCCTGGGTACTCGCCGAACCCGTACACGTTCCTTACCGATGGGGCGCGTGCGGTTAGGGCGTTTGCAAGGCCTTGGCCAGTCAAGGTCGTCGGACGGCCGCTGGACGTGAAGTTCGAGATCGGGAAGGCGGCGTTCAAGCTGGTGGTCCGCGTTGACGAGGACGACGCGTACCCTGCGTGGAGAAGCGGCTCTAGTTCGAATTCGAAGGTCGACGAAGAACACGTCGAGGACGTCGGCGAGGAGCTGGAGGAGAGGGCCACGGAGATCTACCTTCCTCTGGTGCACTATGCGCATCAGGCGCTGCTGGACGACGCGGATGCGCGCTGGGCGTACCGGGCTACGGAGAAGAGCAGCACATTGAGGAGGCGGACGAGCATCACACGCTCGATTGCGAGTATGAGCACTGGCACCCTCTTGGCTGGCACGACGCCCCAGATTCCTGGCAAGGTTCTGGCGTACCTCAACGGACACGGACACGAGCAGGCTGCGGAGGTCGAGGAAGAGGGGGAAAGAGGGAGGAGTTTGTCGAGGAACGCATCGACGCCGACACGTACTACGACTTCGACGACTGCTGCTACGCCCCCGCCGATGTCCGAGACCGAGACGGACACGCGCACGATCGTTGAGGTTGACCGGCCGGAGTCGAGGTTGACGGGCGTGGACAGGTTGAAGCAGAAGGGCAAGAATGACTCGGAGAGCGACGAGCCTACTGGGAAGGTCGGCTTTCCCTGTGTTCCTGCTGCGTCATGTCCTGGAAGCGCGTCGTGTGCACCGCTCCTCGTCGCAGACACCTTCACCCCCGCCTTCCTCTCCGCCTCATCTACCGATGTCGCGGATGTCGGCGGCGACATCCATCCCAACAGCGCGTATCCTCTGCTGGACGTCGAGGTCAAAGTCTCAACTGGGCACGTCAAGATACAAGGACAAAAGTTGCTGTGGTGGTACGACGTCCCGAAGGCGGGCGAGCCGGCACGGGAGTACACCCTCGAGGTGCGCAGGCGCGGAGGGGTACTTCCGAGTCCGGAGAAGAGGAGAAAGGAGCGTAAGGAACGGAGAGCGGCAGAGAGGGCTTTGGAAAAGGGGAAAGGGGAGAAGGCAGGACAGCAGGGATGGTGCGAACAGCTTTGTCCCGAGGATGGTGGGTGTGTCGTTATGTGAGAGAGCAAGAGGACGATAGGGATGTGGTAAAAGTGTATTTTTATGCGTGGTATTTTGCCTCGTTTTCTTGGTGCATTATTTCATCGTTTATCGTAACATTATACAGGAACATGACATTACTATAGGTCTACTTAAATGCATTTACAGTCGTATTCTCTTTGATGAACTTGTTCCTTCGTTGGAAAGTGGGGGAAGGAAAGTGTGCTTGAAGGACATGATGAACATTCAACAGACTGGACACTGGACAGACACTATTGGAGACCATGGGAAGGAAGGACGTACTCCGCCTTCCCTTGCGAGAGGCTCTACCTCAAGCTCCTGGTGTATGGAATCTACGTCCTCGAGACAGCCCAGACAGCCCTCATCGCCCAGGAGTCGTTCCGGATTTATGTGATCAGTTTTGGGGATATCGAGGGGAGCAATATCGTAGGGACGTCTTGGTTCAGCGTGCCCATTCTTACTGCCGTTGGTGAGTGGTAATTGGATCTCTTGCGAAGAATGAGAGAGGAAGGCCCAGTCGTATCTGACAAACATTCTTAAATTAGATACTTGTGCCATTCAACTTTTCTACGCCCGTAGGGTGTATGTCCTGTCACAGAGGAAGCCTTTGATTATTGTCATCCTGATCGTAAGTCGATATGTGCTCATTAGTCTGAAGGAACAGAACGGCCTGACTCGCATAGCTCGCCCTCACCCAACTCGCCTCTGGTATTACATCGGGAGTCCTGGCGCATCGAAGCAAAACATTCATTCCCGCGCCCCTCATCCTCCAACTTACGACGTTGGCATGTACTCTTATATAGCTAGTTCATTTTCGCATCTGAGCAATTTCACGACGTTTCCAGATCTGGAACGCGAGCAGCGCTCTCTGTGATAGCATCATCTGAATCACCACTTCCATCATCTACTACGTACGAACGCCTCTCATTTTCACCCCATGGAATACCCGAGATTGACGTTACATGCATTCCAGCTATCCCGTTCAAGTTCTCTAATGCGAGAAAACCCGAAGACTAGTCCGAAAGGTCATCCGGCTCTCACTCGAAACAGGTCTTCTGACGAGTGAGTCTCCGTCTTTTCAATCCCTCTCCCTTCCCCTGGGGAATGCTTTGCATATATACTTGATTCTTCAGGCGCCGTCTCGATAATCGCCCTCCTACTCATGGTCCTCCCAGGCAACAAAGTCGGCCCCGCATACGAGGGCGTCGCTGTTATTCTGGGGAAGGTTTACGCTAACTCGATGCTCGTGCTCATCAACCGACGGGCGAGGATTACAAGTGGCGATCGCCAACCGCAGGCGTTTGGGGGAGGGACGGCGCCGATCTCGTTCAGGGTGCCGGACGTCGAGGACGGGAGAAGGACGAAGCCGCCAGCTGGGGAAGGAATTACTATGGGGCAGGGCTCTTTGTCGTCGGTGGGGAATGGATAGTGTATATTTTGTTAATCGGTTTCGGTTTCGGTTTCGGTTTTTTTTTCTTGAACTCAAGATTAGAGACCTGCAAGCTGTGGCGTTCTCTGGATCCTTCCCGCCAGAATGGTGGCGGTTATGCGCGGCGCCTTCGCCCTACTTGGGCAACGAGCGCTTATTTCAACCCGCCAGTCCGAAGTCGAAGTTGTTTACCCTCAGTGCGCTCAATGGCTGTAACGAGGCACAGCATGATACTTCGCGCGCGCCGCGCAGGCACTTTTGATACTGATCGTTTCTCAGTTGCTCTACTTATTATATGAGAGCTTGAATCGAACACTCAAGGTGTGTACGACTAATTGAGTCGGCGCCTAATCTTATCTCGTCATCTTATCTTATCGTCACAGCCACGGGCGAACCTGATTGGTCCACCTATCGCTTCTCCCCAATGCCGTACCCACGTCCTTATTTTCCCACTCAAAGGCTCATCCAGCCAGCCATACCCATACAGCCACCCGATGAGCGTGTTTACTGAGCTTCACTCCCTGCCCTGCCGCCGTTGATGCCGCCACTGGCATCAGTTTGCGTCTCGCGTAGAGGCTCGCCGTTCTGGTTTCCAACGACGGCTTTTTTTTTTGAATCTCGGGATTGACGTACTACAAGCAAACTATGGGCCATGGTGCTAAGACGCACGGGTCCTCGTCTTAAAGATGGAGGTCGCCGTTGGGTGCGTAGCGCGCTACTTTATCTCGTGTCTACGAGGGTATCTATTTACGGTACAGCTTATGGAACAGGGTATGAGGTGTAAGGGGCTGAGTTATATGGGACCTAATTTGAGCTAGAAGGTATTATGTTAACGGGTGCGCCATGGTGCTAGGAACGATCAACGTGAAAGTACGACTCCCTGCTATCGTTGCTCGAAACCGTCAAGAACTCTTCAATGACCTCATGTTTGTCTGATCTGTGCTCCTGACCTGGGTCTATCGGCATTGCGTGCTACCTCATATTATATTCCAAGTCATCGCGAAGGTCCATCATATTGAATCACCCTGCATACTTTACGTGAACTCGTGAAGCGTTTTCCCAAACGCTGACAGACTTTTTCCATCTTGCGCCAAATTGCAGCTGTCACCAGGTTGATTCAAGATAGAAATCGATCTTTCGTGAGCAATGTAGTCAACAGTTTGTGGGTAAGACACCGTAAGGGCGATATCGGCGCTTCGCCAGAGGCGACCACGACAATCGCGGTTACGTGAGGCCTGCCCACGCGTTGTCAATGTCCAGAATATATATATGCACCGATATTGGGCGGCCACCATTCTTTTCCTGGTCCTTTCCCTCACCTCCTTCGTCTTGCCCGCGGGTGGCAGACGTAGCCTCAGAGCAGAGGCTCCTCAATGAACTTTACAGACAGAATTGGGACGACAGATCCTGCTGTTATGTGAGTCCTTCCTTCGTCGTGACGCGTTCGATGATGAGCTGGCTTTTACATCACGGAAATCAAGCATCGGACCCCAGGTGAGCTTCTCTTCCTTCTCTCGACACTTCGCTCGGCTCTCACAGAGAGCGCGTCAGCTCATCTGCGGCTACATCAACACCACTTTATTTGGTGTCTTATCGGTCCAAGTTTGTAGGTCCCCATCTCATCGGCGAGGGCCAAGGTCTTCTTCGCACTTCTGAATGCTGACCACCTCTCTTGGCCCTTTCCTTCCTTCATTTCCTCATAGTCATATTCTACTGCGCCTTTCCGTGCGAAGCGCTCTACCTCAAGCTCCTGGTGTATGGTGTCTACGTGCTGGAGACGGTCCAGACGGCGCTCTTCGTGGAGCATGCATTTCGCATGTACGTCGTGAGCTTCGGGATTATTGAGGGGAGCAATATCGTGGGCACGTCATGGTTTAGCGTGCCGATTCTTACCTCCGTCGGTGAGCGATGCTCTCTTGTGGAAAATGGGAGAGGGAAGGGTATCTGACAAACATCTTGAACCAGGTACATGTGCGATACAATTTTTCTACGCCCATAGGGTGTACATCCTCTCACGGAGAAAGGCTTTGATCGTTGTCATCCTAGTCGTAAGCGGTTCGATATGGGTTCAATAGTCTGAGGAAACTGACAAGATTTGAGTACAGCTCGCCCTCATCCAACTATCCTTTGGAATTGCAACGGGAGTCCTGGCGCACCGAAGCAAGATATTCATTCCCATCACCTTCATGCTACAACTCGCGACAGTGGTGAGTACTCCTATAGTACGCTTCCTTTCTACAGCTGAGTGATTAACGACATTTCAGATATGGAACGCAACCAGTGCCCTGTGCGATTGGATCATCACAGTTTCCATCATCTACTACGTACGAACGCCTCTCTTTTCACACTATGCAGCTGCTGAAATTGGTGTCCACCTTGTAGCTCTCTCGTACCCGCTCCCCAATAAAGGAAACCCGCAGGCTAGTCCGCCAGCTAATCCAGCTCTCGCTCGAAACAGGGCTTCTGACGAGTGAGTTTCCTCCCTTCGATCGCCGTCTCGTCCAATGAGGAATCGACGTGCTTCTTCAGGCGCTCTCTCTATCGTAGCTCTCCTCTTTATGCTCCTCCCGAGCAACAAACTCGGGCCCGCGTATGAGGGAGTCGCTGTTATTCTAGGGAAGGTTTACGCGAACTCGATGCTCGTGCTTGTCAACCGACGGGCGAGGATCACAAGTGACGATCGGGAACTCCAGGAGTTCGGGGGAGGGACAACGCGGATCTCGTTCAGGATGGCGGATGTTGAGAACGGGATAAGGACGAAGCCCCCAGAGGGGGGCTTCGCGGCAGGAGAGAGCTCGTCGTCATCGGTGGGGTATGGTTAGTGTAATGTGTACTTTGTGTATCTCAGTTTAGAGGTTCGAGATATTTTGTACTTTATCCAGGCCACATGGGTTCGGGTGATTTTCTCATGCCTATGCATATGGGCGCTAACCAAAAGGAATGGAAGCAACAAGTGAGACATAATAAGCGCCTGTACACGCTTCACCGCGTCATTTCTCACGAACGTCTTGCGTACCTTGCGCGAAGTGGGCGTATATGGTGCTAATTATTGTCTGATACCCTGACGGAACAAAAACAGGCTGAGCAAGGTGACGATTACGGTTATGATCCCGGTTCTCGGCCGGTGGAATTGTAGGTTGCAAGCCTGGTGGTAATGATAATCGTGCCTACGATCATTACACGACAACCGTACGCCCAGCCTTAATTTCTTCCACAATCTTACGAAATCGCTCCTCTCTCGAGGGCTCCAAGATGTCATAACCCCAACGAGTCGCAGGTGCGGTATCGTTCAGTCTCGTAGCGTGGCGTGGGATGGCGAGAGGCACGATTTCCGCATTTTCATCTCTTGGGTCAAGGTTGTAGAAGCACAACTTCGTTTCTAGAGCGCTGACAGCGTAGAGCGTCCTGAGAGGACAGAATTCTGCGGTATGTAATTAGAGGACCGCCCAAAGCTTGAATTTGGATCACCAACCGACGAGATCACCCATATGACTTCTGATCTGTTCATCCGCGGCCTGATGCTTAGACGGAACATTCAGGTGGCTCGGAGGCTTCAACTGGAGGACTAAAACTGGTATTTTCAGCAGAAGAACTTCGAACGTGGAAATGAAGTCGGCGGGATTTCTGGGATGTAGGAGGTTTAGGGGAACGACCACGAAATCACTATCGGCGGGGAAAAGGGTATAGAGAAGCTTGTTGTAGGGCCCGTTATACTCGCTCTCAGACGGGTTCGATGTAACGATTTGAAACTGGCGAAGGATTTTAGATGGTGGAAGAAGAGCAAGAACGAGAGGCCCGTGTTTGGTCAGTGATCCAAACAAGGCCGGACTCCGGAGAAACCCGAGCGCTTGCCTCGGTCCGCAAATCCGAAGTTGGCGTTATTGACTCTGTTCCCTCAACAGGATGATACATTGAGCAAGAACCTTTCAGGACTGTCCAGTAGAACTTACCGGTATTGTTCTTCGAATGAACCGAGTACTCGTAGGACACATGACTAATTGAGTAGTCATGGCTAGAAATTAGTTCATTTTTGGTTTATTTGGTTAAGCGCTCGACTGTTGGCCATAGTTACTCGCTTTTTTCCTCATTAGAGAAAGTAAGCTTAAGTCATATACAAGAGGAGAATTCTCGTCAATAAATGCTTCCAATCCAACACTAAACGCGAATACTTGAAACTCAGAATGAACCTGTGCGTAGATCCATACATACTGTATATTGGGAGTCGACATATTCACAAGACGACCCCGAACTAGGTGTTCCGCTTGAACTTCCAGATGGCTCTCCACTTCCAGCGAAAACGCCGACTCCGGTGCCTAATGTAAGCCTCGCGTGTACTCTAGCTCATCCCAAAGTCCCTAACATACCTGCCTTCTACCCATCCTACAAGAAGCGCCGAGCGCTACCACAAGCGGCTCGACGCCAAGGGATCCTAGAGACAAATTATACCAATCGCCTGAAGATTGAATATTAAAAAAGCCAGCTGGGCACCTAAGGTGAGAATGCGCTCTGTTAAGAGAACGATCCTTCTATAAATAGAATGACACTTCCCTCATTCATCTAACCTGCCCTCTTCCGCGTGAGTGCAGAGGAGTGTGTTTGGTGCCCATACATTCTTTCCTAAGTTTGGCGCGGGCTTTCCAGCTTCTCCCTCGGTCCTTTGATGAGCCGGACTGCTCCCTGACCCCGGTAAATCCCTTTTTTCGACCTTCATCATCACATTCTCGTCGTCCCCTCGATCCCCGACACCTTTCCCATCGAGCCATATGATTCCTCGACACACCCGGAGATCCTCAGTCAGCAAAAGCATCCGTCCCGTGACCGGCACCGCCTCTTTCCCTCTCTTTCCCGTTTCACCGAGACGCTCGGCGCGCCACCCTTTCCTTGTTAGGTAGCCTTTTCCCCCATCAACGCAGTTGCCGCCTCGCCGCCTCTCCCCTATTCCATTCCTGTTTCATTCTTATCTGAAAATTTCTGTTTTTCTTTCTTCCTTCACCCACGGCTCGGATATCTTCCTTGCCGGGCTCTTCTTTCTTCATAGATATAATCCATGTCTACACACTCACACAATATAGAGAATTTAGTTCGTTTTTCCGTCTCTCACCTCCCTCGTTCCTCGCTCTCTCACTCGTATTTCGGAGGCACCGTTGCCTCATTCGTCCCGTTCCCACGCTTAGCGCCCGCATTCGCCATCCGTCTTCGAGTCGCGCGCGCCCACTGGTTAGAGCCGCACAACCACGGAACTGTCCTCGCACCTCAGAGCCACTCATTGCGGTGTTTTGGGTGTGTGTTTGTCATTCATTATTCGCACGATCACCCCACCGTAGGCACATCACCTTTCAATGCCCGGCCTCGCTGGGAATGCGGGGTTGGTGGGAGACGATCCGGACCCGTATAGGTACGTAAAGTAAATATGTGGCTTCTTTCATTCAAGGTTACGGCTGCGAATGAACGCGCCCGCACCTGACGTTGACGTTGCCGTTGCTGTTAAAATTTGACGGCGAATTCGCGAGCGAGCGGACGAATCGTGATCAAGCCTGCATAAATACCCGCACCTGTCAGCCATCGCGCCTTTTCTCTTCTCCCCCCATCCAACTTGGCGCCTCTTCCACTCACCCGCCCTTCCTTTGTCCACCTCCCGACTCACGGACACCACTCGCAAATCGCATCCAGGATCACTCACACAAAAAATAGACGTCATACCCAACTTATGACGCACGCTCCTTGAGTTCTTTGATTCCGAGCTCCAACATTGAAGTATTTTTGCGTCGTGTACTCGCACGCGCCAAGCTCAAAACCAAGCTCGTCAGACCAGCACAAGGGCACACCTTTTTGAGTTTGGCGCCTTCCATCCCCTTCGACGACTGTCCTGTGAGGTGCTACGATGCGTGCCAGCTTCGTCGCGTGGTCCTCCCAAGCCCTCCTGCTCCTCACAGTGATCACATCTCTGATATCGCCAGCGCTCGCAACACCACTGCCGTCATCCGCCTCTAGCACCGTTCATATTTTTGTTCTTCCAGCCTCGGAGCCGTCGAGACCGAAGGCGATCATCCGCCCCGAAGGAGATACACGCAGATTTACACTGGTCGCGTTGAGCGACCTGCCGGAGGTTCAGTCGCACAACAGCAACATTTGGCACTCTTTGCGGGCGCTTGTCGCCATCTTCAGCCCCTCATACTCCTCTTGGCCTCTCGGTTCTTCCCCTTCCGCTTCTGCCTTCTCTAGCGCACGACAGCTGATTGGCGGACCTGACGCGACCGTGAACACGCATTCCATGCCCCCGAACCTCCAATTCGACCGAATTCATATTCAAAACCGATACGAAACAGCGCACCTTCTTGATGTTGCACTTGAACGCCAGATCGCTGCCCTGGAAATCGCGAGGGAGGCAGATGGGTATGCAGGGCCGGCGCCGGGGGTGGAAGCGAAAGGGAGGGAAATAAGAAAGGGGGCGACGTCATCAGTAGGAGTATATTTCGCAAACTCGAGCAGGGGCGAGGGCGCACTGAAGGACAAGAGAAGCGAAAGACGGCGACAGGAGGGGCGACAGGAGGGTATCTTGTGAGGACGGCGTCGGGACCTCGAGGAGGCGACATAGAAGGAGCGAACAAAGAAAGAGGAGGCCCAGCCCTCGTTGCAGGATTTGGCCCTTCGCTCTTCGGTTCTTTATCGTCATTGGGCGCTCGTTCCTCCCCTGGTCTCAAGCTCAAATTCAACTATGAAATCTCAGACGACGGGGTCTGCTGATTTGTTCTTCTGCCACACACCTGACGTTTAGTGCTACTACACCGCGTCCTCCGTGCCCTCCTCCTACACTGCGTTGGTTTCTTGTCGCTCTGTACCTTTCTTTTCCCTCCCAGTGTGCGACGATCGCGCTGCCGTCACTCGTATTCATTCCGTTCGTCGGTGTTTCTGCCTATCTTATTCCTTCTATATTCTTCTTCTTCTGGTATTACATTGGGTTACCCTCTCTGTCCTCGCCCATAAATAGAGGTTGTCCTCTCAATCCACTCTTTTCTTCTGTTTGCGAAGTCGTAGTTTTCGAGGCATTGTAGCATAGCACCTATAGAGACGGGTCGTATTCGTAATAAAAACCAGTTGCAATGGGATCGAGGATGGACCTCTGGATTAACATTTGATTCAAACGAAGATTAGTCTGATGAAGGCGTCTAGGTATTTGGGATAGGCGGGAATTCTTCTGCTTAATACTTCAGGCAACGATTGAATATTGAGTCTTTCGGCGCCTAATTATCTTATCTAATCACCACAGCCACGGACAATCATACATCATGATTGGTCCGCCAATCAGAGCTTTCTCAGCAGGCTTCATCCAGCCCACTCACCACTGTAACTCTACAGCAACCCAGGCCTCGGCTGCAGGTCCATCTTTACGTCTCTAATTGTAACGAGACCCCTCGGCCACTTCCCACAATGTCTACTAGGAAAAGGAGAACGTCGACCCGCACGACTAGACTGACGTCACGCGCCAGCGAACATCCAGAACTTGAACCCACCGACGACGTGACAGAGCCTCCCTTGCCGCGTCGTTCAAAGCGCGTCAAACTAGAAGCTGAATGCGAACCCGACATAGAGGAACTGGAGGTTGGTCTACACGTCACGAAGCAGTGGACAGCAGCGTCAGTTTCCAGCAAGTCGAAGAGGGAGAGGTCCAAAACGTCGACACGTATACCCCAGGCCTCACAGAAGCCTCACCCGGAACCACCAAACTGGAGGGCAACGTACGCCGCTATTAAGAAATTGAGGGCTCGTATTGAAGCGCCTGTCGACACGATGGGGTAGGGTCTAGCATGGGTGGTCCGGGTAGACCCCGGGTCAGAACCCGCAGGTGGAAAGAATTTTCTCGAGTGACCGTACCCGCCCGGGTCATTGTGCGTTGGGTACAGGTACACCCGCAGGTACACCTGCAGGTACCCATGGGTGACCGCGGGTCGTGACTCGTCCCACTAATTTAGAGATGTGACTACATGTAACAAATTAATACTGTCAAAGGAGTATAGACTAACATAGAAGATACGCGCTAGAATGTAAAATTAATAACTTACTGTAAATGAGGACCAGGACTCCGAGGGAGAGCAGAGAATCTGGGAGCCGGCGTAGAATTCAACGGGAAACGAAACCACGATGTCGCTCGCGATGCAAGTGTGTAAACGCATAGTTTTGGGCGGTGCGTCGGCACTAGCAATAATTTCGCATGAGCGTCAGGGGCATGAAACCATATGGGAGCTCACTGGTTGCCAAAGACGAAAGTGTCCTAGAGCAGTGAAACGAGAGGGACACTGCAGATTTTCAAATCTCTCTGCTCCTTTTAAATAAGGCAGCAGCGAGAAGGCTTGAACTTCGCGCGGGCTGATATAGGAGCCCAATTAACCTTTTCGGCAAGTACTACCTTACCTCCGAAAGCAAGATATTGAAGGCTAGAAATATGCCTATACTCTCAGAAATGCATTCATCTATCTCAAATCAAAGAGAAAATAATGCCTACCTCCTACGGGTTACCTGCGGGTATGGCCAAAAATCCTAGCGCCTACCCGTACCCGATCCGGGTTCAAGGGATGGGTGACCCGTCACCCATCCCACCCGACCCGTGACAAACCCGCGGGTCACAACCTGCAGGTCACCCGGTCGGACGAAACCCGTGCTAGACCTTACGATGGGGTGCCAACTCGTGCAAAACGCGGAAACAGATCCGAAGGTGCGTGCTCAAGTCATTTGGAACTTATTTTGGGGGCTAATATTACTCCTAGTGCAAAAGGTACTCAACACTTGTCGCCTTAATGCTCTCCTCTGAGACGAAGGACGAAGCCATGTTTCCTGCGACTGTCAGGCTGAGGGCAGCCCTTGGTGGAAGTATCTCAATAGAGGGTATGATAGCGGCCAACGACAAAGCCATCTCTGAAGCTATCAAGGGTGTCGGATTTTGGAGGAAGAAAACAGAGTGATCCTTTGTATTCTCGAAGTTGTAGTAACATTCTGACGGTTTGGCACATCCATAGGTACTTGAAGCAGGCCGCCATAAAACTTCGTGATGAATTTGACTCGGATGTGCCGCAGACAGCAGACGAGCTATGCTCACTACCCGGAGTTGGCCCTAAGATGGCTTTTCTTTGCTTGCAGATGGCTTGGAATATGTATACCTCTTCTCTTTCGCTCTTCTCTTTCGCGAGTATCACCTGAGACTGAAACATTTATCAGGAATCAAGGAATAGGTGTTGACGTCCATGTTCATCGAATAACTAACCTCTTGGGCTGGCACAAGCCACCCACAGAAACCCCAGACGAGACGCGGTACGTCTACTATATTATGCCCTTAACCATAAATTGAGAGTTTGTGTGTTGTTCTTAGGCGAAATCTTCTCTCTTGGTTACCAAAAGAGTTGTATGAAGATATAGGTCATACCCTTGTCGGATACGGGCAGGTGTGCAATCATTTCTCCCCTTGACTATTTATGCCTTTGTGACCGTCTAACTCTGCATCAGGTTATCTGTTTATCTCGTAGCCCGAAATGCGACCTCTGCGATGCAGGCAAGGAGGGACTCTGTCCGAGCATGCAGAAGTCGGCTAATACTTCAAAGAATCAGAAGAATAGGAAGATAATTGTTTTCCGTGACATCGAGGAATCGGAAACTTCAGCGCCAAAAGTCGAGATTACATTGGAAGAGGAATGTGAAGAAATCAAGGCGATTGTACCTGATTGATTGAATTTTGGATATTTAGCCGTTCTACTATGATGATGATGTTGAATTTTCCTTCTACAAGCCAAGTTGTTCTCCTTCAGAATGGAGTTGGTCTTGATAAAGGTTTGCATCAGTCGACAAACTCCTTTTTCGATTGATTTTGGTTGAAGATAATTTTTTTCCTCAAACATTCTGCAGACTTCGAGGAACTACCAGAGATTTATCGAGGTGACGAAGATGAGGGTGCATCTCAGCCACGATCGAAGCAATGCCATTGAACGAGAAAAGGGAGCTTTGGATGGGTAGGCTGCCCGAGAAGTGTGCGACGTCCCCGACCTCAGCAGGGGTAGTAGCCAGATGGTGTTCGACGACAACAAATCCAAATGCTGTAGCGAGCCGCAAGCTGCAAGTTTTTTTTAGCAATGCAGTCGCCGCCTCTCAACTTGGAGGTATTGCCTTGCAAATGACCGTTCTACGGGTGGATTGGTAAGCGTACTCGGAGGAAGACGAAATATATCATCCCTCAAACAGCTATGAGGACCCACACTATTTTCAGCATGGAGAAATTATGTTAGGCTCGACACCACCCGTCCGGACGGATATATCCCGTGCCAAGCCCAGTAATCCTTACCAGGACGGCTGGAAGCACTTCATCGTGATGGAACCGATGGGAGTTTCAAACTCCGAACGTCGAGCAAAAAAGGAAATTATCCCCTGTCTCGGGAGCCCTCCTTCTCGTCCTTGACCTTTCGTGCAGCAAATCATGTTGCTATAGGGGCAGGATATCGCATGAAAGACCGATTAATATATTTATAATACTTTAGTGAAGATTTGAAAATTACTGAAGGCTACGAATTCACTAGTGCAACCCGAAGGCTGTTCCTTGTGGGCAAGGGCTTTGGCCGACGCTCAGAATGACCAAACAGAGTGATATGAGGAGGGCGGGTGGTGTTATTGACGTATGTCAGGCCTAATGTCCTCGTATGTAGAGCACACTATCCTCCGAACCCTCTCCTACCTGCCCCATGATGACGGGCGGACTGTCTTTGCTATGGTGCGTCGGGAGGCAATCCCGGCATGCTCTTCCCATCTCACTCCGGTACAGACATCGGGGACAAAGAGTAGTAGCTGGCGCCCATGAATGCCAAAGGAGAAGGGGAAGAGGTGATAGCACTGTGATGCGCCAACGAAAGGCCGGGCACTGCATATCGACGGAGGCCAGGCATGGCGATGTTGCTTATCTGTTCAATCCAGTCCTTCTCTGAGGGCAGGAGAAAGACATGGTACTCACGATCCATCATCGACATCGTCCGTCGCCGAGTCTGTACCCCATGTCGCGGCTCCCAGCTAGACTATGCCCGTCCTCTCCAATCCAGTGCTGAATGTAGGCGTTCCGAGTTAATCCTCGGGATGGAGGTGACAGTAGCATATCAGATCAAGTACATGAGCATCGACGTTGAAGGACTCCTCCTGCCCCATGGCGAGCACGGAGCATGGAGGATGAGTGCATAACAGCAAACAGATAAACCATCGGATAAGTTGTCGAATGGCTGGCTAGAAGGAGTGGGTTTGAGGTCTCGATTGACCGTCACGACATATATTCAGGGCATCAGGGCGATATTTTTGCGATGGTGTTCGAGAATCTGTGGTGTTCGAGATGGTCAACGCGAAGAGAGAGTTCGAGAATCATGACACGTCCATGCGTCGCGGCACGTGTGCTCTTATTATTTCCTTTTTGGCTCGATGGTCTGAGTTTGAAATTGCCATCTACTAGGTAACGATGAAGTGCTACCAGTCTCCTTGGGTTCAGTTCAACTGCATCACCCCATCTATTTCCGTTCAAGAAAGTGATGAGTCATGCCCATCACGTCACCCGCCCTCTAGTAAGATTGAACGAACCCAAGCGAGAATGGGATCGAGTCTAAAATTATGTAGCAATACAGAGGGCATACTCGTACAAATCACCTTATTCATCGTCTCCTGATGCGTAATAACTTTCAATAATGAATGGGTCATCGTCTTCAATGGCAATAGCACTGTAAGTCTCTCGACCCGGCGGCCAACCTTCGCCTTCAAGAGGCTCATCACGGTTCAGATTCTTGACTTTACACACCCTCTTGAGGGTTTTCAGCTGCTCCGCCAGCTGGTCGTCCTCTTCCCATGATTCGACCAAATCTTCGTCGAGACGAAGGACCAGGCGCGACTTCTTCGGACGAGATTGGGCGAACGCTAGGTATGGCTCGATCTCGTTAGGGGGCTGCATATTGCATGTGAGGTTCTTCAGATGAGGCCAAACGTTCGTGTCCGTCTCCAATACATGAGTGATGATCGTGTTCAGGAGACAGTCTTCGAAATCTTCGCCGCTGAGGACTACGTTCTTCACAGAGCTTGTCAAGTTTAGGAAGCATCGAGCCGGCTCGTCGTCTGCGCTCGATTCGACAAAATAGAGATCACGAAGGGATGGGAAGGAGTAGGTGCTGTTCAGTTTGTATGTGCTGAAACTGTACTCGATCCAGCAGTTCATGATGTGGAGGGTTTCGAGGAGAGGCGCGCGGATAAGGGGTAGAAGGTTGACCATGCCACCCTCATCGCTGAATCGCAGATTCTTGAGGCTCTTCATGTGCACTGGTTCGACAAAAGCGAAGTCGGGAACGAGGAACGTCTCTCCGACAAGCGACAGGTCCTCTAGAGCAGGAAGAGAGAGTAGGTCGAGGAAAGTGGTCCACGAAAACTTGTGTGCCATGCTCGCTTCATTCTCCTCTATCCGAAGGGTCGTAACGTTGGATAGCGGAGGCAAACACGCAGAAGGGCCGGTACCATCCGTCCACACCGACGTCAATTTCGGTGCACCACCACCGAATAGCTTCGGCTCAAGGTCCTCCACCTCAGTGAGGTCGCCCTGGTTTCCGCACTCGCACTCGACGTCGGGGCAGATCGCCAGATACTCGAGGTTTGGAGCTGCGACGTTCTCGGCCTTACTGAGCTGCGTCCATAGTAATGTGTCTTGATCAGAGAGGATCGTGACGCGTCGCCAACGAGCGACGTGGAGGAACGCTTTTTGCAGCAGAGGCTCATGATCGTCATCCTCCCCCGCACCCTTGAAGTTGAGCCGTAACTCCAACAGGTGCGTCCCCGACCTCTCCATGTACGCGTTGAAACGATCCAGAGGCACCCGCTGCGCTTCAGCACCCTCGTAGCAGAACACGGACCACAGGCTCGGGAAATCGAGCGCGATGGCCCGCCAACGACGGCAGACATGCGACACTGTGACCTCCATTAGGTACTCCGGTGGCTCCTCCTCTCCCTTCTCTTCATCCTTCTCTTCTTCGACAGACGGTAGCAGGGCGTACTCGAAGATCAGGCAGGTGACTTCTGTTGGGAGGTTGAGCAAAGGTGACCTTTTGTTGTAGATGGCACCATAGGCTGCTTGGGTCTTGATGATGTTTAATTCAACGTGCTCCAACTCTTGCGCCAATTTGTCGCGTTTTTCTTCAAGTTTCTTTTTCTCTCGCGATAACTCCTGGAGCATGCCTTCCTCTGCACTTTCGAAGGTATTGTTGGCCATCCCAACGCGCTATGTTGTCCGCGTGAGTCGAGACTCGAGGAGCCAGGTGATAGGTAGAGAATGAGAAGGCACCTCTAACGTTGGGGAGTGGTGGCGATGATGTGGATTGAGTGCTGGAAAGCAAAAATAGCCAAGAAGGTTGCAAGAAGTTCTAATTCAGAATCAAACCAACCAACTGTTGGCAGCTTAGATTCAGCGGACTACCCGGCCCGAACCACCGTTGATGTCCACCAATAGGCTAGGGCTTGGCAGGGCACAGGATATGTGTTCAAAAGAATACTTGTACAGCATTCGAATCATCACGTTCAAATTCAGAACTCCCATTACCATCCGAGTCTAGTAGTACTGAACGACTTTGCGATATTGTCAAGGACGCAATGTTGGGGGAGAGAAGGCAGATGTCGTTGCATACCCTGCCGGAAATAATCCAGCCTGTGCAGTCCACAAGCGCAAGGGTATGGAGTGTCGAGAAAGGTGGGATACGCTGTATACTATCTGGGATGTAGAATTGCAGATCACGGAGGATGAGGTTCTCAAGCTGCGGTGCATTCATGGCGACTAAAAGACCGGAAAAATGATTGTCGCCCCAAAGACGTAGAATTTTTAATTTCGGCATCCTAATCGTAGAGTCGACAGCATGGTAGGCCATTTTTAAAAGGGCCATGTCCCTGCAAGAGAGAGGTTGGCCAATGAAGATATTGAAACGAGGGACAGGAAGTCTTCCTCTGTAAGGGGAGGTCCATTATTCCAAGAAGAAAGACAAAAATCGAGGGTAGAAAGACTTGACAACGGCGACAGCCAAATGGGTGGCCCGCTTGCATCGATACGTAGAGTACGAAGTTTCGGGGTGCCTCCTTTGAATAAAGTAGGAGAAAGATCTTCAACTGTCCGCGGACCAATTATGACATCGTACCACTCGTTGTCGACAATGGAGTCAAAACAGAAATATTCGAGGTATGGTGCTTCGTTGGTGCATAAATCGTCGATGTGACGAAAGAGATAGACCTCCATATCCCACAACAAGGTGACACGACGCCAGCGCTTGACATGGCTCATCGGGGTCTTGGATGTCGTACCGAGAGACTACAGAGAGATCTGGTGCTCGGACATCGAACCACAAGTCAAGTGGGTGCGCCCCGGATCGCCCCATGTAAGCTGTGAAACGGGCGACCGGCGGCCGAGGCTCCTCGCGTGCGATGTAGCGAAATCAAAGGGCAGGGAGGCCGAGTCCGAGAGTCCGAAATTGCTCGCAGACGTGGGACAGGACGACCTCTATCCACGACAGTGAACCGATCTCGTCCTGATCTTCGTCGAAAGCGCTGTCCTTGTCACTCTCATTGGAGCTGTGATTGTCGCCGTTGTCGAAATGTCCTTCACTGCTGCGAACCTCTTCATTGTCGCTTTCGGGATCATCCTTCCCTTCCTCGCTAAGAGAGCATATCAAGAAGATCTTAGAGGTGACTTGATTGGGTAGGCGTAAAACGGGCTTCCCACAGCTGTACAGGGTGTTATACTGGCGGCGTAGTTCTGCAGATTCGTGTCTTCGTATTCATTTCTCAACTGTTCATATTTTTGCACTTTATGTTCCTTGACCTCCAAGAGTTTGGCGAGAGTCACCGCGGTTGCTTGCAGAAGCGAGGATTCATGTCAACTAGCGTTGCCTCTGCTCGAAAGTGGTCAGAACATTTGAACTCGGACGAAGAGAATGTTAGGGCACCCAGGTCAGTACGGTTGCAGCTGTTTTCGTGAAAGCCACCCCGAATGAGGATTTGCCTGAAAATGTATGTATGAAAAGAAATGAGACTGCGAGCTACAGCCAATGTTGGTGGGAAGTGTTGACCAAGTGTTGACAGTTTTGTGGAAACTCCGATAGCCTGGGCGGCCTACCGGCCCGCTTCTCCTGAAGGAAAATAAGGGCTGCAGGACTAAGGCTTCGAAGGAAGTCCGAAGCATGCATTACTTATAACATTTATACAGGTGATAGAACTAAGTATAAGACAAAATCAGTTTGTTCAGTCTTCTTCGTCCGATTCGTCTGAATCCGAATCCCATTCGTCATCCACCCAGTAGCGGGAATCCGAAAAGTACCCCTCAGAATGGAAAGGTTTGTCAAAATAAAGCGTATCTCGAATGAGGGCGACTTTATTTTCCAGAGGCCAATTGCGAGGGATGACGGCGTCATCATGGTCTTCGATGATCTCGAGGTCGGGCCAATGAAAACCGGAGCAGCAGCACATTCCGCCACCATATATTTGCCCCTCCCAGAAGGAGCAGCAATGTTCAACGAGATTTTCGTGAACACGAACGACAACTTCAGCAGGAAGCCGGGACTTCGCGAACTCGCCATAGAAATCGGGTTTCCATTGATCTTCGATGTTAAAAGTGGCGGTGCGCAGGTTCGGCCAGGTTCCCTTTGGAAGCTCTGCGATCATCACTAGAAGAGCGTTGTCCTCCGATCCCTTGGCGCGTTGGGAAATCGTGAGGTCCACTAAGGTCCTCGTAATTTGATAAAGGAAGAAGTTTTGGTCGCGAGCGCCTTCTTCGTTAAGGTAGCGCAGGTCGACGAGGGACAGCGAGCGAAGGGAGGGAAAGAAATAGTCTGAGGACTCGACTTCGACAGCGGAGAAATTGATTTCCTCAAGAGTGAGGCTGTCAAGTTGAGGTGCACGAAGACATGGAAGCATCGATATCATCGTGCGCGACCTGTAGAGACGAAGCGTCTTGAGCTGCGGCATGTCGTAAGTAGTCAGATCCTCATAGTTGTCGGAGAAATCGTCGACGGTCGTAATGTCCCCATTGACGGAGAGGTTGATCAAGTTCGGAAGTTTGAGAACGCTCGCAAATGCACTCCAGGTAAAGGAAATTTTCTTCTGCGCTTTTGGGCTCATGGTGAGATGAAGAGTGGTGACATTGTCGAGAGGTGGGCAACAGTTGTGCAGGATGGAAGGCTCGAGCCAAACGGAAGTGAGTCTCGGTGCCCCGCTTTCGAATATTGACGGCACGAGGGTGCTGGTGAAATCTGAGGCGATGTATCCGTGATGACGCTCGAGCTCGGTATTGCTATTCCCGCACATCTGGAAAAGCTCGAGGTGCGGAGCATGAATATCGCGAAAAAGGCGGAGCAGGTTGGCTTGTGGAACGTTGGCCAGGACGTAATGAGGCATCTTGATCGCGAATCGCTTCCAACGGTCTACGTGAAGGATGGCGGCCCTGATCATAGGGAGCTCGAAGAAACCCAGGTCAGCCACGAACGTGTTCTCCTGCGTGAAGTCAAACTGCAGGTCCAGTAAGCGCGGAGAAGACCGCTTCAGGTAGGCATCAAATCGATCGAGAGAGCATTGGCTATGCGGGCCACCACAGAATGTGTATTCCGTCCAGAGGTCGGATAAGGAAATGGCGACAGAGCGCCATTGGCGGCATACAAGAGAAAATGCGACTTCAGGCCAGGGTTCCTTTGTAGTCTTGTTTCTAGCGAAAAAGTGCTCCAGGCGTGCGGTGTCGACAGCGTGCTTGAATATAAGAGCCGCTATCTCGTTTGGGAGGGACAACACCGGTGCGTCGGTGTTGTAGAGGCCGCCATAGGAAGACTCCAGTTCGCTGATTTCAAGTTCGAAACCTCGGAGGGCAGTCCTGTGATGCTCCTCCACTCTACGCTTCTTCTCTGCAATAGAATGTAGCATTCTAAGTTGCGATTCGGTGTGCCGGGTCGTCATGGGCGATAAAAGAGGAAGGGCGAGTAAAAACGCGGAAAGAGGTCCAAAAGTGAGATACTACCTTCCCCATCGTCCTGTTCCTGGATATAAATACGCATACCAGAGTCAAAGCGTTGTTGTCGGCGATTGACATAAGAGGGAATGGTTACGAAAAGTCACCGGTGCGCCTTCCGGCTAGGTCCAAGCGCGTGGCGCACGACCCTTCCATTTATGGAAAAGGTTGTTGCGTCGAGGGTAGTGTGCTCGTACTTTCTCGCTTAGTGAATGCATAGTCCATGAGAAATTAACGAGACTTTGTTTACACACACCTCGTTGTGGTGGTTGTGGTTCGACCAGCAACGGCTCAAATCGATTTGTTATTTATCGTTATTTGCCCTTGCTGATCCCATAACGCCTCGGAGCACGGCGTGCATCTTGCCTCCCGACCCTCACCAGCACTATGGGGGACCCCGTCGCAGAACACAAAATGTCGGAGGAAAAGCAGTATAACTTCATTGCAATTACGGAGGATATAATGCTACCCGTCGACGAAATCGCTCGGCTCAAACAGGAGCTCGAGTCGCTCAAGAACGCGGTGAGTTCCAGCCGATTATCAGCTCGCGTAGTCCTGATTCACCGAGGACAAACAGAATCCTTTTCGCATGGCCGAACTGGCCCTCGAGATCCAGATCGAGAGATTGCGCGTCGTCGAGATAACTGCGGCGCGCGATGCGGCCCTGCAACGGCTCTCCGACAGCTATGTTTCCATCCGCCAAAAGAATGAGCTGATTGAGCGGATGTTCCAGGAACGCGACGGAAAAGATATAGGAAGCGTTCCTCTCTCGCTCAACTTCGGGTTCAGTACGGACCAAGTAGAAGCCGAGCAGTTGAAGGCGCATATATCCACTTTGGAGACGGAAAACGGCGAGTTGCGGTTGGCGATCCAGCAACTTCAAGAACAGGCGCTCATCGCCAAGGCCATCGACCCCCCACCGTCATACGAGAGGGAGCCGACCAAGGTATCGTTCCCACCCTTCCCGTGTCCAGTACGTCTCTCACATTGACCAAGTCTATGCTAGTTGACGCTGGGATTCAAACCGAAGAAGATTCTGCCGGCGTCCTCGTGTATAGCGAAGACGGTGCAGAGGTCAATGTAATAATGTATGCGCTTGGACCTTCGTACTCGAGTCTTACCCTTTGTTTTTGGATCCATAGTATGTACCACCGAAGACAGAAGACCCAGCGATTCTCGCAAATGCCAGAAACACTGTGTTGGCGGATATCCCACTTCCGAACAATCCTCCAGACGATACCTTAAATGCGATCGTGATTCCTCCTCCGTTTACTCTTCACGAATTCCTGAATGGAGCGCCGGGAGTAAGTGCTAATTATCTATCGCGATATATGCGCCTCATTTTTCTTTCGACTCCCCAGTCTTTGAGGACACTGTCAGTCATCCTGAACGCCATCAATATACGATTGGACTGACCATGGTGCATAGGCTTTCGAACTACAGGATCTTGCACAACGCAACTACATATTGGTGTCCTGACAGAGAAGAGCACGGCTACATGTATGCGCCTGTATTCAAATGCAGTACCAACCCTAGGATATCAACTGCCCATCGTTGGTCTCCAGTCGACGTAGTTGGGAGGATGAACAAACCGACAGGTAATCCTAGCCCTTTCTCCCTAACGTCCATGACCTAAGAGCCCTTCAAGAGTGTTTCTACAACAGAGAAGGGCTGTGGTATTATGCTGGCTCGTATGTGGCGTTCAAAATGGACGAGCTCTCCCCGAAAGAATGGGCTCAGCTATCAGGCGAGGTGTGTAGTTGTCTCATTTCTAAGAGGGGTTCTGAACTTGTTTTCCAGACGAGTTCCGCGATAGTCAAAGAAACGATCGCAGGACGCAAGAACACATCACCTCAGAACACCTATGAAGCAACTCAATTATATGTCGCTGGGGCTCTCAAAGTCGCCTGCGTCGCTTTGAGATGCGTGGGGTTCAACCACGAGGTGTATCGCTCCCTCCTCGAATACTCGATCAGGTTCGGCGAGAGCAAGTGGAAGTCGCTGGCAACGGCGAGTGCGAACGTCCTGGCGGCTGCCGCTAGCGTCTCTAGTGTTTCTGGATCTCCATCCGGCGCCAATAGTCCAGCTTCTGGCGCGAGTACCCCACATAGCCAGCCGAGTGGTACGCCGACCCCGCCGGCACGGATGCAGATGCAGACGCCCGCTCCTCTGCGCCACATTCCACGTACCCCGACTCATCCAACGCACCTCAGCTCTGCGGCCTCAGGGAGCCCATCAACTACCCTGGGCCATAGTCAGGGCTACGGCGTTAATCCTGTGAGGTTGGTCGGGACCCCACCTGTGTTGGGGCTGGGGCTGGGCTCATCGGCGTGGAATGTCCACTCCGCTGCTGCCATGATGATGACACCACCGGCCAGCACAGATGGTAAGGCAACCTTGAGAGTGCTGCAGGAGAAACACTTGCCTGAGGGCGGAGAAAACCTAGCGGACATGGGTAAAAACTGAAAGTGTCCTTGCGTCTTTTGAGATTTTCGCTTCTTGCCTGGTTTAGCGCCTCTCTTGACCGGTCGTTTACACAACTTCTTGGCATATTCCCCCTCATAATGGCTCGACTTTGCGCATAGATTTAGATTCTTGTTTGGACTTTCAGCATCGACCTTAACATACCTACAGCACGGAGATACCTGCCCTTTATTTTAGATCTTCGACTTCTCCCTAATTCACATGGTGAGAGTCCCATGGGTCTCTCTCTTCTCCTTCTCTCGTTGAAGGCACTTTGTTCAAGCTCAAAACACAACAAAGGAACAGGTCCAATAATTAACTACGCCGCCTAGATATACCACCCTCGACTCTATTCCTCTAGCTCAAGGGCCAAAATGAGCCTTCCATCTTCATAGTTTGGTAGCAGGCGCAACGCTGTGATGGAGGTACCGAGCACCGCCGTCGAGGATGGTATGTGTGCCAGTGATATGCGATGCCGCAGGCGATGCAAGGAAGAGTGCGAGGCCTGCGATGTCCGAAGGATGGCCGAACCGCCCTGTAGGTTGGCTCGCATTGAAGGCCTCTTCGCCGGCTGCCTTGAGACCAAAGGCGGTCATTTTGCTGGGAAAGAGGCTAGCGAAGAGGTGAGTAGACCCGTTCGTTCCAAGTCTGTAAGACACCTTACCCCGGACAGATAGCGTTGACGCTGAAATATTGAGGCTGTCAGAGCATAGTCCCGTAGTGTCGTAATAAAACGTACGTGATTTGTGACGGCCCGAGCTTGAGCGCTAATGTTGAAGTGAGATGATTCACTTAAAGAAGTCTTTTCAGCACACGCCGTCGATCAAGGAAGCGGAGCGGGTGTAGACGCACCGGCTGCTTTACTGGGTTGGTCTTGAGACGGGTCAGTGGGCGGTCGTGAGTGGGCGACGTGGCGGACTCACAGCTCCAGGTTCCATTTCCGTCAGCACTCAAAGCCCCCTCGGCGCCCGGCTCGACGGAGGCCGTCGAGGAGATGTTGATGACGGTGCCAGGATTGCGGCTCGTTGCGTCCTTCGACAAGTAGTCCGTGAGTCTGGATTATGCGGTGAGCATGCCATCTTGACAGCATGCAAAAAATAACTGACCCAGCAGTCACTAAGTTGGGAAAATGACGTTAAAACTGACACTTCATGAAGAGCAGTGATGCACCCACTGTAGAATATGCTCTTCACATTCACGTTGAACACATTGTCCCAGCCCTTCTCCTCGGGGAAATCGTTGTACGGTCCACCCCAGGTGATCCCCGAGTTGTTGACGAGTACGTGGAGCTTGCTCTCCCGCTTCTTGAATTCTGAGATAAGTGCGTTGCAGCCTGCTTTCGACTGCTCAGAGCTGATCAGCCGTGTTGTCCCTTCGGCAATAGACGGAGACACGTACACCAACGTTGGCGACGATATACTCAGCCTTGGGGCCTGTCGCAACTCTGTTGATGTCGACGAGGGCCTAAGGAGGCGATACTGAGTATAATGGAAGGGTTCAGGCGAGTCTTTTACGCACTTCTTTTAGTTGGTTCTCCTTCCTCGCAGCAATGTAGACCTTCGCGCCGTTCTGGGCGAATCCGGTCGCCATCATCTTCCCAATTCCAGAACCTCCTCCAGTTACGAGGACTGCGCTTGTATATAAGAATTCGGGGAGTTTCTCGTATGTCTGGCGACACACCAATCTTTCCTGCGACGCTGAAGAGGGATCCGGCACGAAGATCTGTAGCAATTTCGAAGTTGTTCGTCATGGTCTGCGGGTATTTGCATATTTGAAACGCACCGGAAGACATTTCAAATACGAGTTCGAAGAGAAGTGGAGGAGGTCGATGTTGGGGTACAAGATTATAAACGGAATCGGCAGCTATTCGGGAATATGGGGTACCGGTACAATTTCCATTTCCTCGGTAGCCGAGGGACCGGTGGGGGAAACATGTGACAGGAAACTCAGGGGTACTTCAAGTTGAACTTCAAGAAGGATTATTGAAACTAATTATCTATGCTAAGAAGTGTGGGTATGGCGCATAAGTAAATGTTAAACTCAGTCCGAAAGCGTTCCAAATATCCGACTATCGACGTCCTGTCTTGCGAGCAGCTCGTTCTTCCGCGTGCCGGGCCCGTTTTGAAGCTTGCACAATTTCCTGAATCCATTCTGGAAAATGTGAGGTATGAGCACGCAAAGAAACGTGTGGGGACAAGGTAAACCAACGTTGGCATTCACGAGAAGATGGGGCACGAAGAGATACCACGTCTCCTCCCCGGGGATAGGCCTGAGAGACCTGAAACCCTGTCTCGTCTGCAGAGAGTTAGTATGATTTGAATGTTGGAAAAAGTTGAACAGAACTGAGATACCTCTGCCGGCCTCTTTGACCTCCGCATAGGCAAGAGGAATAGGCTTAAAAGGTGTATGAGGACATCATCGGCACGAAGATGGTCAAGCGAACTACCATTCTGTAGAGATTCTTCGCTGATTCGTCCGTGAGGACAAGAATATCACTGCACAAGAAAGCGTTGAGCTTCTTGCCGCTCTTGGTCTTCATGACAGTGCCCTGCTTCAAGAGCCTCCGCGTTCCCATGTGGCGGGTAGGTGCAGTTAGGTCAAGACGGCTGGAGAAAACGGATTCAGCCATCTGGTCAACGTCCACGTGAAGTGTAATACCCATGGCCGATCCATAGATTCTGAGAGATCTTCTTGAGCACCTCATGCCCTTCTTGTTCCCTAATTGTCTCGTTTATGTGGTCTAGCAGCCTTTCTGACATATCGCGTGCCGACTTGATGGCTTCGTGTTCTTCGCCGACCTCGGTGTATTGTAAGATCTAGCCAAATGACAAAATGTTGGCTTCGAGGACGAGCTTAGCTGGTTGTATAAATACCTGTTTGATAAGTAAAGGGTATCTGGTGATTCTTTGCACTGCGAATAGTGTGAGAGTCAATGACATTGGCCAATAAAAAAAATCAACTGACTTGGAGCTAGCAAATAGCTTGATAAATCCAAGCTCCTGACAGTTGGGTTCTCATCACGAAGACGCTTTGCAACAGAGATAACGGTCATTCCCAAATTAAAACAGGGACAAAAATCCAAACATACCTGCAGATGAGAAGCGAGCTCCGTATTAGAGTCCCGGAGTGATTTTAGGACCTTAATAGCAGTCGACTGGTTGACGCAATATTGCTGATTGTGTGCTGAGCGGTTCTCGCGGTTTTACTACACATCACCAGTAGCAAACTCACCATGTAAACGCCCATATTCGGGACGTGAGTCTGGAGAATGTCGCCGATTTTATCGATGTACAATCGGCAATCCTTCTGACGCTCCTCAAGCGAGCTCACAAAGCCCTGGATATGCGCTTTCAGTCGAAATTGGACCCAAGTCATGAGAGTCACAAACGGTGTTGGTCAACAGTAGATCCTCAATGTTGGCGAAAACGACCGTGATTTCCTTCATAGTAAGCAGTGGAAGCATACTCGAATAGAAGACCTGAGGCAGAGTCAGAAAACCTCCCGCGGGGGCAAGCATGAACATGCCTCGACAATGAGCTGGAGATCTCGAACATAGGCGACCTCAGTGTTGATAAGCTCAAAGATCGCTTCTTGGCGTTTTCTCTCTCCTGGAGGGATTCCCTCGAGAGCAGTCTTATCAACTAGGCTGGCCCATGACTTCGAAATACTGTCAGGACTGGATGGGCCCACAAGAGCGAGGAAGGAAACCTACCATCCCGAACGATGGGCTATTCGATCTTGACGGCGTTTCTTGAAGGAAGCCCTGACTTTGCGAGGCCGGAGTAGTGGCCATAATCGGGGCCGAAATATTCAAGGTGCTTACGCTCCGCCTCTCTCCGTCGGGTGTCTTGTTCCTTGACAAGAAGTGCAAAAAACCGGAATACCGTCCGCCATCAGCATTGGCACCCTCCTTTCCATGGCCACTGGCACTAGTAGACCCGGACCCACTGGACATCGGTACGCCGCCCATTGATGAAATCGTTACTGTGGGCGACACAGGCGGTCCACTCCTCGTCGAGTCTGTCGAGATGACAGAAAGTCTGTTCGAGTCGACGTTCGTCTGCGCGTGCTTGTTCTTGAACGATTCGTATCTTGCAAAGGCATCGTCCAGCCTCGCTTCATGAGAAAGCTCTGGTTCGTGCTCAGGCTCCGTCGGTATAGGTGGCAAGTCCTTATGCACCAGAGAGATGCGTTGTTGCGGTGCGGCTGGGGCAGGACGCCTCTTCACTGACCTGGTCCGGGCAGGGCGAGGAGGGGGGCCGACGTCCTGCTGCACGATGAGCCCTGCGGCCTCAAGGACAAGCTGCCGTTCTCGCTCGCGGGCCTGTTTGTAGGCCACAGCGTCTTCGTCATCGTCCGTTTCAGAGAAAGAGAGATAGTCAGAGTCGGAGTCGGAGTCAGAGTCGTCATCGCGGTCGGAGTCGTGCTCAGCATGCTGAACGTCGGCTCTCGGATTCTCATTGATCTGGAGCTGGGTGGGAGTTGCAGGGTTTGCAGTCGACGGTCCAGGATCATCATGGCCTTGCCCAAATGCTGCCGCAGTAGGTGTGGGAGTAGTACTGTTGGCGAATTTAACGCTCTCGACGATATTAGGAATCGGAAGATCTTGCTCGACTCCTGAGTTCATAATGTAAAGTGAGAATGACAAGATGAGAAGGGCGTGTTTTCGTATATAAGAGATTCCATTGAAAGGTGTAGTTTGACGTAATTCGAGGTGTACATGCAAATAGAGCAAAAAAGGAACTTTTAGCCTAATGTCGCCACAACAGGTAAACAGAGGAACTCAAGGGTAAGGGGTAGAGGACACTAACCCTCAACGAGCTCGAGGTACGCAGCAGGGGCAATGAAGACCACCCCGCCTTGTTCCGCCTTCCACCACTCTTCCTCCGACATGTCGACGATTGACAGTATTTCGCCTTCGTTAAAAGAAAGTTCGTCCGGGTTATTGCCACTATACGCATAGACGGTCTTTGCTTTCTCTGTAGAGAATGGTCAACGATGGATTAATAAAAGGAGATATGATCATACTTGGAGTAACAACCTCGACGTAGGTCTTCGGGAACAATCCAGCCTTTCCAGTCTTAACAAGGGTGCCATACCACCAGTCGCCGCCAGTCTTGGAGGGATTTGCTACGATCATCAAGTTTTCTTCGAAAGCTGCGAAAATTGAATGGACATCGTAGCTGGAGGGACGAAAGGACCAAACTCACATAAATCCTCAGGACCGTCGCCCTCGAATGGGTACAAAGATCGTACTCGGTGCTCTATAAAAACATCAGCCACGTCACAACTTCCCAATGGGAAGACGGCTCCAACACACCTCTTCCTTTGTCGATGTCAGACATAAGACTATTGCCAGAAGGCTCCGTAGCAACGTCACCCACCCTAATCTCCGGGATTGAGCTCGCGGGAGTCTCATAAATATCATCGGCTTCATCGGCCTCAGACATAGATGGCAGCCTCTCGACAATCACAGGCGAACCGCCCACATCTGCAGCACGGTCCGCAAACCAACCCACAGATTGTCTGTTGCTCGACCGAGAGGTTTCGTCATTGACCATGGGTGACGTCTCCGGAACGGCTGGGGCAGCAGGCGCAGGGACAAGAGGTGGTGGCGAAGGAGCTCGTGGAACAGTGTTGATATGTGTAGGAGGGGCACTATCGCCCAACACCTTGCCGGAAACTGGGGGCGCACTCTTGTCGATAGTTTTCGTAGGTCTCAATTTCAGGCCCCCCTGTATGGAGAGCATCAGAGCATTGACGTCTTGGGGGGCAGCTGGGGCAGCAACTGGGGCAGCAATCCCAGGAGCGGCTGGGGCAGGAGGTGCAGGAGGTGCGGTTGGAGCTGGCGGCGGTGGTGGAGGTGGAGTAACACCCGACGGAGCCGGCGAGGAAGGCGACGACACAGGTCCTGAAGCTGCCCCAGATGCCGGTCTCGGAAGCATGCTCCCAAACAGCTGTTGCGCGATGTTTGCCCGCGCCGAACGCGACTGGGTAATCTCATCATCGCTGCTGTCATCTGAGTCGTCCTTCTCCTGGATGTCATCCCAGTCGTCCTCAAGGGCGGAGGGCGCTGTCTGGTAGTTTGTCTTTACGACATTTGGAGCAGGGCTCTTGGACGGCGGAGGAATCGACGGCGAACGCACGGGTGCTGGCTTGGGTGCTGAGTTAGCCCATGGATTCGCACTGGTACCGTTCGTTATTGGAGGCGAAACAGGCGCAGCACCGGCCCCTTCTTTGATAAGTCGACTGAAGGGGTTGGTTGACTTCTCGACTGCAGGAGGAGAGACCGCAGGCGGCGCTGGAGCTGGAGCTGGAGCTGGAGGAGCTGGAGGCTGCGCAACTTGAACAGGCGGAAACGCTGGGGCTGGAGGAGGACTAGGCGACTTCACAGGCTTGCTTTTCTTCATAGCCTCTAATCTAGCTTGAAAACGAGCCTCCTCTTCACGGGCAGCCTCTTCCTCCTGCCGCTCCAACTCGCGCAAACGAGCTTGGAACTTGGCTTCTCGCTCTTCTCGCTGTTTCCGAAGTGTCTCCTCACGAGCACGCAGCATCTCTTCGTGTCTGTCGACCTCTGGCTCCGGCTCCGGTACAGGAGCAGGAGGAGGCGCAACAGGTGCCGCTGGTGCACGAGGAGCAGGGGCTTTGCGAGGTGGTGGTGGTGCAGGAGCTCGTGGTTTGGGTGGAGGAGGAGCCGCCTTCGGGGTTGGTGCTGGTGCTGGAGGTACAGGGGCAACCTTCGGCTTGGGCGCGGGAGGAGGAGCAGTTCTCGTTGGAGTAGGCGTCGGCGGAGCTGGCGTAGTCCTTCCTTCCTTCAAAGCCTTCTCACTCTCCAGTCTCTCCTTCCTAGCCCTCTCCCTTTCCTCCGCCTGCTTCTCAGCAGCCTTGGCCTTCTCTTCTGCCTCCTTCTTCTCCTGCTGAAGTCGGTCCTCGACACTCGTGTCCAAAGTAGGAGACGCAGACGGAGCAGTGACGCCAAGGGCAGCCATGCGAGCCTGGATACGACGTTGAGCCTCAGCTTTCGCGAAAGCCTGACGTTCAGCCGCTGACATACTCTTCAAGGCCGGAGAAGGAGTCGACTTGGGTGAGGGAACTGCAGGAGGATCTCGGATGGCACTGGCTGGAGGTGCAGCTGGAGCTAGAGGTGGAGAACGAGCAGAAGCAGGGGGGCTACGGGGTCGATCGTAATCCCTCTCTCGCGAGTGTTCTCTGCGATAGCCATCTCTGTCCCGGCCATCGCGGTCGTAAGCACCTCGAGAATAACCTCTGTCTCGATCTTCGCCACCGCGAGAGTAGGGCCTATCTCTATCGTCGCCTCGGGAGTACGGTCTGTCTCTGTCGTCGCCCCGAGAGTACGGTCTGTCTCTATCGTCGCCCCGAGAATAAGGCCTATCGTGGTCGCGGTCGTCTCGTCGTGAGTAGTCGTCTCTGCCGCCGTCGTATCTTCCGAAACGTTCGTTAGCGCGATCTCGGTCACGTGCCCATTGCCTCCTCTCCCTTTCTTTTCTCTCTTCGCGTGCCTTGATCTTGCGCTCGACTTCGGGTATCCGTTCGTGCATGAGAGAAAGCATCTCACGTTCCAAGCGCCGCCTTTCCTCCTCCTTGGAGGTGGATCTCGGGCCTCGAGAGTTGTAGTCAAGATCCTCTTGCACCCGCTTGACACGATACTTCAGGTCTTCCATTTCGCGATCAAGCTCCTCGTCCTCTCTTGTTCTCAGTGACTTTTCTTCCGCATCGCGGTCCAACCTCGACGCAGTGTTGGCTAGCTGGCGTTTCATGTCGGATAGATCGGCTGAGGGGCTGTCATCCTCGTTGCGTGAGCGGATTGCGTCACGGTCAACATGGCGTGAGCGAGGCTTATATATGCCCGTTGGTTCGTCGTCACTGTGTTTGTAGACAGTAGCATCGCGACTATTGTCTCTCGCTGGCGATGAACCATAGAAGGTGCGGACTTTCGCAAGAGATTGTGGTGCATCGAAGCTGGATGGAGAACGCGCGCGATTATCACTCTTCAACAACTCCTTGATGCGGTCAACGGAGTCGTCAAGATCCGCAGAGGATGGTGGCACGAGCTCTCGAGGTAGTTGATCAGGGATGGGCATGCCATTTAATCCTATTGGAGGGTAAGTTGGGTCTGATAACGAACATGAAGGCGAAGAACATACTGCGATATATCAGGGCCATCGCGACGTGAAATTCGGCGATGTTTAACTTTCCACGATCGTTAATATCAGCTAGTGTCCTGAAATGAAATGTTATTGCGGGTCCATCAACGAGTCAACATTATACTCACCAGATACGCGCAAGATCGTCCTTCGGGAGGCCACTCGCACCAAATCCTTCTATGGCAGCTGCTCCACTAATAAAGCCAGTGCTGTGGGTATCCCATGCTCTGAAGATGTTATCGTAATTCTTCCGCTCTGCCTTGGTTAATCCCCACGACATTTGCTGGCTGGTGGAACCACGTTGAGCTTGATTGTGTTGCTGAATTGATTGCACAAGATTCTGGGATTGGGGTTGAAGCTGGGGGAGGCCACTGGCGGTATAAGGAGCCGAAGTATTGATTGGCATGAACGTTTGCGACATCATTTGAAGACGAGGGTCGATATATCCTGTGACTTGAGGAACCAGCATTCCGCTGCTGCCAGGTCTTCCTCCAAATCCCGTCGGCTGAGGCAGCAAGCCGCCACCTCCAAATCCCGGCGACGCATTCAGATGTCGATTAGGTGGTGGTGCATTAAGAAAACTAGGTTGATTAGGTTGTTGGAATTGCGATGGAATAGGAGGAACTGGGGGAGGAGGAGGAGCTGGCCGACTCTGTTGCGCGAAGCCTCCGCCAGCAAAACCAGTTGGCTGTGCTTGGATGAAGCCAGAACCACCTGGGAAACCCGTCTGCTGAGGCTGCTGGAATCCTCCTGGGCGCTGTCCCTGAAATCCCGTCTGCTGCGGAAGCAGACCACCATTGGGAATTCCTAGGCCACCATGCTGGAACTGCTGCTGAGGAGGCTGCTGAAACTGCGGGTTTTGCTGTTGAAATTGAGGGTTTTGAGGCTGAAATTGCTGGTTAGCGCCTGGAAAGCCGGTCTGCATAGGGATTTGAAACCCTTGCTGCCCTTGCCCCCATTGCGCCATGGTGGTTTGCGATAAAGATGAGCTCGGCCCATCCACGCGGCGACAAATACCGCGGATTATGTAAGTCGCCCAACGCCAGGGTCCGAAGTTTCCGTCTTCAAGTGAACTTCAGCCTTCTCTTGAATCTCAACCATCGCAACCATCTCCATTGGGACCAGTATTTTGAAAAGCTACAAGTTATGTACTCCAAGGCTGAACACAATTCCGTCTCGGGACACTTCTTCCAACTCCTATACTTCAATGTGGAATTCCGAACGTCCCGCGGTCGCTCTCATCCGCAGATAGCGCAAAAGATATTTCGAAAGGTTAGCATACTCAAAAATATTTTCTCGGACATGGTCTGAGGATGAAGAAGAGTCTCTTGATAATTTTTCTCTTCAAAAGTCGGCCAACAGTCCACCCATACCTTGCACTGCAGGCACCTCTGTGATACGGGTCTCAAGCCATGATCCCGAAAGAAGAGGCTCCAAAGAGATCTTCTGTGAATCTTTGAGGCGATAAATCCTCAGACGCCTTGGTGTTGTAGTGATGATCGATGCCGCCCTTTGGAGGTGGAATCTCTCGTTCATTGCTTAAAGCTCGCGATGATCTGCAGAAAAATCACAGTAAGTTACTTCTCGCACACTGAAATGTTTGTCTCCTAATGGATATTGCTTGTACAGTCATCGTCAGATTGTTGCGATTGTGGCTATACGGTGCTCCCGAATCAAGTCTCTCGCTCAATTCAAAACTGTTCAACTGTTCAAGTCATGGGAGGCCGTGCAAGAAACATTTATCAACACCTTCCTCGTTGATGCTCAAGTTCAAGCCCGCGAGCGACGTAATAACACATATACCCGCGACTCGCATGGCTGAAGTGCACCCCTTCGTGGTCATGCAAACCACACCCAATGCCATCCTTGCGACAACGCAGAACGTTAGAACCTTCCTACCTCTGTTTTCATGCTGTGCACTTATCCTGATTCTTGTACCGATCATCACCCTCCTCTCATTCCAAGATCCTCCAAGTCAAAACAAAATTATCCAATTTTAGTCGAATCAGAGGTCACATTCGTCCATCTGTTGTCCACTTGACGGAGACGGTTTGATTTTATGACACGCCGTCTAGCTCGTGTGGAGGAGGCGTCTGATCAGACAAGTCACTGACGTGAAATTAAAGTCTATTCGTAAGGGAGATTGTTTCGATGACGTTGAGTTACCCATGGACCGTTCATTTATGTAGGTACAAAGCACTACTCAGTGCAAAAAGAAAAGGAGTTTCGGAAACTCCGCCCCAAGGACGGGTAAGAACTCAAGAATCAATGAGGGGACACTAACAAGCAATCTTCTATAGGAACCCCCTGCCGCGAAGGGCATATTGTATACTGCCTTCAAGGCTTCGCAATAGACGTCGGCTTCTTTAAGAACGCCATTCCTGGTGGAGGATTCGATGTGCCAGGATAGGCAATGCAACATTCTTAGTGGTGGTATATATATGCTGGTCCGAAACGCACGCAAAGCTAACTAGCCCTCCGCTTGTTGGACGAAGGTAGGTCACTTCACTCAAGCTATGTAAATCCTGTATTTCTGACATTATCCACCAAGCATGGCAGACATTCGAGGAGCTGACATATGTACGCAGCGCAGCGTTCTCCAACGAGAAGAAGCGCGTCTCTCAGCCGCGCTCGCTTCAATACGCAACCAGCTGAACGAGCTGGTCCCCATCTCTTCGCTTCCAGCGGAAATTCTGGAAGAAATATTCGAAATATGCGTCTCATGGCTCTATAGCTGCCAGAAGCCCAAGCACCGGCTGGCGTGGACGCAAGTGTGCTGCTCGTGGCGACGTATTCGCTCAACTCAAGCAGGCTTTGGCAGCGCATCGACCTCTGCGACGCCCGGTTCGCGGATGCATGCCTCCTCCGGTCCAAGCAGGCGCCACTATCCATCGTCTCGACGTCGCCACTCAAATTGACAACAGATAGCAATCGCCTCACGCTGCACGCCGCACGTTTGCGGTCCATTGACGTCTTCCTCTTCCCTGATGATATGCTCAGCCTCTTTGTGAGCACGGGGCGAGCCCTGCCTTCTCTCGAAAGGTTGTCGCTCCGAGTTCCGCCGGCGTCGCCACTTTCGCTCGACCTCTCGGTGCCGCATGTGCGCCGTCTCTTCCTCGACTGTGTCGCGGTACGCTGGGACAGCTGCCAAAACCTCACCCACCTCTCTCTTCATGGGCTGGACGCAGAGATGTGCCCTTCTATTCTCCAGATTCACACCATCTTCTCGGCTTCACCGAACCTCGCATATATCCGCCTCGAGAACATCCTCCCAAACATCGAAGATGCCCCAACCCCACAACCCGTCGCACTATTGTACCTCAAGGAGATGATCATATCGTCCAAACCATCCATCGTCCGTCCGATCCTCGCATGTGTCTTCCTAGGCCCTAATACCCGTCTTCAACTTTACCTTTCACTTTCCGATGATTTGCACACCTTATTTCCTCATGGGCTACCTTATCTGACACAACGTCACAATGTCACCTCGCCTTCGCCTCCTGCCCCCGACCTCGATGTGCATACAGTCCGATTCTCAAGACATGGAGCCAGCTTCCTCCGATGCCCTATCCCGGGCAAACGAGGAGAAAACGCAACATCACCCGCGCCACCGTGGGTCGATGACACCTCGCAGATGGTTTTCACGTTGAGCTCAGCGTCCTCAGTCGGTACACGCGTCTGTTCATCACTCGACCACCTTATGGACCTCAGCCGCGTGCGGGCTCTCGAGCTCAACACAGGAGTCCTGCTCGACATCCCGATGAAGGCCCTTCGATTTCTCTTTGCAGGCCTATCGAACCTTGACACGCTCCGAGTCGCGTTCAACGACCTCGAGGATTTACTGAACCTTCTCCAGGTAGTTGATGGGACAGCCACCTCGGAAGATAGTATTAGCGACAATTCGGGGTTCGCACTCGGACAGCTTTACCTTCCACGTCTTTCAACGTTGTCGTTCAGCAAGCCGTCAGATTTGTGGTGGCATTTTGGCGAGCGTTGGATTTCGCCTATTCTCAGATGCGTCGGGTCACGACGCCTACACTCCGCTCCCCTTCAAACCCTACAGTTTTTTAGATGTCATGGGATCACGCTAACATCTGTGAAGGCGTTGGAGGACGTCGTTCCTCATGTCATTATTTCTGAGCAGCTCGGAAGAAGAAGCTCTTTATGATGGGTAATGTCATGGCTTGCAGTATACCGCTACCCCCGCCTAATACATATGCTAGTGCTTTGAGAACGATTTGAAATTTACTAGACAGTTTTTCTTATGTGTTCTGGATTACTGCGGCTCTCATAGATTGGTCGGGTGTGAGAAACGACCCTTCTCCGGGAGTTTCGGTATGGCACTAACGTCCTTTATCAGGCAATCTCAATTGCATATCTGCTAGCCTTGAATACAGTCGCTTTCAATGATGCATACAGCAAACTATATCCCTGAGATCTTGTTTCGCTATTCTTCTACTCGAGGTGCACTGCCGCTTTGGGATACAGCTCGCTGATTCGCAACCCACTCCTCCCAAAAGTCCGAATGCATCGTGCGACGAGAGGCGTCCAAGCAAGAACCATGACTCAAGCATCTTGATTAACGGCGGAGAAAGTGTTACATTGCCGCTCTGAGAACGAAGTGGAGTGGACTTCGAGGGTGCCTTCGGTATTCGCGAACAATGATGCCTCGATGATGCCACCTTGATGATCTGACCTGTCATCTGCTCCAGTATTGGATACTCGCTGACTTTAAAGAGGATTCCGAACCATTCGGAGTCCGAGGAGAAGGATTTATATTTTGGTGTAACCTGTCAGTGGGTATTCGAAGGATCCCACTCGTGTTCCATTGCAATGTGTGTTGAATGCGAGGTTAGAAGCAGGTTTGTCCAAAGAACAAGTTTGTAATGGTTGCTGTTTTGTAATAAATTGTGAATCGGAAGATTTAAATGGCGTGCCGTCGATGTAGAAAAGGAACAGTTGACGGGACATCCCTACCATGTTGCTACCCGACTAATTCAACAGATGCAGTGAGTCTAGTGTTGCGATCTCCGAAAAGGGTCACTGGCAAGCATCGGTAGCGACAATAAAGGGATCTAACACCAGTCAAACTCTTTATTCTTAATAATTAAACCACGATACTCTATGCCCCAGCGACGCAAGCGGTGAACAAGAGACACAGCAATGAATGGTGATTTCGGTCTATGTGTCCAGAACTTCTGTACGGAAAAAGGGTATGACGCACAGGCCTTGGCAAAAATGGATAGCATAAATTCACAGTAGCTACAATAATTTTTTTTCTGTCCTTCTTTTCGCCTGTTGATGAGCTCTAGAGGCACTCGGGAGATGTGGACGCTTGTGGATCCATATTTTGGCGAGGCTCATGTAATCATATCATTGGATCTCCGCCTGAAAGTTGGTGGACGGTTTCTCAGCGCCTCCAGGCGCGTCGTGCATCGCCACTTCCCGCGACAACAAGCCATCCCTTGCGATAATGAGCTCCCAAGATCCTCTACTCGCCCTTCGCCAGGCAATTAAATCTAAAAGCATAGTCACCTACTCAACCGATGGCAGGCCATGTTCATCACTGGTCAATGCGAAACAGCTGGTCATTGACGGACATTCCTACACCAAGTCAAGCTCAACACGATATCGGAAGGCGGGGGCTCCATCGGATTTCTACTCCTTGGATGCGGTGTACGTTGCATGGCTTCTTCGAGATGCGCCAGGAGCAGAGTACATGAAGCAGGCCCGTGAGCATGGGTTGGCGGTTGGATTCGTTAGTGTGACGGAGCGGAAACATGTCGTGGATTGGCTGGAAGGAAGGATTTCTGATAGCAACAGGATAGCGCCACTTTCTGGTGGGTTCTGGTGGGGATATCTCTTGACAAGTTGTTGAACTTGGTTTAGCGGGCGAATCAACGACACCACCTGGAACACCACCACGACCAACTGGTGGACAGACGTCTCAAGCCACTCCACGTCCACGGGGCGCAGAAGCTCATACATCATCTCCCACAAAGAGGCGCTACGTGGCCGATGCACAAGATGTCGAAGTCGTGAAGAAGATCAAGCAGAACGAGGTTGAACTTAGGGATCGGACTACTGTACTGAGAGGAACGAAACCCAATGTAAGCACCGAAGGCTCTCCATCCGCGTCTCTTCGATTTCTGATGATTCTTCATGGACTCAGAACTTTTCCGCTGTACGGACGGCTTACACTGAGAAGCTGAAGAAGCTGAGGGAAGCCCGACCAGGAACTGGCTCCACTCCTGCAACGCCTGTTGCCGGTACGTTTTTGACGGCCATTAGTCAAAGAACTCATTTTTATCCTTCTGCTACTAGACCCCAAGATGCTGGCAAGGAAAGCCCGTAAGTACAACACTACATTGACGAACGTCTTCAGCTGAAGAGGCTATAGGACACAACCAGCCCATCATCATGATTTCTTCTTCTCCCACAGCTCTCATTACCATGCACAACGTAAAGCGATTTCTGGAAGACTCGACGTAAGGTGCCTCTCGTTCTAGGCCCATGTTTGAATTAACTTGACGCATAGGTTTGAACCCTCACAAGAAGCCCGTGCCCGAGCTACGTCTGAAGGCAACCTGCGGCCCGAGGACCTTATTCCAATATATCGAAAACGTACCACCATCGACAGCAGTGGGAAGGAAACAGTCATCAAAGCCACATACCTTGTCGTCGACAGTGTGGAAGCGCTTTCGAAGTTTGGCCCCGATGCCTGGGACCGTGTAGTGTGCGTCATGACCACTGGTCAGGCCTGGCAGTTCCGCCCGTATAAATGGAACGAACCACGGCAACTATTCCACAATGGTCTGTCGAACGTATTTTCCATTGTATCTTATCTTTTCATCTCATTGATATGCTCTTCGGACCTTAGTGAAAGGCATCTACGTCTCGTGGTCGAACGACCCTCCTAACGTGAAGATTAAAGATTGGAACGTCACTGAACTGAAGGTACGCATGCCCACCGCGTGTTTACGTCAAGATTTCTTTTTCATCTTTTTGCTCACTACGGTGGGTTAGATCGATCCTCATCGACGACATGTTGACAAATCTGTCGTTGCTCACTTTTGGAAGCTGCTCGATACTTGGATACAGACGAACAAGCCGTGGCTCATGAAGGTCTGATGGAACCCGATGCATTGCTTCGTGGCTTTCTTGTTGGTGGCATTGGTTGCACCTGTCTTGTTGCTCGCCGCTGTACCCCGCCGTCGTGTGCTCGCCTTCAATAGGCTGTTTGTCCGCCTCCCTTACTGTATCGATCCCAGAAAACGCCTGTCTTTCGTGCGCTATCTTAGCCTCACATGTATGTTACGCAATCATCATCTCGCTTTCCTCTACCCGCTGTCTGCTCGTAGATTAATTTCCAGGTCCTCGAAGCATGGGATCAATGGCGCCCCACATCAACTCAACCCCTCTGGCTATCGAAAATATTCTTTCATCTTTGACTCCGAATGAGCTTCTCGTCTCCGCCCGCAGTAGCACCGTGCAAACTCGTTTCTTCTACCCGCTCCTGTCCGTCTTCACTGGAACATTTCAGCAAGCGTAAGATGGCCGTCAAGCTGCACTGTTGTCTCCGTCAATATCCCATCCGAAGATAGCACAACTGGACGATTAATACGAACCCTGGAGATCGGACATTTCTTGCCTCGTTTTCTGCTTCGTTCGTCTTCGGCTGATGTCCCTTTAGACTCTGTCCAACCCTCACGCCCTCTTTCTTCGAATATTGTCTCCGTTTCGGATTTATCGTCCCATCCTTCCGACTGCGAAAGGCGAGTTATTGGGCATGTACTGGGATCGAGGAGGCTAGAAATGACGACATGCCATATATGCGGTGCGTTCATCGAATGTTTTCTGTTCGTGGAAAACCAGTCCGTTAACGAGCTTCCTTGAGCAGGATGTCCAATATCTAATGAGAGAACGAACCATTAAATTTGGATCTACAGCACGCATGGGTACTGTAGTGTACTGCTTGGGCACATCGTAAGCCGCCGCACGTTGAGTATTGTGGCGAGAAAGAGCGAGTGTGAAAGAGGGAAATGGAGCCTTCGGGATGGACATCGTGGCTGTCTCAATGCCTTCAGTTCCTTCGATTCAAATCCTCGGAACGGCCAGCGTAACGAGCGGACACTGGGGTATGTTACGAGGTCAAGAAAGAAATGAAGTGACGGTATCGATGGGGCCGCGTGCCGTTCGTTCCTTTTATCCTTTCATTATGTTTACAGGTCCCAGGACATCCCCCACGCTTCCTCTGCAGGGAGTGGAGAGAGAACCTTTAGGTGTCTGATCGAACCTGAAGAAGATGAAGGGTGGAGCGACGGTGGGAGTAAACCAAGCTTCGCCGGATTAGCTCTTCGGAGAATGCGTTAAGCCCTTTCCACTACCATTGTGATAACAGGTCCACTCAAGAGCTTCTTTTGTTTCAGGCGATCATGATGCTGTCGTGTGCGCCCACCGAAGAAACACGTTCGGATTAACTCGTCAGCCCTGTATTGACATTTTCGTGTCTACCTTCGTACAGTGCGAGCGAGCGGTGTGGCGCTTCAGCTTCCTTCGATAATCGAATGTCTATGACGAAAATCGCATCATATTGATTATGGGAGGCTGAAACGAAGGGTATCGGACCATTAATAAAACAACTTTATGAATCGTAATCGGCTTCGATCTTACACCCCAAATCGTTTCTCTAAGCACCTAGGGTGTTATTGCTGCCAACCTCGCGTCCAGCAAGTTCAGCACCGTGTCCATACCGAGCAGCACTCCTTCGTCTGGGCCTTTACCCGGCACCACGGACGTGTGGGCGAAGTCGATCAGCTTGACCGTGAATGGTGGCCCAGACTTCGGTTTGGAGCTCTCCTCCTCTTCCTCATCTCCTTCCTCGTCTTCGTCCTCTTCTTCCTCACCCTCGAGGTACTGCTTGATGGCCTCGTCGGCACGTGTCCAATCGGCCTCGTAGATGATCAGCAGGCTGCCGCCGACCATGCGCAGCTCGAGTGAGGCGAATGCCTCCCTGATCACCTCGATCTCTTCTCGAATAGCACGGAGAACAGGGACCAGGGTTTCTCGTGGCAGCCCGCTTGAAGGTGTTGGCTCTGCGGACGGCTCCGCCTCCGGTAGGCCTACAGGGAAGAATTTCGCGATCCCCTCGCCAAGCTGGCTGGCCTTGATCGATTTGCCATAGGCCTTGGGTGTATTAACGGGCTGAGATGTGATATTATCGTAAACCTGGGAAGCGATGGGCCTTAGGCTCGGGTTCGAGATGAAATAGGCGCGAATAGGCAGACTCACTTGGAACCCAGTCAATCGTATACCCTTTTCGAATGATGTGGTATCCCGAGCAGCTTTTTCCATTCGCGCGACTTTCTCTGGCGGCGCAGTTTCATCGTACAAGACAGTTCCCAGTTTGACGTCAAGGATGTTAGGCTTTAAGAACGAGAAACTTAGGTTCTCCAGCACTAGAGATTGTAGATATCGGACGCAATGATCAGCCGCTCGATCTCTGAGGGATTTCACTGAATACATATCTTTCTCAGCACCTGCCGGCTCAAGGACCGCTTCTGCGAGATTATCGGTCTTTGCTGGATCGACCTTGCCCTCTAGCTTGAGGGTTCCGAGAAATTTGGGTGTAAACTCGCGCAGTACCTCGAGGGCAGGGTCTTGTTGCAGGGCTTGATAAAAGTGAAGCTCGCGGGGCAGAGCAGGTTTGATTAGCAGCGATCCATCTTCAGTTGTCATTACACCGGCATGCCCGCCCACTTGGGACGCTAGTCGTTGGGTTGTAGGAGTGTCCATGGTGCAGCCGACGTTTGATCAAGATTCTAGACGTCGTCGTGGTGAGAGTAAAAGGAGTGAAAGTCATCAGCCTCAATAAAGCATCATGATTTCATTACTACTTAGTACGGTCTCGTCGCAGCCGCTCACGTCGAAAGCATGTAAGGAGTTCAGCGAATTATGTGACCATTCTTCAATTCTTAGTCTTGCATCGGACTAATATCACGGATAACAAAATTTCATTAATATCTACTTCAGATCATGCGGGTCATAACAACAGTGGGTATACGATAGGCAATGGGTAAAGAAGGAAAAAGACCGCTTAGAAGTAGTTGCGGCGGTAAGAGCGGCGAGCCTTCGTCTGCTTCGTAGTAGTCTTCTCCGCGGCAGTGGTGGCGGCCTTAGCCCCGGCAGCGGGCTTATCAGTGGCTGAGGAGGTTGTCGAAGTAGCTGAGGAGGTTCCCTTCTTCGACGCCGTGTACGCAGCGTGCTTGGCCTTAGCCTCTGCATGCTTGGGGTGAGAGGGGTCATTGAGCGCGTTCACGAACCCCTGCTTCTTGGTGGCAGCAGCGTGCTTGGGGTGGTTCGGGTCAGCAAGAGCGGCCTTGTGCTCGGCCTTTTTCGCCTCCTTCGCCTTCGCGGCGGCGTGCTTGGGGTGCCTGGGGTCAGCGAGCGCGGTACGGTGCGCTGCCTTCTTCGCCTCGAGAGCCTTGGCCTTAGCGTGGTGGGGGTGGCTGGGGTCGGCTAGAGCAGACTTGTGAGCGGCCTTCTTCGCAGCCCGAGCCTTAGCAAGAGCGTGCTTCGGGTGCTTGGGGTCGGCGAGGGCGGATTTGTGAGCAGCCTTCTTCGCAGCCTTTGCCTTCGCCTTCGCGTGGTGAGGGTGCTTAGGGTCAGCGAGAGCAGCTTTGTGGGCGGCTTTCTTCGACGCCTTAGCTTTGGCGAGAGCGTGCTTGGGGTGCTTTGGGTCAGCGAGAGCGGCCTTGTGCTCAGCTTTCTTCGCCTCCTTGGCCTTGGCGAGAGAGTGGTGAGGGTGGGCGGGGTCAGCGAGGGCAGCCTTGTGCTCGGCCTTGGTGAGCTTGTGCTTTGTCGAGGTGGTCTTCGAGTCTTTGGTGGCAGTGGTGGACTTGGTCTCAGTCTTCGACTCGGTGGGAGTCGTAGGTGTCGTCGGTGTGGTGGGCGCCTATAGAAGTGAAGGATGAATAACATATCCCAACATAAACACGATAGATAAACTTACAGAGACAGCACGCTCTTCGAGCGCTGAGTAGACGAATTCCCGAGCAGCCAGCTCGATGTCCTCGAGTTCACGAGCCTCCAGGCCTTCCTCGTAGTATCCACGGGTCTCCAGGAACGAATCGTAAAGCTCACGGGCCGAAAGCTCCTGCACCTCAGTGTCAACCTCCCTGGCCTCAACGTCGTATTCAACATCGCGGGCAGCGATGGAGTTCGAAACGACGGGGAGAGCAAGGACGCTCGAGGTGCTGTAGGCGAGAGCAGAAGCGAGAACGACGATGTTGGAGGTGAGCTGCATGATGATTACTAAAAGTAGGGTGAAAGAGAAGTAGGACTGTCATTGCACAAGGTCAGCGATGAGGATACGATAACGAGCATCGAAGGGCACATACGTCGTGAAGTAGTTTGTTAAGAACGTGAAGGGATCAAAGGTCCTGCCTAAGACTGTGAAGGACAACATCGGTCAGCGACGAAGGCGACAAGGAGATGGTAAAGCACTCACTTCGAGTGATGGGGAGCACCGGGCTTGAGAAACATTCCTGGGACAAGGCGGGCTTTTATACGGCCAGCCAGCATCCTTTGTTTGTTCTATGCCCCAAGCAGTCGCTGTTTCAGCGCCCTCATTCGGGCATAGTGGGCGATGCGACGTTTACGTGCATGCGAATCAATCACGATACGGCTAACAAGGGCACTCATTTTTAGGTTTTTTGTGCCGGTTTATGGGCGCCAGCACTGCCTGTATCACTGGGTAAGTACAATGCAAGTCTTTCGGACAGAAAATGGAGATCCTGCCTGTCGTCTTTCTGAAAATCCTGGAAGGCATTGCAAAGGGATTGGAAAACCCAATGGTGGGAATTCCGCCAAGGACGCGATTGATCAAATGTGACCACCCATTTCGGGGTATACAAGTACGTTTCATCAAACGTCAAGTCGGCTTGCCAAGTATTTCTGACGCAGGACGCGCGTCCAGCCGAGGCCCGTCTCATGGGCTCGTTGGAGCAGAAAAATCTCCGAGAATTTTACTGTTGCCTCCACATACGAGGATATAAAGAATATATATACTACTCATGATTATTTTCCTGGTTCTGTCTATGTACAACCACTCCAAGCCGCTTTGCTTCCCGGATGCTCCAATTACAGGCGTATGCAAATGTCTGTATTGTGGCAAGTGGATCGACTAGTACTGCGGTGATAGATCCTTTCCTCCGACCCTGCAACAACTGATGATGGATTTACCTCTGCTTGCCGTAGCGTGCTGCCGCAAGTCGCCAAGTGACGATATCACGATGAAACGCAGGCAAATCTTTTGTGGATTATTGAAGGGGTGAACAGGATTCTTCCTTTTCCATTTAGCCTGAGTCTCGAAGACGCCGTCCTGTGTCAATCCTGAGACCTGACGACCGACGGAAAAGCTGTGTGGCGTTTTAAAGACGTCACGTCGAAAGCGTAAGTCAAACGCACATCTCAGAGGGCACGCACAGCGCCGTAAATAATATGTAATCACGTCTATATAATAATGCAAGGGACGGATCTCCTAGCACCCCCGAGTAGGCCGAAAGCCTCGCGATGCAGTACAGAGGCGATGCCTCCTGGTGGGAGTGTGGCGCACTGTAAAGGACGACGATCCTACTCCTACTCCGGGAGATTTCTGCCCTCATAATCTCGACATAGGGACTTACGAAAATCTCGTCAAGTGGTTTTTCAACGTCCATAAATTGCTTGCACCGCCCAAACAGCAGATCTATGATGTACAGTGGGCGTTTTACGGCGTAACGGGATCAATAGGCGGTGTCGCTATTCTTAGAACTGATTGCGGAGAATAGAATCTCGTGATCAGAGGCTCCTTGCTCCGCTACCACCATCATCTAATCACGCATACATGCCGCACAAGATGAACCACGAAACGCACACATACATCTCGGTGGCACTTTCTTCAGCCTCACCCTTCTTAACATCGCCCGAATCTCTCCCCGCTGCCCACCCAAGCCTCTCGCTTTCGTATATCGGCCAAGTAGGCGAACTCCACGACGTCCATCTGTACAGCATCCCAAAAGAACAATGGCGTAGGCATGGGGCTTCTGGTGATGCCGAAGAGATTGTTGTGAGGAGCTTGCAGGAATCAGATGGTGTACTTCACGTCGAGGTTCAGTCACCACGACAAAGAGTTCGAAGGAGCGGGGACGAGTTATAGACTGTCTTGGTGGCAGCTTGGGCCTAAGTAAGCAGGTTGTTGAGGCTACTTCTCTGCTAAGCTGATTGAAGTTCTTAGGGCGTCGTTTCTATCCAAAAATGATTTAGAGTACGCGCACGAAGTGGATTGTATACGAAGTTGTTGCAGAATCCCATCGGGAAATCGAAATGACCACTCATTTTAAATTCCCATAAATTACACCTCGTAACGCTAATGATCTATGGCTATCATCAGCCCTGGATTACTGAATCCATTATCGACCCCAACTTCTGAAGTTGAGGGAGCATCGGACGCCCTTCCGGAATTGGAAACTGTGCAGTGCGCCACAATCGCCTATCTTTCGCAACATCTATCTCGGTTTCGACGGTTACTGCAACAACCAAGCCTCCTATCTCTTCTTCTTGTTTCGGACCGAATCTCTTTGGACTTTTGGAGCAAAAAAGTTCGAAAACATCCTCTTCCGTGAGGGTCGAACTCACGACTTGTGTGCGGCGTTCGATCCTCACGGTGATTTCGTAGACGGGAGCGATACCTCGTCAAGCGAGGTGCGGTTCGAGCGAAAGCGTCCGAGCTTCACCGAGAGGAAAGGTGGTCATATAAAGGGTCCTCTTTTCTGTCCCCTCATCTCGCTCGCCTCGCGTCATGCCTGCCATCGTCTTCGACCCTGCCTTTCTTGAGCCCGTCAGCCCGGAGCGCAACAAGCAGATCGTGGCCCACATCAGGGACATGCACCACGTTTGTACCATCCTTCAGTGACGGGCCGCCCAACGCTTGGTCGCTCTGCACAACATGCCCGACGATAGCGACGGCGACAACGACAGCGACGAATCCGAGGTTGACGAGCTCATGGACGACTCGACCGCTGTTGCCTTTGACGGCATCCTGTCTCGCTCACTGGCTCCATGTTCATCCAAGATTGGGCTTCCTTGGTTCTCCGGCCCGTCCTGAGAATCGCTACTCTGCCTTTGTTCGTCTCTTGCGGGGCTACTATCCTGCAGACGATGTCGCTCAAGCGGTAAGCGTGGCCATCACACACTTTCCCTTGCACTGACCTCCCACAGAGCACGGTGTTCATCGAGCTCCCCGAGAGCCACCTCATTGATACCTGCTGCCGCCAGACGCTCGCCATCGCCCCCATGGAGAACCCTTTCGAGCGTCTCCAAGCTCACGAGATCATCATGGACACCCGCGACGCCCTCTACGCCCACAAGTCCATACCCACAAGTCTATGCCCACAAGTCCATGCTCGCTCTTGTCAAGCTCGTCAACGCCATCCTCTTTGCTTCCGAGTGGAGCAGCCTCAACCCCTTGTTCCAGAACATCATCTTCCACACCACTTACGGCACCTACCATCTTCCGCCGCCGTTTCGATCGCGTGATAGAATATCGGATGAAACTCCGAGCCCTCTTTCTCAAGGTGAGTGCCGTTCCCTTCCGTTCCCTCTCCTTTCACCTCTTGCTGCCAGTTCGGCGCCGGAGTGCTCCTTGACGCGTGCTGCTGGTTCCCGCCCTTTTCCTACGCGGCCAGTCTCGAAGATATTCCCTCCACGGCATTGCTCGCCGACTTCATCAGAAACGCGCCCGTCCCGGATGCCCAGACCCTAGAGTACAACACCCAGCCCTCACTCAGTTTGTCCACGCTTTAGGGCACTATGTCAGGGATTTCTTGTTGGCGGATGTTTAGAACCTCCTGCAGTATCTGGGGCTTTTGCTCGAATATGATGTTGTCTCTCTTGACTGTTTACACATGCAATGATAGAAATGTCCGATTCCTTCCGAGTCTCCTTCCTTGAGTGTCCCCTTCCTAGAAGCCGCCATAGTGTCCGTTGTTATCTGTTTTCAATGTTAGAAAAAGCAAGGGCAACGAGCCAGCTACGGCACTCACAACCACAGTAGGGACCACTAGTGAAAGCATATTGGCCTTCCCACTGGCCGAGCGTCATTTGGCCACTCGGTCCGGCCTGTCCGTTCCCAGCGTTCAAATTAGACGCCTACTGTCCTGTCGTCGTCGCTGCGGTGTTGTGCGGAGCTTTTATTATTGTTGTTGCTGCTGAAAGTGGCAAAAAGTGCTCCCTGAGAGACTCGAACTCTCGACCTCAGATGGCATAATCCAAGATTACTGATACATAACATATGAGACCTGCGCTCTAACCAACTGAGCCAAGGAAGCTTTACAAATAGACACCCAAGACTCTTAACACGATGGGAGAGTCCAAGGCCTGTTTCTCAGTACCATGCCGCCAGCTTTTTATGTCGATAACCTTTGAACGCAGACGCATGCCGTCCACCAACCGTCCACTTGGCACTAGCAGTTGCTATTTGTTTTCTGGTCGCCCACAGGACTAAACCTATTGAGCGCCTGTGCTGACCTTGGACCTGCAATTCGTCCCTGAATATCACTGCCATGAACTTTGTGTCTAAATGGCAGTCTTTTCTTATCGCGGATTCTCGTTCTCGTAACGTAACGTCGGCTGGCTGGTGTTTCTTGAGAGAGTTGCGCCATTGTACTCCCAAAGATTTTTTTGCGGTTATCCCGAGTCAACTTGGAATTCTTGAATAGTACTATAAAAGTGTAGAGAGACTTGGAAGGATGTCCTCGAGGTGAACACCTATGGACTTCATTTAAAATTCTTCCATCTCCAACCTGGCATTCAATAGAATGGACTGCAAGCCATTATTCGCTACCGCGACGTCGAGGACATCGTTGCTCGCGAGCCTCGTGGTGGAGGCAGAAGCGGCTCCGGTCGCGACAGTAGTGCATTATTTGGGCTTTTCGGCCCCGAGCTTGTAGGTCGTGGATTCGGTCGCGGCGCTGCTCGGATTTTCGGACATCCTGCCAATGCTGCGCTGGGGTCGTCCTGGGGCCACGAGGTCGACAAGAGTGGACCGTTCAAATTCCCCACCGTGCGCTGCAGAACGAAGGCGCATCAGTTACCCAGTTCGTGGTCGACTCGGCCAAGGGCAAACTACGGCAGAACCCCAGGCTGTTGAAGGCCGTGAACTCGACGATATCGACGATTCGCTCCTCCATGAAGTATTTGAAGACTTCGATGTCCTCCATTGAATTCAGCGTTCTGATTACTCCACGTTCTGGGTTCAATCCCCAGACATGGTTTACGCTGTTTTCGGCCCTATCTTCGGAGACGGCCGACTGAGCGAGCCAGGGGACCCAGACCGCACAGATAGTCCCGTGCAAAGTCGCGCTCGCTTTAGCGAGGGTGCACGTGGTCGGCCGTCGTCATCGGGCGTGGTGATGGCGGTCCTCGTGGAGCGACCAAAAGTGGCAGGTGGCGCCACACGCTCCAGGCCCCTCCCCCCACGAATACCCACCAGTTCGGGGTCCCGGGAGCAACTCAGCACTCAGCTGATCCGGTAGATCGCGGTCCGCGGATGCGTTCCAGGCCCGGTCCATACTCCCCCTCTGTAACCTAAGCTTGGGTAACGGAACGCTATCAACGTCGGGTTAGGGCAGCGGTTAAGCCTTCTGACGAGCCCCTTCGCAAGGGCGAAACCCGCCTAAACCCGGCATAATTGCCCAGTGGCTTTCTACAGCTTTCTGCATATGTCTGCTGAATAAAACCAACAGTATCTTGGATTCGAGAATTGAAGAAAAATGCTCACAGGATAAATAAATGCTACTTCATCTTTGTAGCGTCATATCGGTGGTCTGTGGAACAGATTTTGTAGGATGGGCATTGTCGTAACTAGCATCGGAAACAAACGCCTTCGTGCAGGAAACGGTCATTATTTCGTACCTTGGGCAGGTCCCGTCAAGTTTACTGGACAGATGTCAGTCTCCTTCCACGTTTGAGTCTGGGAGATGACCTCTTCCTAATACTATCAAGTCGACAGCACTATGTTCTCAGCGCTCGCTCCACTGGCGCGTGTCGCTCATCCGAAATGTCCTCTTCTACAACCCCTTCCTGTTCCAGTGACGTCCTTTCCCCACCACTTGGAACGCGTCAAGCGCGAGGCTCCTACCATTTCTTTCCCACCTCGAGACAAACGGGATGCACACCACCCACTGTAGACATCACAATCAGCTCTGCCTCAACCCCATCGATGGCGGCGATACCAGCGCCATTTAGGAGCGATGCCCCATTTCTTCCATTCCAGGTCGCCAAGGCCGGGTTTCGACCACCAACGTCGTCTAGCTGCAGGAGTGATATCATCCGCCCTGTCGGCCCCTTTCAACGCCACTCTATATAACTGCTTTGTACCCCGATCAAGGCCTGCTTGCCATCGATTCGCGCCACAATCTCTCTCAATCTCTTCGACGCCCCGAAGTCTCTTGAACCAGCCATGGAGTCTCTTCTGAAGAACCTGCACATCGGCGAGCACAAGTCTGAGCAAGACCACGCAGCGACCCCACCCCCAACCGCAGCGGTTACTCAGACACAAGCAAAGAAAGACGAGTCGATCTTCGACAAGCTAGGCGATGTGCTCTCCGGACGCAAGACACCACCGCCCCCACCTGCCCCTGTTGTCCAGCCAAAGAAGGAGGAGTCCGTGTTCGACAAGATCGGTGACGCGCTGAGCGGTCGCAAGACCCCTCCTCCACCCGTAGCTCAGCCACAAAAGTCGGACAGCGTCTTCGACAAGATCGGCGATGCGCTCAGCGGTAGGAAGACCCCGCCCCCGGCACCCCCCAAGAAGGATAACTTGCTCGATAAGATTGGCGATGTGTTGGGAGGAAAGAAGGAGGAGCCGGCGAAGCCCCAGGGACTCATGGATAAATTGAATCACCACCTTGGTGGCGGCGCGAAGGGAGAGGCGGAGGAGGGAAAGCTGGACAAAGGTAAGGTTGGAGAGGTTCCTCTTGATGATGTTGCTGACACTGTTGCTTTCAGCCATCGACCTCTTCCAGGAGCACGTCCTCAAGGAAGGACCTCAACACAACGAGTCAGCGCTTGAGCAGGCGAAGGATAAGAAGATCGCGGACACCATCCGAAATACGTTGGGCCTCGAGAAGAAGAAATAGGGTGGATCTGGCAGTGGATTGGACATTTGTATACTAACATACCGCATCGCATTGTACTTCGGAATTGCTGTCTGGAATCGGAATTTCTTGGATCGCTGCATCACTTTTGCGGCCTTGAGGTCGGTCTGTCAGGGAGTCGGAGGAAAAACATCGTAGACGTAAACAAGGCAAGTTTGAATGTGGGGATAGTTTGGATTGATTAGTAGATTTAGCACAGACCAACCATATTCCGTACTTCCCTCATCGTCTTGCTCGAACGCTCCTTTGCTTTCTCCGCGCCTTGCCTTGCAACAGCAGCGAGATATTCCTTCTCCTGGCGCAGCCTCCCAAATTCCTCTCTAGGGCTCCTTAATATCTCCTCCAACGCGTCCACCACGTCGCTCTTCAAGGCTGAGTGACCTTTCTCCGCATAACGGGCTGCGACCTCCTGCACAGGCTCATCTGTGCAGGCTGCGAGTATCGAGAGGAGATTTGACGCGCCAGGTCGTGCAACGGGGTCGTAAGTGATGCCGTCTATTGAATCGGTGACAGCAGCGCGGACTTTACGGGAGATTTGAGCTGCAGTGTCTGTCAACTCGATGCGGGAAGCCGGGTCCGGTGCGGACTTGGACATCTTGGACGATGGGTCCTTCAGGGATAAGACGCGTTTGGTCGGCGCTGTGGGTCATCAGACATGGCAGAGAAGGTCTAAGAGAAAAAGACGCGTACTGATGAGCTGTGAGGGGACAGGGAAGAACTGTTTCCTCTTGCTAAAGGTTCGATTAAAGGAATCTGCTAGATCTCGGCTCAGCTCTAGGTGTTGGGTCTGGTCCTCGCCAACGGGGACATGTGTTGCCCTGAGAAATAAGCAGACGGACAAAGAAACAAGATTGAAAGACCCACCTGTACGCAAGAATGTCGGCAGCTTGAAGAATGGGATATGTGAATAGGCCGGCATTCAGCATGGATTCGTCGATTTCAGATTCGTCGTTTGCGTTCCTCGCCGTGGCTAGTCGCGACTAGACTCCGTAAGGCCGTGCTACCTTGAAGGATATTCAATACTCACCTTCCAAGTTGTCATCCTCCGCAACTTGCCGATAGGCGTGATGCAACTCAGTATCCACGCAAGCTCTGTGTGGCATTGGTTCTACAACGTAGCATCGTCAGCCAGAGCATAGATGAAAATTTGAAAACTCACATCGTCTTGGTGGAAAACGACAGACCGTTTTGGGTCAATGCCGAAGGCAAGAAGTGTTGCAAGCATGTTCGTCCGTGCTGCCGACAACTCCTTCGGGTTCTGCGGTAGCGTCAGAGCATGCCAGCCGACGATTGCGAAGATAATATCGTCTTCATGCTGTGCTTCATTTTGCAATTTCACCCAGTTCGAGATGGCTCCTAGATAGTTCCCAAGCTGCAGCTACATTAACAGCCATTGCACAACAATGACGCGTCACTCACATGCAGGATCCCGGTAGGCTGAATTCCCGAGAATATGACACGTCGTCGCAGTGTTTTCTGCTCATTTACGAGCCCTGATGTCGACAAATAGCGCAAAGACTGTCGACGGCAGCATTGGGCAGTGGTGGTTAAACGTGAGGAGAACATTTTGCACAGCCACTTTCCCGTTTGAGCAGAACCTTGTTCCTGCCTGCTGCCGGAATACCATGTTTTATTCCGAACCACACCTCTAACACCCCGCGAACGTCGTCCTTCGCAAGGACATGGACGATGCCACCGTATTGGAGTACGAAATGCCGGGAGAAGGATACAACTTTCGAGACGTGACGGGCCTTTTTGAGCAGGCGAGCGCTGGTAAGGTTTTCGTCGCGGTTGGGATCGAGAACGAAAGTATTGATTTTCTGCATTCATTTCTAAAGAAATAGAACCGGATACAGCGCTCTTCATGGAAAACTTCACGCTGCAAGAAGCGATGAGTGCTCTTGAGGCAAGCCGCTTCTCTTCGTGCCAAATGTGCGGACACTCAACAATGTCTAACGTTTTGTAGATTGGTGAACCCCGACTGGATAGCGGCCTGATCCCGAAGGAACAGCAAGGGCCTATCTTTGATCCTCTTACACCACTGCTACCGGAGGAAGTATGTTGGATTATGGATCGAGCAATGGCGTACGAGGTCGCTTCCACTTGCATCCGTCGCGCACTGTGACACTAACATCTGGCTGCAGATGGAGTTCCATGCAGGCAATTTTCTCGCGCATACGGTTCATGCTTTGCTCTACGTACATCACCTGCAAGACATGGAGCCCGATCTCATAGTGCCACAGCCGGTTTTCTCCAGCGATCCCTCACGACCTATTGAGCTTATCACTCTGGTTCTTCGAGCTGCGGTCCAAGGACTACTGAAATGCTGCGATATTACCTGGAGAGAGCTGGCGAAGGGTCCTCTGTACGATGTTCGTCATTTAACGCTCACAAGCCCCGTTCATGCTGATATCGGACAGACAGAGGACTGGCAAGGGGACAAATGCGAGGTTTCCCTCCTAGAAGGCGTGCCAACACACTTCGTGATCTCAGGACTTGATGACGCGTTTACGTGGCTTGCCCATGCTCACGACAGTACGCGCCTCTCCCTTCTTATTCTTACATCTCTGAAACTGACCGTGCCTTTCTCAGTTCCATCGAACTGGAAGACGGCGCTGCAGATTCGGGTTCTCTTCCGCAAAGTTCGTTTTATGACCGCCTCACCTGTGCTACCTGCAACCTCACTACTTTTAGACTCTCCTTCAGACCATGAGCATAGATGCAGCCAAGAACGGAAGCGACTTCCTCCGATTCGTATTTCTAGCCCGGGACTACCTACAGACCCTGGAGCACTACCCCTCAGTTGAACCTGGACCGGATTCTCCTGCACTGCTCACCTTCGACCCCTTCATCGGCCGCCAACTCCAGACGGCCACTCCAATACGCGTCATCCCGCCTCCATCTCTCAAGGAGACTTGCAAGGCCCTTCACAGATTGCTGGATGGCTTGTACGAGATCAGCCTTCTCGCCACAACCGACCGGCTAAGTATTTGGGACGTAAGTTTGGCCAATGAATATTCTGTGTTCGGAGCTGAGAAACAGCAACGCCTCTAGGCATTGGGAAATACGCGCCAGTGGATACCCGACCCACCTCAATGTGTACCTTACATACGATCGCTGACTCAGGTAGGATTCCTCCCCTCTTCATAGGTCATTCTATTTCTTAGAAACGAATTTTAGTCTACCTTTTCCGATGGCGTCCTTATACTCAACAGGTACACTTTTGGTTGGATGATCAATCAGTTCTTCCTCGAATCTGTTGGAGTCTCCTATGATTCCATTTATGCCATGGTGTCGTCCAGATGGGACGGGGATGACCAAGAGCTTCTAAAAAATGTCGGACGTGCACTGGTCAAGGTACCTTGATGTGGCTTTCTCTGTCGGTTTGTGTTGACTCGTGCTTCAACCAGGTAGTTGCACCACATATTCGAGCACATTGGCATAACCCACCTCGAAGACGCCGGCATTTCATGAAGTCCTTGGTTGATTGGCACACACTCTACGACACACTGGTGCAGGTTCAGGAGAATCTGAGCTTAGAGGTATGGTTTTCCACGACATTCTGGGTGCTATAGCCAACTCAAGGTTTTGTAGGATGTTCCGAGAAGACACTTCCTCACAAGGCTGCCGGATATCGCTCTTCTGTGGCGGCTTTCTGTTGTTCGCGAGGTCGTGCTTTCTGGTTTTCAACTGGAACTCTACGCCAAGGAGGAGAGAGCTTTCGCGTATTGGTACGCGACGCAAGTCATAGATGCACATCTGAAAAGTCTGGATCATCTAGTGCCAGTCGTACTAGAAGGTACGGTCTTCCAAGTACTTGTGCTCAGCATTTTGTTCTGACTGGTCGCCCAGAATCCCCAGTACACTGCGAGATGTTATTCCAAGTCCAATTCTTGACGGCTCTGCAAGCATTATGTACAGCGTCATTCCTGGTGCGACCAACACACGATGCTGTTACTGTAATCTGATACCAATCAATCTTCCAGGTATCCATGCCCCTCATGTCATCCGACTGGGACGGCATGCGACCCAATTTCTACCGGCGGTACAAGTGGGCCTTCCGAGCCGAGTACGACGCCTCCGATGTGCCCGTTGTCGCGCAGCCCGAGTTGCATGCATTCATCCGGACCTGTGCTGAAATCCTCGAGGTGTGCATGTTCTTGTCGTTGATTTAGGATGGCTAATGATGTTGATCCTTTCGTGTTGCAGGGCGGCAACCCGACACCGGCTGACGACGTTGAGCTTGCGCGTACCGTCTTGACCGACCTCATTGTGTCTACAAATACTGGTGGTTGGGCAGGGTCGTGGGGCCAGGATCGAACACAAGTAAGTTGACAAGCACTTTGGTGCCGCGGTCTTCATGCTGAGTTACTCCGTAGGCCCTTCAAAACCTTGTTGCTGTTTGTGACAGCCTATCCCATCTCCCCGGCAGTGTGGAGGTGATGGAAACCTTTGATGCTTCGTCACTGAAATGGGATCCTGGTTTCCATCCTTGGTTCCCTTCTCTCCAACATCTAGATTCTTCAAGCGCTTCAACACCTTAGTTTTACTCCTCCTAATGGACTCTATTGAGTTAGATATACCGTATACATTTACTCTTGAATTTGCTCATCTACTCATTACTCTTGATATGCTGTTCTTGATTTCAGGGAAGTAGTATATTTGAGGCAACAACGATAGGATGCCTGAGATGTACAGCCCGTGGTAAGCAAGAATAGTAATAAATCATATTGTTCACTCTCTGCCATACTCGGTTAAATCGTCAAAGAGAAGCAGAAAGAAACATGGTGGAAGTAAGGTCCGGGGGCAATGCGGTTGTCCTGCATCGTAAACCAGTTCATGGAGTGAAAGCCTTTATCGAGACCAAGGCCGTTTCTTATGAGGGCAACTGTATTGCCAGGTGGGAAGTTCCGGCTGAGGATCAGGTCGCTCTCGTCATCGCTGATAGGTTGAATCTCTCGGAAAGCCGCCTCGATCTTTGAATACGGGAATTCTGGCGTAATGCCATCCTTCCATCTTTGAAGCAGTCTTTCGGGGATATGGAGTGCAATCCCACTGCAACCGCAGATTCTACGGTTGCCCAGTTCGACGTAGTCCTCTGGATGCCAGGAGCCCTCGGCGTTGAAAGTGGCGACGAGTAAATCGGGCCCAATATTTCTATCGGTGTTCATGACCTCCTGCACTATCCAGTCACCGAAAGCGTCTCGCTGCGAGACCGTCAGATGGGTTATCTTCTGCGTCAAGTGGTAGAAAAATAATGGCCTTTCAGACCAATGCTGTATAGCGACAGTTTTGTGATCGATTAGAGCCAACGACCGTAAAGATGGGAAGTGATAGTTTGGAATGTGGTTGTCTGGGACGTCGAACAGTGTGAAGTCTTCAAGGATGAGAGATCCCAGGGCTGGTGCTCTCAAGCAGGGAAGAGCATCTAGTAGCAACGGGGAATTCTGAAGCCGCAAATTCTGAAGCCGCGGCATGTGGTATGTTTCTGGGTGACTATAGAAGTCGCATGCTCCGGCGACTGATAAGAGGTCTCCTTTTATTGATAGATTTTCCAACGTTGGAAGTCTCAAGACGTGCTGGAAGGCTTCGAATCCCAAGCCGCTGCCAAAGAGGTCGTGCTCGTGGAAAGTGAAATGGAGGGTCGTAATGTTCGCCGTAGGAGGGCAGCAGCAATGATACAATGATGGTTGGAGCCAAAAGGACGATAGCTTTGGGGCGCCTGCCTGGAATATCGTTGGCGAGAGACTGTTGATGTAAACTCCTGGTTTCGTAGGTGGACGAGCAAAGTCAGACAGATGGTCGTTCGTTTCAACTTGGAAGTGTTCCAGGCGAGGGGCGGAGAGATGGCGGAGAGGCTCCAGAATAGTGACTGCCAAGTGTTCAGAGAAATACTTAGGGAGAAACGCCGCCACCGATCGACGTGTGTGATAGCTTGAAGAACCATCGCAGATGCGGAATCAAAAACGGAGCTCCAGGCGTCCTACCGAAATCGAGTAGAAGGTCAAGGGGACGAGGATAAGACCGTCCTAAGTATCCTTCCAGCCGTCCGAGCGAGGTAGCAAGGTCGCGGGCTTGTCCGACGAAAGTGTATGTGCACCAGAGAGACGTGGTCTCAACTGCCACCGCGCGCCACTGACGACAGACGAGTGCAAGGCTCAGCTCCGTCCAAGGATGATTTCTTTTCTTGTTCCTGTGGTAGAAAAGGGCGCTTCGTTCTTCGTGCAATACCAATTCGAAGATCAGGTCAGTGAGTTCTGCAGGAAGGGCCAACACCGCAACGTTGGAATTACGAATCCCATCAGGGTGTGCATCCCATCGCATGGTGTCGTGGTTGGGCCTTTCCAGCTTATCCGTCGTTAGTTGCCTCTGTGAAACAGCAGTCAATGCTCTGGGTTGGGGCTTAGAATGGCGTCGCATAGTTTGAGTTTCTGATATTCCACGTCGCCTGGGATGAAGACAGGTGTCAGGGAGAACCGGAGGGCTCTTACCGATGAAGAGGTGGTTCAGGAGGAGGATAAATCTGCGGGTGCTCCGAGAGGGCGACGATGCAGGAAAGGTCGCAATTTATGGGTTGACCGGGTCAAAGCGCACAAGCGGCACCACCCCAAGCGCAAGGTAGGCATGGGCCATCGTATCCATGTTGTACACTACCAGAAATGGGCATAAGCCGGAGCATTGCAATGACACCCAACTTTGTCCAAGAGACGGAAACCTAGAAGATTGTCGATGAATTTAGCTGTGTCGCGATTTGAATGAAACTGAACGTACCCACTTTCTCTTGCAGAGAAATTTAACTGGAATTTGAGGTTCAAGATGCGATTTTATCTGCGAGAACGCCTTGTAGCCCGAATCTGGTGGAAAGGCTTGGATCTGAAGAGGTAAAGATATTAAATCGGAAAACATGTATTCTAAAATGCGAAGACTACGGCACCGTACCGTATAGTGGCTTCCACTTTCCTGCTTCGAAGAGGTTTTCTGAGGAACAAGAGTCCGACAGTGTTGTGGTCGGAAGGTAAAGCCCCAATGTGGCCTGCAAAAAGGGTCCGCTACGCTTTGATCCTGCCTTCTATCTTCAATTCCAACTTCCACACCTTTCTTCGCTCTTCATTCGCCGCAATCAAGGGAAAACTCGCGATCCTGAATTTCTGCTCACTGAGGAATCGGGATATTTTGCAAGCAGACGGAAGCAGGAAGAAAATCCAGTGGAGCTTGCTGTGCGACTGAGAAACACGTTCAAAACTCGAAAAAAATGCAGGAACTTGAATATGGAGGACTCAGAAGGGATCCAATGTATTTGCTGCAGGCTCAAGCTCAAGGTAATTCGTGGATTAGTTGCATTTGCGGGATTTATGAGGAAGAGGGTTCGTTCTGGTCCAAGTCTGCAGGTATGTTGTAATTTGTATCTTCATGGATTCGCACTGAGTCTCCACCGAAAAGCCGCAACATGAAAAGATTCTTCAAGGTTTGGCTGAAGGCTGGGCATCGAGTCAACTGGCAGAATTTTGGGCGATGTCGCGAACTCTTATGTTCATTGTCGTTGCCGCCCCTCACGAGAACGCGATTTTGCCCGCTCTTTGGCTCGGATTCCGTCGGCTTTCTGTTCGATTCTCCAACCAATGCTTTGCGTTCGAACTCACTGGCGCTCCTGTGGTACTATGTCGGAGAAGGGACGAACGAGGAACGGAATGGCCGTTTCCTCCTGACGTGCCGCTCATTATTAGGCTAGATCAAGCCTTGCTGGCAAGCAGAATCGCTTCGTTCTCCAAGGTCGCGGAAGGACACGGAGAAACAATCGTTCATGCAACAAATCAAGGGCACACATGAAACTTGGACAATGCTTTCGTATCGAACTTCGGGTCCGACGACCCGTTTTTCGTCGTCGACAGCACGTCTACATGAAATATCGAACGCCACAATGACGCCACCTTCCTCTGGCTCCGTTCTCGGTGCTCTCATGCATCGGACAGGGACTAGTCGGTCCTCCAGTTCTTGTTGGCACAGATGAAACCATATGTTCGGAGGTGAATCACGTGACACCGCCTCGTCCTCGAGAGACAAAGAACCTCAGCGAGAAGAAAGTTGATTCTCACAGTTGTGAGAGTCGGAGATGAATTTTGAACGCCTAGAAAGAAAGGAGCCCTGATTGCGGAGCCGTGTTGTGGCTGCAAGAGGCGCCAGTGCAGCGTAGAACGCCTATGGCGCTGAACAGGACGTCTTCCCTGACAGTGGGGAGGGGCACCATATAGTCGTCTCCAGGCCTCTGCAGACTTGAAATCAGCGAGACATGTCCAAGGAGCGGAATCGTTGGAGGGACATGTAATCGGAGGGTTCTTGTCGGTCCAAGGGCGCATGGGTGTCCTGAGCTCATTGTGGGCGTTCGGTTGGGGAGGGGTGCTCAAAGCTTTGGCGACCACATAAAGGTTTGTTTCGCGAAACTGTTTTGCGTTCATTCATTAACAGTTCCGAGCAGGAAATGGAGAGTGTCGTAGACGACCATCGGCACCTAATTGGCCATTTCGTTTCCATCCAAAGCGTTTAAGGTGTGCAATATCAACGACAAAAACGGAAGAGGCCGAAGAGATGGCTTACCTTCACTGAAGATGCGTATTTTTCTAGCAGAGGAACCTTGAAGGTTCTGCAAACACTGCGTGTCTCCGGGTTGTGCTTCCCAGCTAGCCTGGGTCACGACTGAACTGGATTCGGAGAGTTCCCGAGTTTCGATGGCCGAACGTCAACCATTTAAGGTCCAAATTTCCGAGCGCGGCCTGAATCCGGCCGTATAAAAGGGTTGCAGGACCTTTTCCCGTTACATTCTCCTTCTTTCCTCGACCTCCTCCTATCATCTCGCCCTGCCGGGGTAGCTCGTCATTTTCACCCTCAACAACATCCACAATTCTGTCCTACATCACCATTCCACTCGTTTTCTTGCCTCTACTCGCACCCTCTCTATTCGCACTGCTAATCATACTATATCGTTATCGGCGACGCGTCATTGACGTCCTGCAAAGATGCCACCTGCCCAGGATCCTCAGCCCCAGCCTCAACCTATGAACGTGTCACCTACCCCTACCTCGGATCAACAGCTCCAACAGAACGCGAGCAAGACGTGCAGGATGGTCTTGCCTAACCTATCTTTTCCTTTACGTTCGTGCTGCTGGCACGGCTCGGTGCCTCTACGTATTTCGGTGGATTGGTTACTGTGGCTGCGTGGTTCTGCCCGACTGACGCTGCCGTCTATTTTCCCCCCATAGAGTACTGTCGGCACGCGTTACGAGCACTCGTTCATGTACAGTAACGGCACTTCTGGAGTGAGTACTGAATCTTCTGAGTTTATTAACTTAACAGAAAACTCATCTGTATCACACATAGATTGCCAACCAACCCCAAAACACCCCACAGGCCGGTGGTTCTGGCGCCGTCGCCAGTCGAGGAATCTGGACCAAAATGAAAGCAGTCGTTTCGGTAGGACCTTCGAGTTGAAGTTGGCTCTTCAAAGCTTCACGGCTGATCCGTGTTCTCGTTTCCAGCTTGCATCGTCGTTACTCGGTCGCAGGTTGAAAATGGTCAAAGACAAGCTCTCCGCAGTCCGTCTTCGAACTCGCGCCTTCGTCATGGTCTGAGGCGACGCATCAAATCTGCCTTGCTTTCGCCACATTGCCGCTTCGTTGCCCCTGCTTATCTGTCCGCTGGCGGGTGTAGAGTGTCTCGGAAAAATCGACTTTCTGTCGAGTTGTGCTCGTTCGTGCCTCGTTCCTTATTCTGCTTCTTTCGTCCCTCTTTTCTACCTTCTTCCTGCTTCCCCTGTTGTCGTGCATCATCTCCTACGTTCACACCTTCGTCTTCCTACCCCCAAGACACATCCTAAGCAATTCCAACCTAGTCGTATCAGTAACTTTTTGTCATATATCAGACTTCGTCCTTCCATGTACCATATGTAGCATAGTCTCGTCGCCTTCCTGTCCATTGCCACGTTCTTGAGCCTGTCGTATAACTTGATTTGGTTCCTCTTGATCCGCTTTTTGTGCTTGTCGTTCAAAAATAGACTCTGCATCTGTGATTGTGCGGTCTTCGAGTTGCGGGTGCCTTCATTCGGCGTCGCAACGATAATGTTTACTCAGGAGGCATGACGCGAAAGTTATTCATCACACAGGCAGGCAACTTTGGGTTTGATGAACGGTCTTTGGATCTTCTTCCCACTCTTGAAACGGTATCTTGGGTCTGGATTTCCTTGAGACCACAGTCAAACCCCTCTTAACCCATACCTCTCGTAAGCCATACACCCCCATAACCCATAGGTTTTGGCCGCTACCAAACCGAAATTTACACCAAAATTGACCCCTCATAACCCATAACCTCCCATAACCCATACTCTGGGCCGTCCACCGAGGGGTATGGGTTAAGAGGAGTTCGACTGTAACGCCATATCTGTGATAATGAGATTCATGAACGAGTAACGTAACATTCGGTTTCTTTCGATCAACGACAGTGTAAACATTTCGGCGCCAGGTTCTGGCCACACAGATGACGGAACGCAGGGATGAGCGTAGGTAGCATCTCAGAGTAGAGGAAGCAAGGAAGCCGAGCGAGAGAGGGAAGAAGAAGAGGGGAGAATGTTTAGAAGGAGGAGAACCGAAGGCGAAACATACGCGTAGAAGGGATTGGAAGAGAACTTCTGCCGAGGAACGCCGAGTGAGCATCAGCTTGGAAGGTAAAGTTAAGGAGAGACGAAACTGTTTGAAGGAGCAGACGGGTTTATATATCCCTAGATGACTCGAGGTCTGTGCATGGCACGCAGCCCTACACACGATGACTCGAGGGACTGTCTTACTGACTCGATCGAAGGGGTAGCCCAGAAGTTTGGTTGCAACCTGGATAGGCGAGGTCAGTCAAAACGAAGGGTAAGATATCAGTTACAAGGCAAAATGAGACCATTGGCTTTTGGGTCGTATCTACAATGAAAGACCGCGCCCGAACGCTGGGTATGAGGTGCAAGTCGTTCAGCGCTATTGTAAAACCCGAGAAAGCGTATTTGGACTCCACAAGCCGATTTCTAGGCAATGAATGAACTAATCGCCAGCCTGTCTTGAACAAACCAAAAGGTTGGATTAAGAGGATTGAATATTATTAAATACTAGGAAATGAGCGCGGTCTCATGCTGGTACCGGACCAAAATTCACGCTCCATGAACGAGGGGGCCCTAATGAACGAGTCCAGCAACGAGTTCTGTTTCAACGTAAATATGAAAGAAAAATCTTACCTAGTTCGATGAATTGGATTCGACAGTACGGTGTTGGAAAAAGTTGTTTGTGAGACTCGAAGCGGTGAGACGTAGAAAAGGCAGTTCTGCTTTGAAGAATAGAGAAAGAGAACATGCGGTATGCCGCAGACATTTAGCAAGAAATAGAGGACAAAGACCCGGAAATTGAGAGCTGAGCTGAATTCTATGAAATTGTTGCTGGCCTTTTGGAGATGTGAGGCGAGTACAGCTCAATCCGAGGCGTTTGCGAGTGAGATCAGCCAAATATCCAGAATTTAGAGAAATCTATAGGAATTTCAAGAAGAAAACAGGATGTTGTCGCCAGAAAAGTTGCAGAGGTGTTTGAATTGGTGAACTGAGGGGAAGACTGATCGAGGGCGATTTGTCAGCAGCCAACCAGAGACTCTTTCCATTCGGTTTTCTTCTGCCTTGCCACCATCATTAGCTCTCAAGCAGCCGACATTCCGACCCAGACTCACTTTCTCATCCTCATGACCCTTTCGCCTCCATACGGAACCGATGGCGCCGACGTTCGACGGGATTTCCGACAGGACTGCTGGACACAGAGCAAGTTGCGGCGCCACGAAGTTGGAGGCAAGTTACTGCAAAAAAAATAGCATATCGATGCCATCGATTGACGACCACACAATAAGAATGTTCGCGCACCTGATTTTCGACAGCAGCCTCCTGAAGACACAGAAAGTTGCAATGCCACGAAATTGGAGGAGACAGCTGTTTGCAGATTCTCAGCCAATCGATGCCACGTTTGGGCAACTACACAACAAGAATGCTTAGGGACCTACCGCGGCATTCATGGGCAAAAGAGACTAGTTGAAGGAATGCTGTTGGAGGATGAGGCTTGGTCGTCGGGTTGGAGATTTGTCGCGAGATAAAATCCTCAGGTACGCCAGGCATCTCTTGAAGCATTCACAGTTGCTGGAACTCGATTTTCAAAGGGAATTTCGGTTGAATCCGGGCTTCCATTGTCTCAAGGGACAAAACGTGGACCCGAGAGCCACATCGACAACAGTAAATTTGGCAATGCCTGGTTCTAGCGCATGAAATGCCTGAATTTCTTCGTGGATGGGCCTGGGCCTAGTTTATGTGCCTTATCGGAGCCCTGTATTCGGACGAAGCACCAGGAGCAAGACTTATAGGACTTGATTGAATACGACGAAAATCAGATGTTCCGACGGATAAAAAAAATGAGATAGGTCTTGAATCGTGAGTTCTTCGATCACACTCTTGTTTTATCCTTCTTCTTGGGCTTCTCCGTCTTTTGGAGACGTTGACGACGTCGTGCTCGCCGTGCTTGACGGTTGAAGAGGACAATGATTGGGGTGGGCTTGTCGTCACACTGAATCTTGAGAGGCTTGCTCGTCTTGATCACACCACTCAGGCATTCGGACGATATCTGGTATGTTCACTTGTGAACCATGGTGGTTTGGGGAAAAGGTGGAAGAACTCTGACTCACGTCTGCGGTTCCTATTATTGGTGTGACTCGTCACGGCAATGTCACGGTCACAAGAGAAAGGGAGGGAACGGGGAAGGTCGCACAACGCTGGCGTGTTCTTCCTTTGGAAAGGGTTGGGGTCGTGGCCTGCAGCTCCAGGGACAAGAGGTTCTCGAGAATTCAGCGAGGTGTTGATGGCAGTTCTTGCCAGAATGTGCAAGGCGAACTGGACGGGATCAAACTTTTTGTTCTCCATGTTCGTCTTCGTCGGAGGTTGGCAGGGAGTCTCGGAAGGTCGGGATTTGCATCGGACGGAGCTCGTCCTACTCTGCAGGAACAGGCTTGCCCCGCAGTGGTCGAAATAGAGCGGGATGACTTCGTTGCACATCTTGATCTCCCGAGCGAGTCCTGTGCACGTTCGTCGACACAGTTCTACGGCCGTGAAGACCCAGGATATCTCCTCCTCAGCAAGGATATCTCAGACGTCTCCATGAATAGAGAATCTGTCTTTCTAGGGAGTGTTGAACCCTCTAATTCCAATCCGAAAAAGAATGGACATACTGACCTGGACTTCTGACAGAAACTCGAAATGCGCCATATCCACTCCTGTCCTTGTCGTTGGAGACGACTGCTTAGAGGACGAGTTAACTTGGGGCTCGAGCAAGGCGGACTTATTGGACGGTGGAGAAAGGACGCTGAACGGAAATAACGGCAACATCTTCGTCTCGATCAAATCATGCACGTAAATCTAACGAAGCTCTCACCTCCTTACGGCTTTCCTGATCTTCGCGTTAGTCGAAATTTTGTGGTTGCAATCGACTCTCAGAAGACGCGTCAACCTTGTTTCTTCGTGTTGGACAGTTGCCTTGATCAAAGTCTTCCGATTTCCCAAGGTTTCCGCGATGAATCATGCCGGCATTCTATCCGTTTACGAGACGTATAAAATGAAGCGAAGACCCTATCTGCACCCTGGAACTCTCTTCCCACTTCCCACCTTCCCACCTCGACAGTCGTCGGTCCTTGCCTCTCTTTTCAGTCTCTATTCCAACAACATAGTACTTTTCACCTAATCTCCACCTATCACAATGGGCCGTTCTGCGCGCATGCACGCGTTGCCATCATTTACACTCGTTCTCACCTCCGACCGGCCTCTTAACCGCCACCTCTCGGTTTTCATTGAGCCAGACCCACAGTGGTCGCCACCGTCGTATATGAGTCAGTCCACTCCCACACCAATTTCGGACTACTTGTTGGTGAGTACATAAGACGCCATCGAGATTGGGAAGCTGAAGCCTCTCTGGCAGAAGACGATCGATCAGCCTTTGCAAGACGGACGTTTTGCGTATTCACAGCAGAACGACTCAGTGAGTGTCGACGTGTCTCGTGCAACCACGTACTGATGACTTTGCAGTTCACGAACGTTGATCATGATGATAACGATGATGCCAAGACGATTTTCGAAGAGAAGGGGCCGACCACGTCAACAGGTGTCGACTCGGAGAAGGGGACTAATAAGACGATAGTGGTGCGTTTGTCAGACCTCAGGCGCCTTGGACAGCCACTGACCTTCTTCTAGCGTGCTCTGGCCAGCATAGTTGTGCACCTGCGCACGACCGGGTTGCGTCTGCCTCCGAAGATGGCGAATTCGATTGCTCCAAAGTTCCTGCGGCATTGAATTCGGGTCATGTCCGTCCACCTCTCCAACACCACGGCTTTCCCTAGATGTTTTTCCCATGTCGCCCTCATCTCCAATCATGTTCTCTTGTTCGTGTTGTCCCGACACTCCGCCTTTCCTACCAGTTCGAAATCACCCACAGATAACCAAGTCCTATCCGCCAAATAGAAACCACTGTACCATACTCATACTACCCTCTATCCGTATGCTCATGCTGTCTCGCTTCCTCGCAGTCTCGGCCGGTCCTGTCCCTATCCCCTCCCAATTGTCCAGGTTCACCTGTTGACCGATGCTCACTCTCTTTCGATTACACCAGTATAGATTACAAACACGCTCATAAAGCCAAATATTCGATGTACCATATCTTCAATGCTCATACTATTGTCCTTCGAAACTGCGGGCGCCACAATGTGCATAAACGGAAGCTGCGGACTGTGATTGCTTTGCCCCTATCACGATCAGCAATGCTAATGGTGAACGAACAGCAATATATGCAGCAATCTTGGAGGCACGATCATAAAATCATTGTTACATGGTGAACATTGGATTTATAGAGCAATCATTGAAGTATTCTTGCTAGCAGCACCTCCCATCTCAAGCCGGCCATGGGTTGGTCGCGTTTCGTTTGGCCAAAAGACGGAGCTCCCTACGCTTGCTGTGAACGTAACCCGCCTGCGTTCGTCCTCAGTCCGGAAATGGACCCTACGATTTATGAGGACGAGCATCGAATTCCCATAAATCTTTCCAAAAATCAGCGAAACTGCCTGATAATTTGCGGCGTTGTTTGGAAGCAGACTGAGAATCAGGGCGACGACCGCTACAAGCGCTTGAAGATGATATTCGCTATTTATTTTCCAAAGTTGTTTAAGGTGTATTCCTACGCACCTGTGAGTATGCCCGTTTCCAGAGTGGACCGAATGAGCTTTTTAATCGTCAGACTGATCGATTCGTTTGTCGTCCGGAATTCAAATGTCGAAAGCTAGGCGACAATGACTCATTATTCAGTAGCCTTCAAAGGACATGGAGCACGTTAGAAGATCCCTCACATAATATACCATGGCGGAAGCTATAACGAGGTCGCACAAGGCACTTCCTCCGTGCCAAAGCTGTGCATGATGTTCAAGCTCGATGAGAAAAGTTCCTTTGTGGACAAGGCCCTGCGTGCTGGGCGCTCACCGCTAGCGATACATGTACTTTTGTGGGATAGGCAACAGGACTGAGAAACGGCGCATCCTTCACGAAGACTGCAAAGACCATTCCCGCAGTGAGCTGGATGGATGCTAGCTGCACTAAGGGTAAGCGCCCGTACATATAGAGACGGCAGAGACCGGACGTACGAGCATGATTACAGCGCACACCGCTTTAGATTTAGAAAGGAGATATACCCGATACGCGTAAAAGGTTTGAGCAATGACAGTTCCTGGTTGGACAGCGCTCAACGAGTGGACCGAGTGAATCAGGCTTCCGAAACGACTGACCTACCGCAGTCAGCATTGGTACCGTTAACCAGAGCGTCCCGACTTGATCTAGTGACTGAAAGTCCCCGAAGCTGGTGACGTACTTCCGAAAGGCGGTTTGGAAAATAAGACCTGTTTGGACGGTTTCCAGGATATATATCCCGTATACGAGTGCTTTCGTGTAAGCGGGATTGCCAGGTACTGCTTGGTAGAATATGTCTGCGGAGGGACAGAGTCGTTAATAAACCTGACGATGCACAAAGAAGGGCAAGAAAAGTGCCAGTAAGTGCTTACAGACTTGAGACGAGAGGATTCCGAAGAGCACGGCGCTAAGGAGGCCGCTTAGAAACTGCAATTAATTTAATAAGTTGGGGGAAGAAGCCCTCACAGTAGGCCAATAGTGGAATGGATACCTGAGGTCCAATACTTCATCGAGGAATAGACCAATTCGGTGAGCTGCATACAGAGAAGAAGAATGCACTTACGCCTTTTCCAAGTCGACAGGAATAACTTGCGGAGAGTTGATCTCCATAGCTGTTCGATAGCGAGGCGAGAGTGATTCTGGGAGGATGCGATGCAAACTCAAGGATGGGTGAACATACGAGCGGCTCTTATAACAGTTCGGAAGATGTGCATCATCAAGCTGAGAGATGATCGATATTGGATATCTTTCAGTACACGTTGGACGCTTGTAAATTTTTTATCTCAGCAGCGGTGCATATCATCTCGTGGATCGGCCTCTGGAACAATTAACGTCACGATGGAGTATCATCTAACTTCGTGATAAGATGATCTACGTACTAGAAGCTATAGAAAATTTAGCTTCAAATCAGCGCCTGTTCTTGCCACACGGGAGCAAAGATATAGAGGGTATGGCTTCGTCTCAGCTGCTGGCACAGCAGTGTCCCAATAGACATAAATAGGTCGCATTTCAAAGATTGATGATTATACAACGGCCACCGCGTGGCACCAATCCGAAGATTGTAAGTATCTGTGAAGAGGTATATGCGACCAGATCGAGTTACACGGAAAACCGATGCCTTCTGCGCTATGTTGCACCTAGCCCTGTTCCTGTGTCGTGTTCGAATTGTCGTCACTTCCTTCCAAGCTGCTCCGTGCTTAAGGAGCCGTTATTCGTAACTTCCATACGCCGGCGACGCCCCTCAGAAACTCTGGAACGAGTAAACGGAAAGCCGGAATTTGAATTGAGTCGTTAGCGCACAACGCTGTCTTCATCAACACCTGAAGGTGGAAAGCTAGGACCCGCAACATCATCAAGCATAGAGGGAGAAGACATAGAACCGACATAAGGCTGGAGACATGTCGCCAAGTCGAAATCATCGGATAGCCATTTAACACAGCCATGTCTGTCGGTCAAATTTCTGTATGCCTGGCTTTGAGATGGCTGTCTGATCAGGATGAGTCTGAACTTTGAAAATTTGAAGGCTGATTTTAGTGATGGATAGGGCCACAGAGAAAAGGCTTATGCAGAGATCCGTTGATAATGTTTGATATGAGGCAATAGAGCGAAGAGGTAGAGGTGAGGGCTCGATGCAGATGACAATCCATTGACAGTGTTGGGAATCGAAAATCGAAAAGGAACCACACCGTGCAACGACTGGCAAGTAGGTGGAGAGAATGTGCACGGTTCCAAAGGCGGTGGTCATGGTTAGGATGTCAAGCGAGGTCATCCGCGCCAACAACTTCACTCGAGGAGGCCGCGAAGCGATATGAACGAGGGTTTGAGTGCCCTAAGAGCAGGGGGTACAAATCGAGCCTCAGCATACCAACAGCTCTAAGAAAAGAGGATTACGAAGAGTACACACCCGAAGAACCTCGAATGCCATCCATCTACGATCTGAGTAGTTGCCGACAGTACGAGCACCCTTCAAGATCAACCTTCACCGTGCCATACACCAGAAATAAGAAGACGAGGATGGATTCAGAGCAACACAAAAATTAAAGAGCTCACAGCCCTTTTCCAAGACATATTGGCGCACCAAAGACGAAGACATCCGCGTGAGACCAAGATGAAATTACCCTGAACGAATGGGGCATCAGTCATGAGGATTCTGGTCAGCCGACCATAGAAAACAATTGAAATAACCCTTCATCGATACCAGCTACATCGCGGTATCGGTGCACTTATCTTCATGTCCTCTTCATCGAAAAATTCCTCTTCGACGCATGACCGGCTAGCTTGAGGCCAATGTTTAACGACGCCAACTGGCGATGGTGCTAGCTGGAAGCGACCAGGGCTGTCGGGAATTCCGGCTGTGTCCGAAGTCTGACCCACGGGCGCAACCGCGCTAGCTGAGTTGAAAATGCTGCCAGTTGGCAAATGGGCTAGGACTTGCATAGCGCTCGCTGGTGTCCCTTTGCAAGCTTCGCGCGATACCCTGGACTGAACTCTCATCTGGAAGTCCTGACTCATGGCTACCCGCCACGTAGTCATTCAGACCTTTTGCTTGTTGCTGCACGGCGCACTCAGCGAGTGAGTGACAAGATGCGTCTGTGTTGGGTTCGACGCCCTGAAGTTCTGGATAGTAAGCGGTCAAAATGCGAGTTGGGCGCTTGTACTCACCAAGATTCGAAGAACGCGCGCTTGTACGACTTTTTTATGCAAAAAGTTCAAGACCTCTGCTGAAACCTCATCTGCGTTATGCTGGCGGTTCGGTGCCGCTCTTTGGTTTCGTTCCCTCCTCTAGAGGAAGCATGAAAGCGCAAAGAGCCTCCAAAGTCTCCGTTGTTGGTGCAGTGGCTTGTTGCCTGGAGCTAGAGCAGCGCAGGAGGCGCCCTGCGCGATACCTCCATTTCCGTCAATCCAACGCTGTTCCGTCCTGAAGAAGCTCGCAAAGCTGGGTTGAAGACTGAAGAACAGAGATTGATAGCTACGGCTTCAAATTCAACGTTCAATTCCAACTTGTGACATTATTGAAAGGACTTTCTGAAGAGGTGTCACATGATCACATTGGACTTCGCTCAGGCTATACAAACAGCACTGCACGGGCGGCTTGCAGGAAACCTTCCACGCCTGTTCACCTCGAGCCCCGATGTAACTGTTCGAAGTTCGTGCCCGGTATTCAGACATACGAAGACAGGCCCAATTGGATTCAACTGCGCCATGGTAGCCTCGTGTCGCCAAAAGCGAGAATCGAAGTACTAGGCGAGCAATGGAGACAAGGGCAACATGCAAGCGCGTAGTCGAGTCAAGAACGTGCGAAATCTATCCCGAAGTTCCCGAACAAGCATTGCACACATTCTGTGGGACAAGGGGGATCCAGCGATGCGAAATATCGCCCTTCGACTCGAATTAGAAGATTCCCCAGCCCATGTCAAGCGTCCTCGTTCAGACACTTCTCAAATCCTCAGAAATCGAGTATGCATGGGCGGCAGGCGTGGATGGGCGGGATTTGTGCGTCGGGGCTGGTTCGTTCCCTGTTGGAATCTCTGGAATGAAGCACTGCAGGCATACTCGAGACATGGACTGTTTGGCACCTCCGGCTGTCGGTGCTAGTGAAGCTGTTCGAATCTCTTCCCTCGATTCTACGACGCGAGGATTCGTGACCCCCAAGTGCCCCAAGATGCAAAGCAAGATATACATTGGGTGGTTCTTGATCGTTGTCCGTCAGTGGAGAGTCAACGCGTGCGGAGGCAAATCCAAACATCACACCACACATCTCATCAAGAATGTCAAACAAACCAACCTTTGGCTCCCCAAACCGTGTTTTTGGACCTGTCGACAGAGAGGAAGGCTCAAGAGCTGGGAGGCGTGGTGCAACCTCGTTCACAGCTCGCCAACTAGCTTGCTGAAGACGTACTCAGGTGACCACTACCGGATGGCGTTGTCCGAGCTGGGAGGAACTTTCCGTGGCTTATTTTCGACTGTATAAAAGGCGTCCCACCTTACTCTTTTCCCACCACTTATCTCTTTTTTCTCCTTCTATCCACGTTCTCTTCCCCCTTTTACTACACTACCCTCGTTCACTTGCTCACTACACCTTACTCGACACACGCCATCCACCATTTCGCCGTCTTCGACTTTAACGCCCTTGTTGCCCTTGTTGGTGCCCTTGCTACTATTAGTCATAATTTGCTACCGTGGTAATCGACGCGTCAACCGTGCGGGGCAATGTCGCAGACCACAAGTCATCAAGCTATGCTGACTGCGAACACTTCGGCCCCCATTGTCTCCAACCAACAACAGCCAAATGCCAGCGCCGACGTCAAAACCACCGCGCCCAACGCCGCCTTTCCCGCTGACTCGTCTTCTCTGGCGCGTTCAGCTCGATCGTCAGCGCCTCTTCATGTTATGGTGCGGTGTCTGCCAACTGCTAGCCTCTTGTCCTTCTTGACCCACGTCTTCTCCCCTGATCTCCCGTACTAGGCCACAGCTGGACTGAGAGGGGACGCAAGCTTTGCCTACACCAATGCCACCCCAGCGGTAAGCCCAATTCCCTCAGCTGATTCAGTGACAGGCTCTGATGCTGCACCTAGCCCGCCAACGCGCCCAGCGGTCGTAAAAAGTCTTGCTGGCGGCGCTTCTGGAGTAAGCTCAACGCCCTCATTTTGGTGTGGTCTGTCTTCGCGTCCTTGCGGTGCGTGACGTGTTGACGTCGTTGTTTAGATAAACTGGGAGAGCCTCCTTCGTAAACTCAGAGCCGTCAAGGAAAAACTCCCCAGGACGTCGATCTTCGCGCCCAGATTTTTCACCTCCGCTTGAGCAAGAGATCCAACCCACATTCTGAAGCACCGCTTCTTCATCCCGTTACTCACCGGCTGTCATTTGTGTCTGAGAACATTCCCCCCAAAAGCCCAATTCTTGAAGGGCACTTTCGCTCTTTCCTGCACCGCTCTTTTGTTGTCTTGTTACTGCTTTTTTCTTGCTCTCGACCTTTCTCGTGCTTTGCTACAGCTGCATCCACCTCACCACCCTATTCCTCCTGCATCATTTGTTAGCAAGCCATTTTGTCATGTCATATTTCTGTTCTAGCTCTGTACATTATCCAAAGGATGTAATACATATGCCATATTGCCAAGTACGTCGTCTCAGACTCCTAAGTCGCGAGTGCAAATAGTGTTCCCTTTGTTCGGGTAAGTTTTTAAGCATCTAATGAATTGTTAAACATTAGATGAATCCCAACACGAGGCCGTCGACATCAGCATCGAACGAGGCTCCTCGATGCTGACACCAATTAGCCGGCTGGTTCATATCACAGTTGTTAAGCAAACAGAGATCTCCTCCCGAATCAAAGTCGTTTCCTTTGTCAAATAAGGTACAGATACGGTGTCGAAGAAGGCGCTAGAAGTCGCTACAAAATCCCATAATAGACTGAGGGGTGGGATCGGATTCTTGAGCGTGAGACGTGAGATAGTTGAATCTGAGTCGTGTGAAAGGAGACAAAGACAAAGATCTGATTTGAAGGCGTGGCTTCCTATTCTATGTCTACCAGAAAATGGTAGAAATTTATCCATTCTCGATTAAATCATAAAACGCTCGAATACTTTGCCGAAGAGGTGGGGAACTTGGACCCAATGCAAGTTTCACCATTTGTCGACGTGAAAACATAGCTGATAGTCAGGTCTTGTTCGACTCGAAGGTAAATATCCAGAAATTTGACAGAATTCCGCCCAGTCCCTCTGCAAAAACTGAGCATATTGCAATTGGAAGACGAGATGTGAATCATACCGTCGACTGCCCGGCCCGGAGAGCCACGTGAAACGGATCAGATTGATCGGCGACGGATCAAGGTGGGGAGCCTCCGAACAAGCGAGGCGTAGATTGGGTCACTGATCTCGATGGAAAATGGTTGCACTTCATTGTGATGGGTTTCAGTGAAGGGACAAAAATATGGACATCCGCAACACGGTTAGTATATAAAAACAACCAGGCTTATGAAAAACAAGATAGGAAGGTGAACTTCATCGAGGGTCGGTGGACATAACTTTAACTTTAAGGCATATGGTTAGTCATCAAGAAATCTGGAAGAAATCTGAATTGTTCGTACTCGCTCACACCCAGCCTTAATCCGCCTCTTCATCGGATTTAATGCTGTGCGACACCTCGCCAGTCTGCCTACTCGATAAAATATCGAGGTAAAAAGGGCCGTTAATCTCTCCAAAAGGTCCGAATGTGCTGCTCTTTGCTGGCCAATCTCCTATACGCAGAGGATTTGATTCTTCCATCCTCTCCACAGTGTATTCCTTCTCGAGGCTTTCCACATTAGCTGGATCCTCCAGTTGCCATAAGCCGAGTATATTTTTGTGAAGTCGAACGACGACTTTCTCGCCGAGAATCTCGGACATCGTGTGATAAAAGTATGGATACCGGGGTTTCTCGATGTTGAAGGAAACCGTCTCGAGGTTCCATTCATAGCTGCCATAATCTTCGATCCATTCTTCCTCGTCAAATTCCAAGCTCAGTGAAATGACGAGATGCTTGATGCAGCGGGTAAGCTGACGTAGAATTGGACGGCTTTCCCAGCTCGACGTTCTAAAGCTGACGTCGACGAGGGAAAGTGTGTGAAGCGCTGGAAAAGGCTCCTTTGAGATCTCGATGTCTGGGAGACGGTAGTTATCAGTAAAGTCCAGGTCGACTTTGCTTATGGTGAGCACTTCCAGGAGCGGCGCATAGAGGTTTAGCAAAAGCGTTGGTGTGATGATGTCGTCGCCCAATCGCAGGTTCTTCATGTTAGGCATGTCGACACGGTGTTCGATAGGGTCATCGCATATTCCTCCGACGAGGGCAAGATTGACGATATGAGGAAGAGCGAGGATGGCGTAGAGGACATCGGAGTGCAGGACGTCGCCGACCATATCGTATCGCAAGATAGTGAGAGTTGTTATGTTTGAAGCAGGAGGCATGCAGCGCATGCTGTAGCCTAAAGTGTCTAGGAATAAGGCGCTCAGCTTCGGCGCACCACCTAGGAAAATCTGTGGTGCGAGATCTTCGGGACTGCCTGCTGACACCTCGACCTGCTGTTCTTCGTGCTGGTTGGGGAATATAGCGAAATATTCAAGGTTGGGAGCGTGTAGGTCTTTGAAGTAATCCTCAAAGAAGTCAAAAGATTCGTACACGCCGTCGAGGAGTACGATGAATTGATGCCAACGGAAAACATGGGGGACGGTCTGGACGACGAAGTGGACGATGGGTTCTCCCGATTCCCAACGGCCGTGATCCATCTCGCGCAGGTCGAACCAGAAATCCAGAAGGCGGTTGCTTGATCTCTCTAGATACGCAGCCAGGCGATCGACAGGAAGTGTACGACAGTTGCTGCCTCCTGTGAATCGGAACGAGGACCAGAGGTCGGGCAGGGCGAGAGCAGCTGCACGCCATCGACTACTGACATGAGATATGACGACCTCCGCTAATAAGCCTTCGGATATCTGCTTAGAATCCTTCTCTAGAGTACAGAGAAAAATCGAAGACAATATTTCGTTCGGGAGGTTCTGGTGATGCAATCAGGAAACTGGGAGGTCTTTGTGGAGTATCTGGGGCAATCGTACCGAGAGAACGTCGTTGGGCATTGGTGAGAGGAGGATATGCTGAGCTGTCCTTCAGTCTTCGGCGAGCAAAGTGAGAGGTTAAATAGCGTCGGTAATGGTAGGAAGCAGAAGTCAGATTGGCGATTTGACAATCTGTCAGAGGTCCAACTAAGGCATTACCCCCATTTGGTGATGCCGAGCACTCCGAATGCTTGCAATGTGAACAACCTTGGTGTACGCATTAGATATTTACTTATCCTCTATCTACCTCCATTCTCGAAAAATATCCCAGCAGAAAACCCCTTTGACGCATCAATTATTGAAAAATAAGGTAGGGCTAGACCCCCGGAGGAACGGCCCGGGTATTTGTCTGTGTATCTCAACTTTTAATTTTTGCCAGCTTTCGGTCTTTCTGCTGAGCCTCACAGCACTACACACCTTTCGCCCTCATATTTATATCCCCCAAGGCCTGCGCTCTACTCCTTTTCATACCTTGAATTGAAGCCATCATGTCGCCTGCTCATTCGTCGAACGGAAAGGACTCCGCAGCTGCCCGAATTTTGGGATCGGGTGCATCTGGTGAGTCGAATACGATGTCCAGGATGGTCTGCTAAGGATTATTGGAATAGGTGTGGCTGAGCTGCTCATCTTCCACCCTGTTGACACGGTGGCCAAACGCTTGATGAGCAACAAGAGCAAGGCAAGCAAACTTGCTGTTCTATCACCAGTGTTCCTAACAAACGACCAACGAACAGGTCTCTTTCTCGACACTATCGCCCATCATATTTCGCGACTCTGCCACTGCACCTCTGGCGCGCAAATTCTTGTCTCTGTTTCCCGGTTTGGGCTATGCAGCAGGCTACAAGGTCGCGCAACGCGTGTACAAGTTCGGAGGTCAACCCTGGTTCAACGACATCATCAACAAGCACTACAAGACCAATTTCACGAACACCTTCGGCGAGCGGAAAGGAAAGATGATGATGCAAGCCACGGCTGGGAGGTATGGCATGCGTTTCGGTATCTCGGTTCCCAGTTCGACTAACGGACTACTCTTGTGATTTCTTCCTCCTCGGATAGCCTGACGGGTATCGGCGAAGTCGTACGTCCATTGGGAATATTCGGGATGATGGATTCAACGTGTTAATTCGGGTTCGCAGGTCCTACTCCCGCTAGACGCCCTCAAAATCAAGCGTCAAGTGAACCCGGAGGCGTTCCGTGGCCGAGGAGTCATCCGAATCTTCATGGAGGAGGGCACGACACTCTACCGTGGATGGGGATGGACGATGGCGCGTAATGCACCGGGAAGCTTCGCTGTACGTCTGCACCTGACCTTTTTCTGCAGGCTCACCTGACTTCCTATCTCCTTTCTTCTACGCAGCTTTTCGGTGCTTCAGCAGTCACAAAGGAGTACGTCCTCGGCGTGCAAGATTACTCAAAAGCCACCTGGACACAAAACTTCATCGCCTCCATCGCCGGTGCTGTTGCCTCAATCACAGTTGCTGCTCCTCTCGATACTGTCAAGACGCGTATCCAAAACGCCAACTTCGAGCGCAAGGTGCACGGTGTCACCGTCGTGAAGGACTTGGTCAAGAACGAGGGTGCGACAGCGTTCTTCAAAGGTCTGACACCCAAGGTTCGTCGTTAACTTCTTTGGGCTGAGAGTAGGGGCTGATTGGCTTGTTTTCGTTTGCAGATCCTCGTCGTTGGTCCTAAGCTTGTCTTCAGCTATACCCTCGCCCAATCGCTGATACCCTTCTTTGCGCAATACGTCTAATCCACAGACATTGCCCCGGATGACTCTACTGTACTAGCCGGAGAGAGGAGGAACCAAAATTACGCGTACACTTACTCTACTTACCCAGACGACACCAATGGTCGTTGATATCCTGTTGGAATCAGGATGTACTCTCCATGCATAGTTATATGGTTATGCTTATAGCTATGGCTATACTCTCTAGGCTCTCTTCGGCGGTCTTGACTATAGATCTTGGTGTTTCTGTAATGCACATATAGATAGATCATTTTAGTAGTAAATAAAGCCCCATCTCTGCTTTCCGGACTCACAGTTTGTGTGGTTCTGAGCTCTGCACCGAGATAGTGAACCGGGCCGACCCATCCTTACCAGCTGTGATTCAATTCGTTCATTTCAACTGCCATTTCGCCCATCGCCTCTTACCGGTTTGTGGTCGAACTCTCTTCGTTTCGTTACAACCAACTAACTATTCTAGCTGCAGATGTTGGCTCTGGATCATTCCTGGAATTGATTGACTGAGGATCAACCTGATAGGCTCGCATCCTTGTCAAAGCAAGCAGAACAAGCCAAGCAACGGCAGCATGATATAAAACAGAGGCTTCAAGAAGCGCAGGATGGAAGTGGGATGAGTCTGAAGAGGTTTCGGACGGCGACGGTTCTGAAGATCAGGGAAGGGAAATTGGGAATGGTGGGAGCAGTTCAGCTGAGGTTAGTAGCATCACAGCAAATTTATATGTAGGTCGATATAGTTCTATTTGCATGTAAGCGACACCGGGCAAAAATACCAGGTGCTTAAACAAGACGAAGACAAAATGTACATGCAGACACAGGAATGAGTACATCCAGTACGGGGGTGCTAGACCTAGCTAACAATAATCAGGATAATTCTAGAGAATGCGAAGGTGGTATGAGCAGGGTATTTACAGAGCAATAGAGAGAGCCAGCTGCATAAAGCATAGCACCTCGATATAAGCATGGTATATGTCGCACTGCAACTGAGCAATCAATGGACATGACGGAGCATGATAAATTATAACTTAAAATGCGAATGCCGAATGTGAATGGAGGGTAAGGGAGAGGATGGAGGATGGACGGCCCAGCCTTCGTTAAATAAACAACCTCGACCTCATCCCCTGGGGTATCATCCAGGTTCCAGAATATGTGCAGATTCCTGACAAAGTGTGGATGCAAATCTTGAGTGCGACCGAAGCCGAGCAAGTTACCAAGCAGGAGCAGCGCTTGCCCTTCTCCTGTGCGCCTTTACGCCCTCGATGAGGTTCGAACGCTTGATCGGGCTCACATCAACGTCGACGAGCGAGCGTCTTCGGCGGCGCTTGTTCTGGCACGATGGCGCGGAGTTCTTCTGGCCGGTCGTCGATGTATTGGAGGAGGATGCAGACGAAGACGAAGAAGGGGATGGTGCGAAGTTGTTTGTCGTGCCAGTGTTGGACGTGTTGGCGGGGGTGTTATTGGACGTGTTGGAGTTGGAGTTGGAGGACCCAGAGGACCCAGAGTTTGAAGAGCCCGAGTTAGAGGAAGAGCCCGAATTGGAAGAGGAGGAACCTGAACTGGAACCCGAGTTCGAGGAGCTGCTACCTGAAGATGGCGCCCCGGCGAAGATGTCGTTCTGTGCGCCTATGAAACAAATCTGTCAGCCTCTTCCTATCTCAAACAACAAGAAAAAGAAGGCGCCGGTTCCAGTTTATTCTGGGAAATAAAATCAATAGAGAAGTACTGACCGTCCTTGAACCCAAGCTTGGCATTGTACGTCGGGCTCTTAAAATCTCCAGCCGCATCATAGCCCGAAACCCAGATGTTGTTCCTCTCGTTCTGGTTCCAGTACACCATCTGCTTCGCGCCCTTCGTGCACGCACCGGGGTTGTTCTCGCACCACACCGGGGGCTTCGGTGCGGCCAAAGGCGTGTTGGACGTCGAGCCGGAGACACGGCACCTGAAAGGCTGGTGGTACATGTTCGGCTGCCCGCAGTTGTTGGGCACCCAGCCCCATGCGCAGATGCAGCCACCTGCTGGGCAGGGAGGCATAGCGGCTGGGACGTCATAAACGACAACTCGTTTCCATGGGGTGCTAAAGGGGGCGGCTAAGCAATTAATTAGGCCTCAAGGTGGATAACGCACTTGTAGCGAACGGTGAAGACGACGAGGTTTTCTGGCGTCACAGCCTTGATATCCGACTGGTAGGAGATGGCGAACGCGGTGCCGGCAGCCATCGAGCGGTTCTGGGCGTGCACTGCGAGGTGTAAGGTGAAAGCAACTCCAATTCGCAAGTAAACGCACTGTTAGGAGAAGTGATGCATGAGGGGACATTCTAAATATATCCAGAGCGTTAGAACGGTCAGACTTCGCTCAGAAAGCGGACATTGAACACACATAATCCTCGGGGTAGGTGCTGCCATCAGGCCAGTCCGACATATCACGTCCTCCATACGAAAGCGATGTCTTCGCGCGGTTCGACCCAATTTCGATGGTGAAGGATCCGCCGGCCGGCCTTCAAGGACATCAGCTACAATTCACGATCGAGAACCATGTACTCACAGGTCAATGTAATCACCATCCGCTGGCGGGTAGTTGTCACACTGTAACCTCAAGTTCACTATCACGTCCCGCTGTTTGATAGAGTTTCGAGCTTACACCGTTGACATGGTGGACTGCAACGTAGGCAACATGAGGCTACAGCGCGCTGCCACAGTAAACGAGGACACTCACACCACCAATCGTTGAAGGAGAGCTGGTACAGCGGCGTGACAATGTCGTAGGAGTTGAGGTCCTGTCCGGCTTTGTTGCCCTAACCAAAATGGGACATCGTTCGGGTCAGCGGGCGGGGAGATAACGGAGTACGACGAACATTCAGGCAGTACATCCCCTTGTGCCAGGCAGCCAGGTGGGCGTGCACAACCCCGAAGCAGAGCGACGCGCCGAGGAGAGCTTTCAACATCCGTGTGTATTGGGATGCTGGTGGTAGGCGTAAAATTGGTGCCGTTCGTACGTGAAAAGAGTGTGAGGTTTTTAACGAGAGTGGGGGCTTATCCCTATTCAGGGATAGCGGTTGAGGAGGGGAGAGAGACGGGGAAAGACGTGGGGTGGGTTTAGAAGAGAAAAAAATCGTGGTGACTGTCGTCCGCAGACCAGTCCTTGAGGCTTTTACCAAGGTGCCTGGCAGGAAGCTAATCGGGAAGTAAGCGGTCGGGACACGGTCTTCGAGCCCTTGGATTTCCAAATATGCCGCTGATATGGGAGGAAAGTTTATTGTTTTGCATAAATCTTGCCATGTAGGGCTATTTCAGGTGATGCTTGAGTGAAATTGACAGGATGAATGTCGGAATGCCACTCTTTTGTCAGGAATCAATTAGTGACCGCATCAACGGATAGCGGGGCCAAGATAAGGATTCTCTTGGATGGGATTTTCAATTGGGATACCTGGAGACTCGAGCGAGGAATATATCTACGATGTTTCTTAGTTAGTGAATTTGTTACATAGGAGAAATTGGAATACTGACAACAACAAACTTTTCAGATAGGTCGGACGTGAAGCAGATGAATGGACGCGGAAGTCGCTGTCGGAGACAATCGCCCTGGCAACCACACATTTGGTTTGATCCACGTGCAGCTATGACTTCACGCCGGGATCTTATCTAATCGAAGGGTCTGCGCTTGATTGTTTGGGAAAGCAAGGACTCTGCTAGAGGAGGGAGAAAGAATATTAATACATTCTTCTGTGCACTTGTAGGGTATTTGGTTCAATCATGATGGAGCGAAAAGGTTCATTTCGACCTCTCTTGCTATATCCCCACCAGCTTCTGGCGCGGGCGTGGGTTGAATAATGAGGGTGGACGTCATCTGAGAGTCGAAGGATAAAGAGCGAGAACATTCAGGGAGAGTTTCTTATTTCGGGAATCAGGAAAACTCGGAAAACTCCAACGGATGCGCCACACAGAACATCCCGGATCAAGCGCTCCGGTCGGAGTTTGAAGTAGAATCGAAACTGCGCATAGTTCTCCTTTCTTCTTCAATTGTCCCCCTTCCTCCTTATGCCTTGAAACAAATCCCGAGTCACACAAGATTTGGAAGACACGAAACGGATTGTGCGCGAATACTCAAGCATTCCTTTGGCCAGTATTCCGCACCACACGCGATGTGTCACTGCAAAAACTTCTGTCATGCGATCTACAAGACGAAGTTTGCCGCAGCTTGATGGCCAAGAACATAGAAGACCTAAGTATGCCCAGAACATGCGATTCAGAGAGAAGATGGACACTGCTACTCTCAGGCTGACAGACCCGAACATGGAAGTCTTTGTGTTGTCCACTTCATTGGGGTCGACGGGCGCTGTTAAGCACCTCTTGTGTGGCCTATCAAGTGCCTGACGAGCCCAAGCATCGGTGAACGAAATAACTACCGCCAAAACACCGAGGATAGTACCTCAACGGCCTCTTCTGTCAGGGTTTCGAGTTGGTGCATAAAAATGCGTGATGTGTGCCAAATCTCAAGGCTAGCATCTTCGACGAACTATTTTCTTGCTTCAAAGTCGCTCTTACCCGAAGTCTCAAAGTTAGGGCGTAACCAGGCAGCTAAATGTCAGGTCGGTCACCAGGTTGTTGGTCCAGCATACTGCTATCTTCGCTGCATGAGAGGGGCACTCGTTCAAGACTTGACGGGATTTATCATCGACATATCCTTCAATGAAACAGCGCTTACTATGTCGTGGCCTGGACACGAGACGCTCCTGTTCGGATGCTCTATTTGCAGTGCTACCCCTGTGTTATCTATTACGACACGAGAATCAAGGTGTGAGATCCACTCTCGCCGTCTTCTGTGATTCTCAATGAATGCGTGTTCTGAAGCGCTTGATTGTGTTCCCCAGTGGCATATGCCACGTCAACGTCTCAAATCCCTTTGGAATTCGTTGTGAAAACCGTCAGCAGAGATTCCAGACTCAAGGTTAATCTTTTATTCCATATGAAGCTTCTCACTTACCAATTCGGACGAACAGATGCGGCCCTTCGGGCATTCATTTGGATTATTTCGAAAAGATGGTGCGCATATCTTCCGACATCCTCTACCCACCAATGTTTAATGAACGTGGACTAGGATCAGCCTCTTCGAGCAAAAGGAATCAGCAATAGCACTTCTTTTTCTTAGCCCGCTTCAGCCATGGTTTCGCCGTGATATACGTTGATCTGTACAGACCTTCTATTTCTCCATCGCCCCTGGAAAGCGAGCTGTGATCGACTGACTGCACCAGAGTAATGGACGACGATTCAACGAAAATATTCACCAATAGCGCCTGTGCTTTTCCGCCTCTCATTGGACGTTGTCAGTGATGTGCATGGATTGAAAAAGATAGAAGAGCAAGCGGTCAGCGAGAGTCTACCCTCCATCTTCCATGCCGAGCTCGACGTTATCCCCCTTCCCTCCGACTCCGTGACAAGCATGAGAGCTTGTCTACGTACTCGGTATGCGAATGCATTCTCAGTTGTTTGTACGTACCCACTTACTCTCCCGCCGTCCTTGTTCGATCAACCAGCATTCTTCTGCTGCCACCTCACCCCCGGCAACGTGTCGTATTTCATCCTATCCTTGGCGCGTCTCCGTGTGCTCCCTCGCATTCGAAGGACTTCGCGCTCATCGCACATCGTCTTTGGAAGCTGGCATATTGCCCGCTGATGTGCCTGGGCTATTTATGCCATTCTCTTTGTTTCTGAATTTGATGTCGACGGGCGCAGCAAGTTGGACTTTGGCTGCACTGCAGGCATCGCTTCTTCATTAGGGCACCATAAAATTGATCGGTGAAGTATAAAGTCGTTCCATCCTTCTTCGGCATCGCCGGGTCGTGTCAGCTTTCGTCCTCTTCTCCCTTCACCTTCTCTCCTCCTGGTGTCATGCCATCCTATCTCGCGGCCGCGCTGTCTGCCAGCGTGTTATTCAGACTTGTGAGACGCGCCTTGCTTTCGTTTAATTGCCCGCAAATAGCTGCTGACTCACAAAATTCTGTCAAGGTTTCAGCTCAGACGGTGCCATCCATTCCAACCGTACTTCCAGGAAATTGGACCTCTGTTGGATGCTTTACGTGCAGTCATCCTGGGTATTCTTCGTTGTGAGAGGACTAACATTTCATGCATCTTCCAGGGATATATCGGTATCGCGAACACTTGCAGCGACTTTCTTGGTCCAAGACCACATGACCATTGAAACGTGTATCGAGTTCTGTACGTCTGGAGACTACAATTTGGCTGGAGTAGAATTCGGACGTACGTCAACTTCTCTTCTAATTCATTGGAAATGACCTAATACTATTACATCTTAGATGTAAGTTCTTGTTAAACTTTGGGCCACGCCTCCTCGAATCTATTTAATTATTATTTTTTCATAGGAATGCTGTGAGCACGTTTCGATTATTGCTGTTGCCATTGAGACACTCATCTTTGGCGTCTTTCTATTCATACCTTTTTACGACGTCCAGATTGTGATTCGACAATCCAAATCCCTAGCCAGCCGGCACCCTTGGATGAATGCAATATGCCCTGCAGTGGCGACGCCACCCAGACGTGTGGTGGGCCGGTTCGAATCAACGTCTTCGACAATGGGCAACCGCCACCTGTAATCGTTCAGAGCATCAAGGCAGGAACGGGTTTATGGACCTACCAAGGCTGTTTCACGTAAGCTTGTTGTTGCGATAGTGGTGATAGAGGCTAATCATCTCCCTTCACTCCTTTTTTTCTTCCTTCAATCTGTAAAGCGATTCGGTTGCCGCGAGAACTCTGGGTACGGGGGTGAATATCCCTGGAGGCACGACAGCTGCGTCGTGCACTGCTGCATGCCAAGCAGCCGGTGAATTTCTCAACGCAGGTATCGAGAATGGACACGAGTGTTGTGGGTTCTACCATCGACTCTCACCAAATTACATATTCTGACACTTTGTGCCTTTCTAGGGTGTGACAATGCCATTCATCCGCCAACACAGCGGACGTCTGACGCTGACTGCCGAATGTTGTGCGAAGCGAACCACGACGAGTATTGCGGCAATGCTAATCGTCTCGCAATTTACCAATTCTCGCCGTCGGGTGTACCCCCAGGCCCACAAGCGTGTTTGGACACTTCGTTGACGAATTTCACGCTGAGGGCACAGTTCAAGAATCCTCCAATCGAAGGCCCATCTTCCGTCCCGCTGAAGATCGTTACAGTGGAGATGGTTAGAAATGTGCTTTGGACAGTACTTTCGGTATGTTTGTCGAAACTTTCTCTTGCTGCTCTGTATTCACTGACCTCGAATGAAATCCTACATAGGCTTGCTCGCTCTGCTGCTCAGAATGGCCAAGCTATAGCCTCCAAAATTCAATCTTCGCTCCACGCTCGGTTGCGATCCCGACTCAAGAAATGGCTTCAACATTTACGAATGACGGAGAGTCGCCGAATTTCGTTGCCTCAATTCCTGCCTTTCCTGGATCGCAGTCGTATTGCATCATGGTTAGTAAAGTCTCCCTGCCTATCATCGCACCTGGACATCTTATATCTCCCGATCGTGTTAGAATGACAACGCGGCTCCGATCAGCAGCCCGCCTCTACTCGCATTCGACAATAAAGCTGATGCGTTCTCTTTGTGTACTAACACCAGCGCAAACGGCCGGAAGGATGTCGTCTTCTCGCCTGTTACCGGACACCCTCATTACCTATTGGATGACTGCCAGCCTATCAACATTCAAGTGCTCACGTAGCCTTCTCGAAGTTCAACACGGAGAAAATAGAGGCTTTTGGGTGCGCGATCGAAATTTCCAGACGATTCTTCAGCTTCATCTTCTACTGGCCGCATGGTGTGTATTGTATGTCTATGGCGTTTATGGTAGATACCCCGCTTGCTATTTCTGACTGGGCGAGCGATTATAGACTTTTCTCGTGCTCGTTTCTCTTCATTGTCGCAGAATGGCAGCTTCGCGTCAAAGCAAACCCGGATGGCAAGGACTATATAAGATGAGACAGTCTGCCGACTTCGAACTAAAGATCACCCGGAGGTGCCGCTGCGGTCGTTTTATCTTATAACCCTTCAAACGCCGAGCGGCGAGCATTGACTTGTTTCAACCTGTTCATGGCTGTTTTGTTGATCTTGACGTCAGGCTGGAAAAGTGTGTGCGATAGGATTTTTCCGCTTTCCCCTCATGGAAATGACTTTTTCAATGTCCAGTGCCGAGCCCGCGTTTAAGCAGGGCCGTATGCGGGGAAGGCTTGGCGACAAGCGCCGTCGAGAAAACAGTCACCAACTTGAAGAGTCACAATTCGACCAGCATGCTCACTAGATTAAAGGACAATGGCGAACGCGTATCTCCCTGTTTTATTTTTCGCACTATCGCCACTCAAAATTAATGCGCGTCGCGGGACTGCGGTGAGCGTAACTGACAAAAGCACATGTTTGCGGTCCCCTAATTGGGTCGCTTCCGTTGACGGACCGCCCAGTGGTGGCTTGTTCCGAGTGTTGTGGATCGGCACTTGTTCGGTACCACCATCTCTTTAGCAAATCTGGCTGGGTACCTCCACTTCGTCATCAGCTGTGCTCCCTGGGTACGGCAGAAGATAAAAGCAGAGGTGCTGCCGAGTCCAGTCGAGACCTCTACAACCCCGCATCCCCGCACGGCTGCCCCGCATTCTCATTGTACCGATCGAGATAAGCTAGGAACGAGGAGCTCCGTCATGGCGAGCAGCAGCGAGTAAGAGAGTACTTATTGCCCGCCATGTTTTTCGTTACTCATTGCTGTTCATCTCTCCTCCCTCTTCTTCCTCGCATCATCTCGCACCATGTCGAACACTAGATTTGCCGACAGGAAGCCCGCACGCCGCACGCTGGCGCACCAGGACAAGCTCCCCAAGCTCCCCATTCCATCACTAGAAGACACATGCAACCGTTATCTTCGAGCGCTCGAGGCATTGCAAGACGAGAGGGAACACGCAATGACGAAGGTCGCTGTTCACGAGTTCTTACAGTCGGATGGCCCGAAGCTACATGAGCTGCTGCAGGAGTATGCACAGGACAAGGCCAGGTATGTCTTACGCGTCATTCTTTGGACCTCGACTCATGAGTCTTATCATTGCACTAGTTACATCGAGGAGTTCTGGTACGAGTCGTATCTGTCGCACAGCGACCCCGTCGTGCTCGCCCTAAATCCCTTCTTCGTCTTGGAGTGAGTGTGGTCTTTTGTGACGTTGACTCTCAGTGGCTGACAACCATCTTATCTGCATCAAGGAACGACCCCACACCTGATCGCGGGGCACAACTTCCTCGCGCTGCTTCCCTCATCGTGTCCTCTCTTGGCTTCATCCATGATCTTCGGGCAGGCATCCTCGAACCAGACACCGTTCGCGGTGTTCCTCTGGACATGGACCAGTATTCTCGACTCTTCGGGACGTCCAGAATACCCACAGACGTGCGTTCTATTCTCCGACCCAAGCAAGAACCGTGATCTCATGATACTGTCTCCAAATTTAGCGTGGGTGTAGGATGGAGGTGCATTCAGATGCACGGCACATTGTCGTTCTGAGAAGAGGCCAATTCTGTTCGTATCAAGCGCCACCTGCGATTCTTTCCCACTTTTGCTGACTGTCATCTTTATAGACTGGTTTGATGTTCTCGACGAGGAGAACCTGCCCCTCCTGACCGAACGAGAAGTACATAGAAATCTCCAAGCCATAATCACAGATGCAGATAAGATGGACGAATCACATGTGGCTCGCGGGGCCATTGGCGTCCTCTCCACGGAAAACCGCAAAGTTTGGTCGGGCCTCCGCGAACTCTTGTCACAGGATCGGAACAACAAATCATGCCTTGAGATCGTCGAAAACGCCCTCTTCGTCGTCTGCTTGGATGATACCACGCCCGAGACCCTGGCTGACCTTTGCAGTAACTTCTTATGCGGAACGTATAGTCTGCAAGGAGGAGAACAGGTCGGCACTTGTACGAATCGGTGGTATGACAAGGTCAGCTTGGTTGACCTTTACACCACCGATTCCCAGACTGACAATCTCCGCAGCTCCAAATCATCGTCTGCGCTGATGGGTCCGCTGGCATCAACTTCGAACATACTGGCGTTGACGGCCACACAGTTCTGAGGTGCGAACGCTCTTATTTTCGTTCGATCGTTATAGGCTTCCGACTTACCTTATTTGCTTTTCTGACAGGTTCGCGGCCGACATATTCACAGAAGGCCTAATGCTTCTCGCCCGCTCGATCAACCCATCAGCACCCACGCTCTTCCATGCGCCACTCTCACCTCATGCCAGAGCGTACAAGCCGCCAAGGGGTCACGGAAGTACGCCAATTTTCCCCGCCTCCGCTCTAACCCCAGCCGACTGACGTCATCTTGCGTCGTTAGAGCCACCGTCGCCCACAGAAAAAATCGACACGACGCCCAAGAAGCTCGAGTGGAACCTGACGCCATCGCTCCGCGCAGGCGTACGTTTTGCGGAGACAAGAATAAGCGACCTCATCTGCCAGAACGATTGCCAAGCGCTGGAGTTCAAGGGTTACGGAAAGAACTTTATCACAAGCCATGGCTTCTCTCCGGATGCTTTCGTCCAGATGGCCTTCCAGGCAGCCTACTTCGGGCTGTACGGACGGATCGAGTGCACATATGAGCCCGCAATGACGAAGACTTTCTTGCATGGCCGGACGGAGGCGATTCGAACGGTCCAGCCGGAGAGCGTGAACTTTACGAAGGTATGTTGTAAGTTCCGCTCAGCAATGCTTTGGTTGACGGCCAGCGTCATTCGCATAGACTTTCTACTCTGAGGCTTCTCCTCATGCTAAGGCCGCCGCGCTCCGGAAAGCATGCGACAGGCACGTCAAACTTACAAGAGAGTGCGGTCAAGGGCTCGGGCAGGACAGGCACCTGTACGCGATGTACTGCCTCATCCAACGACAACTGCAGAACAAGACAGAGGGTCACGAAAATGGCATCATCTCTCCTTCACCTTCGCCGCCGCCGTCTCCCAGTCACAGGATTAATAAAATGCCTACGATCTTCACCGACCCTGGTTGGGCGACGCTTGGGACCTCGATCCTTTCCACCTCGAATTGTGGCAATCCAGCCCTGCGTCTATTCGGATTTGGACCTGTGGCGGCGGATGGATACGGTATTGGCTACATCATCAAGGAGGACGGCATCTCTGTGTAAGCGCCTTGCTTCCGTCACCTGTTCTTTTTGCTGAACGACCCATGTCTCCTGTTAGTTGCGCCTCGTCTAAACACCTGCAAACGCGCCGGTTCTTGGACACACTCAAAGGCTACCTTCTCGACGTTCAGCGCCTGCTCATTCAACTACACCGAGCAGCTAACGAGCGACCAGCGCCTTTCGTCGACCACTTGGGGATTCTTCGTGACTCGAAGACCGGTCGACCTATTCATGGCGCGACGTCGGATGGGGACTCAGATGAGGAGGAGGTTCCTCTGCGTACGTCTCATCTTGCAAAATTTTGTTTGTTCGTTGACGGCTAAACGTCTCTTTAGCCGGATATTCGTTCTTCGACTCAGGCGAAGTTGCACTTCTTGGGAGGAAGAAGAAATCGCCTTTCTCTGATGTTGGTAAGTTTGAAACACGCTTTTCTCTGTACTCTTCACGGTATTAACCATCATCCTCTCCAGGGAAAGTGATACCTCTCGCAGAATACTGATCTGGCCATAGTTCGGTTCCTTTGGTAGACGGTTTGCTTCTCGGTCTTTGTATTTGCCCGGTCTGCGTTCGAGTCGCCTCACTGTAACGATACACACCTGTATTTACCATGCTTTTTCTTAGTTCTTCGTGCTGCTATCCCGGTTCCTGGCTGTATTTCGAGTTCGCTTTGATTTTATCCATGTTATAGTAGGTACAATAGCATTTGTATTTGGAATGTTTACTCGGCCTCTAAATTTCAAACGTTATTATTGGTACATAGACCACCGCCATAAAAACCCACCCGTTTCGAGCATTGCAATCGCCACTTCAACCTCTGCCCTGTTTAGCCAGACAAGTTGATCCGCTCGTTGATCGTCGATCGATCGATCAGAGACTGATCCGCTGTGTCCCATGAGAGCACCCGGACCGGCTGGGATGATGAAGATGATCGTGGCCTTGGTCGTGGCTTCGGTCGTGGCTACTCTTTCCTCAGCGCTTCATCCAAACTTCATCTTCAACCCACGTCAGGCCCATTCCTCAGGCAGGAAAGGTCGCGTAAAACCCAATACTCGCCACTCTACGACCTCGCGGCTACGCGATTCCTAGTTCTCGAATCGAGAGGGACCGAGTGTAGTTGGAGACGTTAGAGAAAAAGAAAATCTTCTTGGTAAGTATAGTTCTAACTAAGCTAGTTGTGTGATATTCACTGACTGTGCACACAGTAACGTCTCAATAACGCCCACCTTTACAGTCGAGTAGGATTCTACGAGCAATAGCATGCCTCGAGCACCACGTCTCCGCAGATGCCGCCGAGTCTCGGACCTTCGCCAGAGGAGACTGCAGGCAGTCAATTCAAATGAGGGTATACAGGAGGAGGGCTACGAGAAGACCACACCGGCATGGTTGCTGCCCACCGAAGTAACCTGCGCCATCTTCGAGGCGGCCTTAGGGCCTTCACCTTTTTTTACAGGAGGACAATCTCTGCCAGGCAGCGAAGTTATCGCCATCTCGCAAGTATGCAGGACGTGGAGAGACATCGCTCTTGACTACACGCCTCTTTGGACCACCTTTGCATACTCGGACAAAGGTCCTATGAGTAACCTAAACCAGGAGATGGTTCTTTCTCGACTCCAGCTTCACCTCGATCGCTCGGGCGGGCGACCGGTCGACCTTTGGGTAGACGCCGCCAATTCTCAACTTTCAGACAAATTGTACGACGCCTTCACGGAACACATGGGCCGCTGGCGACGAGTGGCTTTGCAGCTGAACCCGAGTAGCGACGGAGTACCGCTGAGGATCGCCCAGCCTGATCTCGCACCGAACTTGGAAGCGTTCGCGCTCGCTAACAGCCGCCCAACTTCAATTTCATATTTTCCTTTTCCCAATTTCACCCTTAATGCCCCAAAGTTGGACACCCTCCGCATGGATTTCAGGGCGTTCAAGACCTGGGCTCCGACCACAACAATTACAAGACTAGATATCGACCAGTGGTGCCACAGCCACTCGGCTTACTTGCCTTGGTCTACATTTCTGGATATAATCTCGTCACCTGCCTTGAAGAGCCTTATGATACGTGCTCTCCCAGGAGGAGTCATGTTTAAGGCACCGACCAGTTCAGACATGGCGCGGAGGGTCGATACCAACCTCGAGGACATTCATTGCACTGAAGTCCGGGTGGCGCATACCATGTGGGGTTTTATTCGTAGCGCACCCCGTCTACGAACAATTTCCTTCTTCCACATGGGGGTTCATCGCAAGTGGGACATCCAGGAAGCCGCAAACCGTTGGGGCCTCAATCTATTCGGGAAAGACTACGACCTTCGATTCCCCGTTCTCAAGAGCGTGTCTATGATAGATTGCGTTGTCAGCAAGCTCAACTTAGAATGCCTTGCCAAATTGACGCCGCACGTAGTCAGCTTTGGCGTATTCGCAGTGAAGACTACGCAAGGAATGCCCATCGATACTCTCATGTCCCGAGAAGAAAGAAGCGTGGAAGATATCATGTGGCCGAAGCTCGATTTCGTCAGGGCAAATATCAAGGATATCAAGCAGGCCCAGTACGACTCATACTCGAAATTTCTCTTGGGTCGTTCGGCATTGAAGAAACCTTGCACTCTATTGTTATACACCCCTGAAGCGGACCGCTGGAAGGAGCAGGACGTAAGGGGATGGAAAAAGCTTGAAAATAGAGGCCTTGTGCACGATCTCGGCCAAAGGGTCGTGGGCCAATGCATTTGAGTCGGAAAGCATTTAGAACGTTTTATGAGACATGGACTAGACGACTAGATTTATTACTTTACGTTATTCGGACTGCTTCATTTGTATTACTCGCTGTCATCGCATCGCATTTAACTATGTACATATGTACAAGGATATAATAATGCTATAACATTTTCTAACCAATTCTCGTCACATCTGATCAGACCGATTAGTACTGCGGATATCCATTTATGTAGATTGTGGCGTCAGCATTTGAGAGTCAAGGACAGAAGAAAATAGGATTATCGATTTACATAGAAAGCCAGGCGCGGAAACGAATATGGTACAACATCTTTGACTTGGTTAATAATATCGAAAGAGGCCGGGATGAAGGCGGAGCGACGCAGATAGCAAAAAAAATGGGGGCGTGTCTGCAGCGGGACCCATGAGCGTCTACAAGATGTTGGTCGAATAAGACGAGCAAGAGCTTAAGCAGTCCGCGTGGCGAAGGCATAATCCAAACTCAGTGCCGCGACGATTTTGGGGTGGTCGTGTTCGCCATCTTGATGCCCAGAACCGACTTGAGCTTCGAAAGACGAAGAAACAGATTGGAATGCTGAAGAGGGGTCAGCTAGACGCCGCCGCTATACTTATTCAATGGACACACTAGGCTCGCAGTGTTAGGTCCATTCTCTGACTCTGTCCCATGAGCAACGAAATCTCCTTGTAACGCGGCTGGCCTCTTCTCCTCGAAAATAGTTTTCGTGTCGTCGTCTTCGTCGTGGCGGAGATATGTCACCTACATCCAAGCCAGAAACAAGGCGAAGTAGAGGGACACCTATTGCGACTAACGGAGTCGTCCTGGCTTGAATGCACCTCTCCATCAGCCATTGGGCGGTCTATTGTTTTCTGGCCAGGTAGCGAATCCGGCTGGCTGATATTGACAATCAGAAGCTTTTACGCACCATCAAACAGTCCGAACTGGACGTAAAGGCTGATAGTGGCTTATATGCGAGCGTGGGGTACTGTAGCTCTGGCTCGATGAAGACCGACAGCCAATGTCGAATAGGGCTTTTGGAAGTGAGAACGAGGGTGAAGGAAGGCAATGCGTGCATCCGAGAGGAGGGGGTCCTGATAGGGGGAGGATTGAACGAGAAAGTACGACGTTGGCGGGCTGCCTAGACGCGAAATGAGAATCGAGGATCGAAACACGTCAATGTAAGAGGCAGAAAGCAGGCAATCCAGGGTGCATTCTTTGGAGGGAATGCCGGCATGAATTATCGAGGCACGTTCTGTGACGCTAGGACACCATGGGAAATCGAGAGTGATTGATCTGAGCAAGTCTCCAACAACACGAACGAACGCCAACTTCTCTTCCAGCGCTCGCATTCAGCAAGAATCAGTTGATTGTCAGGCATTTCCAAGAAAAGGGAGCAGAAATCCAGAACGAGGTACAGGCCACTTATCCATATCGCCATGTCGTTGAATCTTCGAATTCATTGCTTTAGCTTCGGCTTAGAACCCGCAAACTTCCAGCGTCAACGGTTGTCCGGACACTCTCGGTCATGTCCCATAGCGAACAAACGGTCCTCTCGGATCGAGAATAAGCTAAGAACGTCGGAACCTCCGCCTTGGAAGAAAATGACGCGGTCAGTGCGTTCATCCTGGTGAATGGTGCAAATTCGACGAAATCTCTCATTCCAGCCCGCGGCCACCCTCTGGAAGGCTAGAAATAACCCCAGAAACGGAATTCTCCCTAACAATTTCACGGGATATAGCACAGAACCAAGGGAGAGGGGCCCATCTGCTAGACAAGGGGATGTTCAGCAGCAAGGAACCGTTCCAACCGCGAGTTTGACGGAAGTTTTCCTCCTCGCAGACACGATTCCGTCTTCAGATGCTCAAAGAAAGTCGCCTGTCTTCCAGCCATGGAGCAGTTTCCATGTCACGGACACAAACCTGCAAGATTGACCCCATTCCCGTCTCAACTCCCAGCCCTTGGTCCCATTCCATGCTCTTCTTCCTTCCAACGCCACTCCTCAGCCCTCGGAAAAGCGGAAACCGCCCTATCACTCCGCCTTTAATGGTTAGAAACGCATCTGGGGCCCCGGGCTTTTGGCTCTCCTCGCCGCAGAGTGCTGTGACAGGAGAGTCACGTGCTCTCAAAATACAAGATCGACAAGGTGAGTCAGAGATTGTCCTAGTGCCATCCTTGCCCGAATCCACCACGAGAAAGCTCAGAATGGAACGTAACAGATGCTGTCCGACTACCTGAGAGGTGTGATCCAAGACCAGCAGCCCTTCAAGATCTTGCGTGACCAACGCCAACGCCAACACCAACACCAACAGACGTGGCCACAACGACGAAGCAGCCACGTCGTTTCCGTCTTCAGAAGATGCACCAGGAAAAAACCACCAAAAAAAAGGATAAACAAGAGAGTGATTTGGCAACTCACAGTCGAAGGCCTCCATTCCTGCCATTAGAACGTTGAACGCTTTTCACAGTTCGTCGGATCCAAAAAGAAGTCTCCTCCAGATCCATTCAAGTAGAGGGCGTGAAAACTGCAGGCAGAGCATCTGCTCAGCCATCGAAAGTCTTCCTCCTACACTTTTGCACGTCACACGTACACTAGTGGGGTACTCCAACAACCGAGAACGGCCACCACTCAGACAGCTGGATCTCATCCTTCTCATCCGAGAACTGGCAATACATCGTAACCAAGCAGAAGATATGGTCTACAGTGTCAGAAAACTGTGGAAGTCGCAGGAAATCCTTCTCGTACCTGATGATTTTTTGCCGTTCAAGACATCCCAGCAGGTCGAAAACCCAGAAGCTCATAGTCAACTAGGGGTCTTCAGGCTTCTAGGAGGCCCGGTATGTCCCCATAATGCCGTCCATAGTACTTCCATCGATTGACTGAGACGTGTTGCCAGATCGTGCCTGTTGTGGAAAGGTTGCTGTAACAAAGCTTCAGCCATCAGATCGTGGTCGAAAAGTCCTTTAGACCGTTCGTCCATTCGAAGCCAGATTGCAGCAAAAGAGGCATGAGCACGAGAACTGGTGAGATGCGAATTGGATGCGAACTAGTGTTCGAATATCGACTTCGGACAACAGAGCAGCAGATGATGGAACGCTGAATCGAGGAGAGTTTCGGGTGGGTTGCTGACAAAGCGCGCCTGTGCCAATCCATCCAAGCGGAGCTTGACCAAAGCTCGGCGACTTTTCAGCGACCAAAGCATATTTCCTCGGTTAGGTATTCGATTTTTTCGCTGAAGTACCAGATATATGACAAAGCTGACCGAAATTGGGCCAGGTCTATCCGTACTCGGTCAACGACGAAGAAGGACAGTTATAACAATCGAGACTACGACGATACAACTTCAAGCTGCTCTTGGGACTCTATAATTCAAGTAGGCATTGCATTTCCAAAATTTCTTTGAAAAACTGCTCTTATTTTTTGTAGATAAAACATTTACTTCTCATATTATTCTACGCAATTAAGTAAATGGGCCCTGAATGGGCCTCTCAACAATTGCGCCAAGTCCAATGAAACTTGACCCTAGCCTCACTATTATGTGGTGTCAAGAACCCATAGCGAGGGACTGATGCGGATCGATATCGATCGATTATTTTTATTTTGTAGAGTTCCCTCTCTTCCGATCTCGTAGTCGCTGGCCTCAGCTCGTTACAATAATCGTCCAAAGTCTCGTTCTTTTCAGCGTGCGTCCCTTCTCATTGAGTCGGTTGCACTGAATGATGTTTCCTCTGATAGTATTGTTCCTGTACTCCTCGAAGGAAATTTCACCTCGTGTTCACTCTTGGACGATGCCTGGAACCTCGTCCTCTAGTTTCTCACTTCTTTGGACGTATATGACCCTCAATGTCAATCCTCAATTCGCGAAAAAAAATTGAGAGGAGTCAACGAGTTGGCAGCACTACGGAGCATTGTCAATCGACATAATTAATCTATTCACCAGACTTGAATTCCGTGGAAAGAACTTTAGGAGTTGGGAGTCAGTAATCCGCTATTTCCTGACGATATTTTCTTGCATACTGCCCCGAAGAATCAGGCCTCACCTCCTTACAATGTTCTCAAGGCACAAAGAGCAAACGAACCCTCCGTCGCTCAAAACATCGAGCCTTCATGACTTGTAGGTTCGCGAAATTTTCAATTTGTTCGTTACCATTTGTTCGCTAATTAGACCGTACATGGGTTGCAGGACAGCTGCGGGAAAAGAACCAGAGAACTTTCTGCTCTTCCCTGGATAGGGCGTTACAAGGCGAGAAGAGCGCCTCCGAGTCTTGGCCTTCATAGCATCATCCGTGATTGAGAGCGAGCAAGTCGCCGTCCATCAGTCCGTATATTTTTGTGCTGCCTTCTAGCCGTTTGTTCTTGATTACCTTATCTCCGATTTTCCAGTGGCGTCGTGCATCTACGTGCTCATCTCGACTGCGAAACAGGCTCTCCAATCTCCAAGCCTCAATCTTTAAGCAACCGAAATGAAAGTATATTTGTATCCAAGAAGACAATGTACTCGACGACAAGAATCATAAAACAATGAGAATGATTAAAGGCTACAGAAGCTACTCTCTACACTGGGTATACAATGAGGTACGAAAACATGCTATACGACAACAAGGAGGTGCAAGGTGCTGGAATGACAAAGTACAGAATACAGACGGAATAGGACGTGAGATGGTATGAATGTAGGTGTGAACATCGGAAAGCAGATCAGAAAGCAAAATAGTGTGCAACAAAGCGACGACAACAAAAAGAGCGAACGGCGAATAAAGGAAAAATATGAAAAGGAAAAAACTTGAAGAAGGGGGTGTTTTAGTCGATGCATACCTCGTCGACTAGCTTATAAGCGATCCGCAATAGTGGGAGGCCCAAGGGGAGGCCGTTTGACTCCCTAGGTGGCAGCAAAAAATCCAGGGATAAAGACAGTCGTCTTCGGAATTTTCGCCTTGAGAGCTCTCAGTTTGCGAGCGAAATCCGACCAGCTACGCTAGGTGACGACGTATGTAAGCGTCGAAAAAAACAGCGATGCGATAAACATGGCTCACCGAGAAAAAAGCTTTCGTTTTGGCACCGAAGTCACACCAGAATGAAGGAATCCCAGCGGAGGCGTTGGCGGGCTGCATACAATGTCAGACGGCCCCGGCGAAGGAGTTGAGAATGGCAGGCTAACCGCTTGGCCGGTGCTGGCGTACATAAAGAGAGTTCCATCTCGAGAGGCCATCGTGCCCTATGAGCAAAAAGGAGGGCGTAAGAAAGCTGAATAGTAGGCGGCTAGCACCGGACGCACCACGACGTTAAGTGGGATAGAGGAGGGCGGAGAATGAACTGAAGAGGACATGCTGGCGATGAAGAGAGGGTCGAGTTGGGGGCTTTCACAGGCAATGTCGGTGCTGACGTCTGTGCTCGGCCGATTTTGGGTTGGGACGGAGGTCGAAGGTATGTCAAGCATTGTGCAACTTTACGATACGCGGGGCACGACACCGAGGGTGAAGGCGTTGTCGACGGTAGAGAATTACGAGGAGAAATATGAGAAGTGGCGCGATGATGGGCAGAAAGGAGGGCGAAAGAATGGAGTCGGACGGTATGTTGGAAGGCGTGCGCCGAATAGCGCGTAGTGTGCTATGGACTAGACGTGAAGACGGTATAGCAAAATGTGGGCGTGAACGGGGAATGATAGAAGAAAATGAAGAGATGAAGAAAAAAAAGACACGGTCTACCTTTTTATACCGTCGAATCGAATCCTCGGGAAGGTTGTCCAGAAATGGTCTTTCGGCCAACAAAGTCTCGGGAACCTGCCGAACCCAAGTACGCCTCAAACCATGTTCGTCGACCACCCAAGAAGCCGGGTGGACGTTCGCGGCCTTCGAAACATCCTCTCCGTCGATCCTGGGCCTGAGGTTCAAAATGCATTGGGTGGAGGTAAGCAGCGACCTTCTTCACCTTCTTGACGTTTTGTTCCTGATCCCAGCCTGATCCTGATGTTGATTCGAAGTCGCCTCTAGACGGCAACCATGACATGGGTGGCGTATGAACACGCCTCGTCCTGACTACGCCTCCATACCATATAGCTCTTGCGTCCGTCTACCACACGTCATCGGACAACGTGGTCGTAGAAAGCGAAGAGAAGAGGTCCTGCTGCACGAGGACCTGGTCCCGAACCCGAACCTCCCTCCCTGACGCGAATTCCGGGTGCTTCATAGTCGAGAAAGAAAGAAACAACCAGCCATCTCACGAAACACGAGGATTTCGCCGTCGCTCCTGAGTTTCCTGTATCTGCTCAGGCTTCAGCTGAGACTCCTGCCGCTTGGTATTGCTCGGGCGTTTTCGTCAGGATTCTTGAGGCGTCGCTTTGGAGATTGTGTTGTTGTTCGACCATTCATGTAATTTGCGATGGATCCTACGCGCACATGCCCTTTTTTGTTGTCTTGTTCGCCAATGTTCCCCATTGTTCACGTCCGAGTCTTGTTCTTGGGTGACGCGTCGAGTGCGTCTGTCACACAGTCACGATGATAGGGGCATCACATCCTCAACCATAGACAGAAGAGGAGGCACCAGAGCCACAGCACCGTCCAATGAACACGCATGAATGAGCGACAGTAGTCGCACAGAACGAGATTTCGGAGCGCGCTTGCCGACAGGTCATCATCAAGGAACAGGAAGTTGCAAGTTTTCGCGGGCTTTGAATGTTGCACACATACCATTTGCAATCCACCAGCAGTTTTTGATACTACAGTGACTTGGTCAGCCAGGACCGTCGCAGGAAGTTCGTTCTGACGGACACTCCGCAGAACATTCTCTCTTCCGCCCAGGTCCACGTTGCCAAAGGAGAGCGAGAACAACGGGCACAAGGGATACGCTCCACACTCGAGAGGGCGAATCGACACTAGGAAGCAAGAAGGCGAACGAGAAACTGCAGGAAGACCGTTGAATCTGTGTCGAATGTTTCGCTAGGTGGTGCAGTTACATCGTAGCTCGGTGGGTTGGGGAGGCCTCGTCAAAGCACTTTGAGCTCACTATAAGCAATTTTAGGATACCCTCGACGACGAAAAAGCGAATTGGTGCTCACCAGCTCAGATCACAGCTCGTATTGCGCTCCTTTGGATAGCGGTTGACCCCGCGCTATCCGTACTTACTGGGAAGTCATCAGCAGATTGTAGTCCTCCATGCCTCCATGCCGGGTTATGATGCTTCCATGCCGGGTTGCAATGCCTCCACGCCGGGTCACGATGCCTCCATGTTGGGTTAAGACGAAGCTCATACACCCCCTTCCAAGCTTGGTAGCGAAGAGCAGAGGCCTCTGACGAAACGTCATTTGCAGACTTTACGATGGTGACGCTGTCGGATGGCCCTGCCCCTTTTTTTTTTGGTTCCATGTCCGCCTCTACCCAATTTAGCCAGGAGCCAGGAGCCTCTACACAATCCAGATGTCCTCAGGATATTTGAAGTATCGACTGGTGTTGGAGAACGATAAATAAAGGTGAGATGATTCGGCATGCTGGATCCGGTCTTCGTTGAAGCCGGTCAAATGCGGCCAGGCTCGTGGCCCGTGTAACTGTTTGTTTGCATCTTTGCGTGATCTCGCGTCTCCATCGACAGTTTTCCTTCGCTAGAGCTTGGGGAAAGTGCACAAATTCCATGCTCGACCGACCAATACCGTGAGTTCTTCAGTAAGCCTTCGAGAATTTCTCACTCTGATGTCTTTTCAAGTTTGCCGTGGCAGATGTCGAGCCCTTTCTTTGTTGCGCAGCAGCGGCACAGATCCTAGGTATGAGAGGGTTCGGTGGATGGTCCTTTCTTGAATCTCGAATTCTTCAAGGCGTGTGTGCAGTAATCGTACCATGTCACCTCTGATAACTAACTTTCTCTTCATCGAAGAACTCAAAATTATCCGGAGTCGTCAACAGCTTCCACTGGGGAGGCGTCTAGACTCTGAGGTTACGATCGATATCGATGCCTTCGCCAGAGGTCATCCACCTCGCTGCCAACATCCTACGACGAGTTTCTTTGAAGGTCGGTCCCCCACAGTCCCATCAAGTCTCTTTGCTCTTCTTCCTGCAACCCTACTAAGTGCTCTTGCCTTCGGTTCTGTTCCAGCAGATGATGCTACATTATGCATTGACCATCGTCAAACGATTGTCCTGAGTGGCTCACCGATCCTTTATTAGCTGAACTGATTGCGATATTAGTGAGTGGTTGGTCACCACACTAGCTTCAGACCCATCTCTGTCTGTAATTCATGCACCATTTCAATTTTGGACCCTTTTATACGGGAGTCTCTCTCGTATATTAATTCATTCCGTCTAACCCATACCTCGGTTATCCATGGGATTTTCTGTAGCGATTCATTGGTTTATTGTGTGCTTCCGTCATTCTTAGAAGCATCCTCGTCTGCTTGTCGCTGCTGGCCCGATTACTGTCATGTACGTATCGCAGTGATGCAAATACTATTACTTATATTTTTTCTTCGGAATCACAACTAATTGTAGGCTTCAACACTACGGGTGGAGTCATTGACATTCGGGTCAATGGTGATCAACCTTGAAGCTTGAAGCTTGAAGGTGGACGTCCATTTGAATGTTGAAAATGTTAAAAAAATTAGGAGACCCAATACCGACCTCTCGAATCAACGAGACTCCTCCGTAATTAAATTTCGGCTACCATTAGACACGAAGACTATCTAATCTTCCAGAGACGCATCGAACACTGGAGACGTTGATCCGTCAGTGCAAGTGATGGCTGATCGGGCCACTGATCCGTCAACCCAACGCTGGGCCGTGGGATCAACCAAACACTGTGGCCTCTCCTCAGCACCCCACTCCCACCATCGACTCAGAGACCCAGAAGCACTAGCTCAGAGGTACAGCGCGTCGAGCTGCGAATAATTCTGGATTTTGATTCCCCCTCTTGCCACCTAGCTCCCGAGTTTCTGGAAATCTGAATCGACGAGTTTCAAGTTGGGACGAAAAGCCACATTTGAGCCAACGGCCAAGGTAAGCGGCAGACCACACTCCTAGTCTTGTACGAGTCGCTAATTGTACATACAACCTCACAGATGAACACTCGTATCGACGATCAAGATGGGCAGGTGGTCGACTGTGACGCAGACATCAATTTACTAGACGAGGATTTACCAGCGGCCATGATCCCTGGCTTCGACTTTGAGCTTAAGGGGAAGTATCCCTGCGCTTGCGGGAGCAGGCACAAACCCAGGGAGGTCTATATGACGGAGAGGAAGAATAGAGAGACTACAGAAGCCATCATCACTCAGTCAAACCCCACCCGTTCTCCCGTCGCCACATTCCCAACAGAGATCCTCTCCACTATCTTCACCCTCAGCGTAGCGGAGTCACCTTTCGTCAACGGTGGCCTTGGGGAGACGAGAACAACGGAGTCTATCATCGCTCAAGTTTGCGCCCGGTGGCGCTGGATCGCCCTCGACACCCCCGCACTGTGGACAACGTTCAGGTTTCGAGAAGGGGATCCGAAGAAGTGGACCTGCTGGATGCTAGTTTTTCTCCGGCTTCAGACATACCTGAAGAGGTCTGGACAGAGGCCAGTAGATCTCTGGCTAGAAGTCACATCACAATGGGTGGCTGAGTGGTTCCTCGAGAAGTTCATGGACCACTTGCCCCGATGGCGGTGTGTGTCGATGAGGCTTCCGCAAGAGTCATTAAGGCCGTACGCCCCAGTTCTCTCTGCACTGGCGGATGCGGGAGCAGATAATCTCGAATCACTCGAGGTCAGTATTCTGCAATACGACAAGCTGGAGCTCTTCGCGGAACCAGTGGAGAAATCACTGCGCGGTGTACCAAAGCTGAAGCACGTTAAAATGGATACAAAGGCCTTCAGATTGTGCAAGCCGCCTTTACACTCCATAACAACACTCCATCTAGAAACATGGTGCACTTATCGGCCTCAAATAAGCTGGCAGACGTTCCGTGCCATTGTCACGTCACCGACTTTGAAGAACCTGACATTGGACGGAGGAAAAATCTTCGACAACCGAGACGACGCTGAACGTTTAACGACGAGCATCGAGCGATTTGTCTGCGACGACGACGGCATCGCTGGATGGATGTGGGACGCACTTGATGCTCCCCATTTGAAGACAGTCATCATTAAGAATTTTGCCAACCAAATACATCCGCAAATCATCGACGGGAAGGATCACTTCCCGTCGCTAACGTCAATAGTCTTCATAGACTGTGCCATAACCCAAGGTGCATGGCAATTATCGGAACTGCTGCAAGACACGTTACGAACTTCACAAACATCCTGGATGCCTGGCGCCCTATGACATACAACATGGCAACAGACTTATTTCCACTGGAAGCCCTCGCGGCGTCTTCAGACGACCAACTCTTGTGGCCCCAGTTGAAATTGATTGAGTGCGACGCCAACCCTTTCGAACAAGGCCAACACGAGACTTGTGCACGCCTCCTTCGCCAGCATAACCTCTGCGATCTACGGGTTTACATGCGGGTGATTGATGCTCCGCACTGGAAGAAAAAGTCAAAGGAGGCGTGGAACGAGATGGAGAAGGGAGGACGCGTAAGTGTAATGTCACCGAGGGAGGCAGGCTTCGTCCGCCACCTGGCTTTCGCGGACTACACCTTCTGTAGGAAAGAATTTCCCGGTCCAATAATGGACGCTAGAGGCACGGTTGGGGATATCTATTAGAACGGTTGATTGTACTCTTCTTGTTTAAACGAAGGCTATCCATGTAACTCCTAGTAAACACTTATAAAAATCTATTTATATCTGCTGTGGCGTTCCTATATATATGAGCACCTCATTTTGGTGAGCTCGTCCGATATACGCCGCCAGACATTGAATTGAAACAGAGCTCCTCACCTTAATGCGTTCTCCGTCGGTGATACCCAGGCAGACAAATGTTCTCAGACGAAGAGACACGATAACGGTCATAAATTGTCGTAAGTCTATCTAGCTATATTATAATAGTACAAGTGCCCTTGTACAATTTTTTGGTAAGGAAACCATCGCCCATACATATCTCATGGAGTGTGAACGACAGTGTCCAACTGCTACCCTAATAAAAGAAAGTGTAACCGTACACTCCACGCAGCGGACTATGGACGTGGAGAGTATGTCATACATGCAGCGACAACGATAAATTGCATGAATCATTGTCCGACATGTGGACGAGGGAACAGGATCGCGAAAGCAGGGCCATGTCGAGAACTTCGAAAGACTTAGATACCGAGAGAGGCGAGCTCCTTGCGGATCTCAGCCTCACCATCGATTTTCCTGAGCTGCGTCGCCTCAAGCCGCTCGCCGCGCTTCTGCTTCTCCTTCAGCTCTTCAATGGCCTTGAGCTGTAGATTGAAAAGAAAGATTACATTAGTTGCTCAAGCAATGTCCGACGGAGGCTGTAAATCGTACCTTCTTGTTCAAATTCCTCGCCTTCTTGGCCGCAGGGTCCAGCGCGCTGTCAACTCCAGGAGTGACGGGCGGCGCTTCGGCTTCGGGCTGCGAAGGACTGATCACGACAGGAGGCGGCAGGTTCACGATTCCGCCCTGGCCGTTGACCTTCTTGCCCCCAGTATTGTTGTTCCTCCTCTGGCCCTGCTGCCCGTTAGGCGGACCGCTCTCCTCGTCGGCAGGAGTCGCAGCCCCGGACCCAGGACCATCCTTCTTTCCTTTCTTTTTCCTGTTCTTCTGGGCGTCCGGACCGGGACTGGGTGAGTTCGAGTGAGCAGGAGTCGGGGCACCTGGGACGTTTCTCCGCTGCTGTCCTTGGTTGAAGTACCCGTTCTGCTGCCCGTTCCCATTCTGTTGCCCATACCCAGGAGCGCCAGGGACCGGGCTCCGTCCGTACCGAGGTGGGGTGGCGCTGCCACTAATCGGCGTCTGGGTACCTGGTCCACCTTCATCCTCTCTTTTGAATATCGACGGCGTCGCGAGACCCCTTGCACCAGGCGGACGATATGCCCCCGCAGCCTTGACAGGAGTCGCCTTCTGTGTTGCTCCCACAGTCTTCACACTCTCGCTCGGTGCAGGAGCAGGAGGAATTTGCTGACCGAACGGCGGAGTGTTCTCCACAGGCGTCGGGCGCCACATCGCCTGATAGAGCTCCTCCGCGAGCTGTACATGCACGAGCGAGCCTGTGCAGTGCCAGACCTTGACCCCGTTATCAACACGCAACCGCGGAGATAGGGTCGCGGTGAGAAGGAACCGCCCGTCGGGCGACCAGGAGCAGTACGATGTGTTCGGAGCGTCGATGGTCGACACCTTGTTCAGTGTCTTGCGGTCGAAGACTTCAATCTTGCCGGCAAGGTTACCAAAGCCGGCAAGGGCGATGAGGCGGCCTTGGGGGTTGAAGGAGATGAAGTTGTAAGGCGAGGTACCGAAGTCATGTAGGGTCCGTACACGTTGGTCGAATAGCATGGTCTTGGCGGGCATGTATCCGTAAACCACGCCGAATTCCTTCGAGTTCGGACTCCACGCAAAATCGTGGATGGGACCTTCCTTGTCCAACGTGACCCGGCAGTCAAAATTTCCGGCAGCGCTGAGGAGGTACATGCCAGTCTCGCCGTAGTAGCTCTTATTCGAGTTGTCGACCTCAGTCTGCGTGAGGAGCAAGACTTGAGTACCGAGGGTGTTCCACTTGATCTGTGCTCGATCAGCCTTGAAAAAGGTTTTCTGGCAGGTAGGCGGGCTGTTGAGTGAATTCAGACCGTAGATCTTGATGCTGGCAGGAGCACCCTAGGCAAAAGTCAGATTCGCCGATTTCGTGATCAGGGAGGCACGCACCTTTTTCTCGGCCACGAACACGGCGACAGACGGGTTCAACCCTGGGCTCAATGCCACAGAGGTCGCACCCTCGACCTTCAGCTTGTCCACGACCCCCTTCGACCACTCCGACGGACGGAAGACCTGGATCTCGCCTGAGACCAGCCTGATGGCGTGCGATTCGGAAATGGTGTACTGAAGCTCCCATCCTTCCTGTGACTTTTGCGTGAATGAAATTAACTCTTCTCCAGTCGACACCGAAAAGACTCGAAGGTTCTTGTGCTGGGCGCCGTCGTCGAGCTTGACTGGAAGAAGTTGAGGCCCGGAACAAGAAAGCAAGAGATGAGACGTACCAGGTCGTTCCCAAGTAGAAACGTATGTCCCACGAGGCGAGAAACTGATCTCAACAATATTCGCGAGCGGGAGTTCCTGGAGGAGCTGAGCACCCTCTGCCTGGAAAATGCGAATCCTGGACAAGATAATCGGTGTTCGGTAAGATGAAGGACTGATAATCCGGGCACGAGGCCGACATGCGGAATACTCACACAGAAGGCAACGCATAGGCATAGAGTCGTCCGTCGGCGCTGTAACTCTGCGTACGAGCTGGCACATCTGGCGCAACGAACCCGCCGACCGGGGTGTAGTCTGGTGTCCCGTTGACGAGGCCAAGGGACTTTTGAGCACGGACTATTAGCGAGAAGGCAGGTGAGTTCCGGCACTTTTCCTGAAGATTGCCACCGCATGATGCAGGTCAAAAATAAAAGGGCATCACTGGGCAGAGCAGGTAGGCAGCACATGCGATCTTTCGGAGACCAAAAGAGTAGCTTTGGCACCTCGAGCGCTCGCCACGCTTGCGAAAACGTCTATGATATTGCACCAGCTGTAACACCTTATCCAACCACTCGCCATCTCCATCTTCGACTGCGTCGTCGGAAAAAAAGTGGGTACTGACATGCGTACTGCTGGGAAAACTGGGACGCCATTTTGGACGGGACTCTTTGGGGGTGCTGGCCGGGTAAAAGCAAGTTAATGCTTCGAGGAAGAGGGGGAAACAGGGGAAACAGGAAGGAAGATGAAGGTTTGTTTTACGTTTGGATTCTGTAAAATTAGTGGATCATTCCAGGCTTTAGGGCCGGTTTATTTGTATTTGACACTACTAAAATTTCAAGTGTGTCTACTGTTAGTATCACAACCTCTTCCGTGGGCTTCTCTCTCATTATCGTCCACCTTGAAGGATTTTGAGTGGCGGCGGTCCTGGCGTACCTCAGACCTATAGAGGGGGGGGCTTGTCACCTTGGAAGCTGCGGACCGACGACTGATTTGTTTCCTCAAAGGGTTCTTGTTTTACCATCGTGCTTGTGCATCGTGCCTTGCGGGACCCTGTCCTCTAGATTTCAGCCAGTTTCTCTTACCGCCGTCTTGTCCCATTTCGGGCTCCTATGCCTCTAGATAAGCCCACCACTTGGCAACAAGACGAGTCAAGGCCTCGACTCGACATCTCGTTGTACGATACATGGGCAACCGTCGAACAACGTTCTCGCAAATGGGCTATTGGCTGGGGTGCTTGATATGGCAAGCAAATTATCGCTTAGACTGTTGGGCTGTGGCGCCGAGGTCACCGATGTACACGCAGAATGAGGTATAAATTTGCCGCCAGAGATGACTCTTGTCCTAGCTTTCCTCTGTCCGTAACCATTTCCTAGCGCTCATCCCTATCACCTTCTCACTTTAGAGATGTCCTACTATTCCCATAGTCAATTTCCTCACGATGGATACGTTGCTCCTCACCAGCTCTGGAATAACAGTAACACGACTATGACATTCGACAACCATCCATCTCAATATCCTGCTAACTATCCCCAACACCAGCCGCTACAAGGGCAATATTCCCCGAACTACCAACACCGCCCGGTCTCTCAACAATCGTACTCGCAAGAACGGCGAGGCTCCGCGTCACTCGCCGTCGTTGGAAACTTCACACCCGGCATGCAGCACCAGCTTTCCTCAAACCCTCTGCCCACACCTCAGTCCATTCTCGATGGAACATTCGAGGCTGCTGTCGCGTACGCCGATACCAACCGAGACGTCGTCACCTACGTTCCCCGTCGCCCAGAATACTCTGGAGAGCCATCTCTCCCGAGTATCATCTTCAGCGTCCATGGCCGGCCAGGGCCATTCATAGGAGATATTATTGACGGCAAGGTCGTGCTGGACGGCGCCTACGATTTGGTGTTCAGGGACAAGCTATGGAAGCAGACCAGCTTGACCGTCGATGTGCGTTCACTCTCGTGTTTCCGCGTGTTTTTCTGACGCTCCTAATAGTGGCCTGGTGTCACGTCAAGTTCAGGGTATATTCCTTGCTTCCGCGACAACCGCGATCTTACACGCACCGAGGTTGCGAAAATCGTAGCTGAAAACGTCAAGGCTATCGTCTCTACTGGGCTCAGCGGCAAGCCTCTGGTATGTTTTTCTGTCCCTTGAACCTCCTCGTCCTCTGACATTCGCCTAGAAATGGGGCCCGCAAGTGATCGATGCATACTCGAAGCGATGGAACCTGAGGAAGATCGATTATCGCGATGTCCGCCTCATCGCGATTAATTACTATCGGAAGACGTGGATTCCTGTCCTCGCAGTTAACGCATGATGGGATTTTTTTCTTGGCAATATCAGGTCATCATGGGACGAAGTCCTTGTCGCCGTCTTCATTGTGGTCGTATGACGGGTCGAATTATTCAGACGGATTACCTCTCCGCATATCTTCCGTGCACTTATACTTGCATATAATTGTCAGTCTGTAATTTCCATCTCTCCGTTCGTTTTCCCAAAATCTCCATCTCTGGTTTGAGATAAAAGGTATTGACACCTTGTCCAAAATTCGTTGAGCAACTAAAGGCTATTTAGCTAGTGCTTATGAAAATCTATTTATATCTACTGTGGCGTTGTAATAAAGGAAAGGCATTATTTACACGCAACATGGTTCTTGTTACGAAGAGCTATGACAGATGGTGACGACTTGCACGACAAAGCGTCCATTTTCAGAGACCTGAGCCCAACACCTGCTGTGCTTAGTTAAAAAATTTGCAGACATTGTGGAGTGTTCAAGGATTAAGCAAGATAGGTAACATTATAAATCGTTCCATAGATCTATTCCCAAATCGTGTCCCAGCTAAACTTCACTAGAGGCGGAAATGCATTAATTTCCTATTGAAAGTGTCAAGTGCGAAGGCAAGGTGACGAACGAAGTCCGCCTCCCTCGGCGACGCCACAATCAGGCGTCCTCCCTCCTGCATGTCTTTCCATGTCTCCTGTGACTTCTTCCTCCAATTTAGAACGGATGCATTCATATGAAGCCGCAGATGGCATTCGCTGCGCTCGCGGAGGAGGCGTGCGCAAGCGTCGCCTATATTTGTTCGCCAGGGTTTAATGTCGCATTCAATCATTTTCAGCCGGGGCCATATGCCGTGGTCTGAAGATATGGCGAGTACCTCCAATGGGGAGAGTGTCGGCGTCATGTCAACCAACGACATAGAGCGTAAGGTATTGTCCTGGATAACTGTCAAGTCCATAACATGTTTCGCTGCTTTTCCTATGGTTTCCAGGCAGCTTGGAGTTATGACGCAATCGATGAAGGTTATCGACGTCAGCTTTGGGAAGTAATCCCCCTCGTCGTTGGTGCGTGGGCTTACAATGCCGGAAAAGTTGTGCAATATGACCGTCTTCAGGTTAGGAGCGTCGAATGTGGCCCACATCCATGACGCGACGCTCTCCTCTTCGCAGAACAACCGCTCGATATTCGTTGTTATTCGTCCAGTAGCCCTCCAATTATTAAAGATTTTCTTTCCTTGCAACGTCAAGTTCTTTAAGGTCGGCGAGGTGATAATGGAAAGAAGCGTCTTCCGCGTCATTCGGGGCTGAGAGAAGCGCCATGCTTCCAGGTGTAGCGTCGTGATAGAAGACAGCGGTGGCATGCACATCTTAAAGGTCTTGCTATCCATCCGAACATGCTTTAACTCGGGGACGGCATGCAGGAACCCTTCCACGGGTTCCGCAAAAAACTCCAGCTCGTCGTGCTGCATAATTAGAAGCTCAAACGACTGGAGATTACCCGCGCCTGCATCCGTGAGTGCAGTGAGGGCCGGCGCGTACGATTTTGTGGATTCGTCTGGAAGTCTCATCGACACGCGCCGCCATCGCGGCAAGTGCTTTCTGAATCGCTTCAGAAAGAATTCTGCTGTCGTCTGGGTTGAGACGTCTATCCAGAGATCCACTGGACGATTTCCAGCCCTTTTGAGGTATGTTTCAAAGCGGAGGGACACAAGTTCCCAGCAATGCCACTCGTCCTCGTTCTTGTCGCCAAACCGAAATGTCGTCCACAGTTCGGGCGTGTCGATGGCAATACTCCGCCACCGAGCGCAGACCAGGGCAATGACAGACTCAGTCGCTCTTGCTTCCTCCGAGCCACCGTTGACGAAAGGCGACTCCGCTACGGCGAGGGCGAAGATCATGGAGAGGATCTCTGTTGGGAGCGCGGCAACGTTCCAGCGGGTAGAGGATGGCCGTGGGACGATTGGTTCTCTAGCCTTTCTCTTCTTCCTTAGCCTTCTAGACACCTTCTGCGGTCTGTGCTCGCTTCCACACGCACAGGGATCCATTGGCCCTTTTCCGAAGCCAGGGAAAACGGTTGGATCGTCGCTGTCGTCAGAATCCAAGTCTGAGCCGCAGTAAACTACATTCCAGTTTTCATCGTCAAAGTCGATTGTCATCTCTGAAGTAAGATATTGCATTATTGAAGTGCCCAATGTCAGTAGCCAGCCCTGCTACTCACCTTGGCTGTTGGCCCGATTGTGGCTCTTCGTTGGAAACTTGTCCACTGCGATGTCGAGAAACTCGGCGGCCAGGTCGTGCGTGCCCGATAAAACTCGACAGATTCCTTCTACTCTGTTTGATCGACTTCTGTGCGGCTCTTCGTGGGTTTCTGAGATGATGGTGTGGGTGGGATCTAAAGGCAAGGCCACAGAATTTGGTTGATTTCATAGCACGAAACTCAGTTCACGGATCATTCCGATCAGCCATCACTTGCATTACGGCATCGTCACGGTCACCCGATCAATCTCCCTCGCTTTTCGTCAGTCTCTTGCCTCTAGATTGTCGACTCCTGCAGCCTAATAGGGGGGGGGTAATTAAATTATATAGGAGTAACATGAATTCGGAGCCCTGTCTCGGGCATGCTGGCCTAAGTTTATGTCTTCAAACAGCTTCTAATCCTGGCTCGTCGCCATGTATTTCGCCCACTCAACCTGTCCTTATCGCAGCGTCGAACGCTTCAAGTATCCTCTTTTCTGAGTATAGAAGAGAGAGGGTCGATATTTTAGTCATCGAATGACCATGAAGTTCGTTGTGCCAAGTACCACAAGCAGTAGATGACACTGGCACTTAGGGGAAAAAAAACCAATGAATAACGAAAGGAAGGACATGGATCAACTAGGTACGAGCAAGCCAAAGTAGTTCGGTATACATAAGAATCTCTGATACTGGTTGACACTGATCGAAACTGAACGACAGCATGAAGTATAGGTAGAGGGGTCTATTAGTAGAGTGACTTGCGGGAGCGAATCGTTCACAAAGGTCGCATTCAGTGGGTAAGTTACGAACTAATTGAATTCATAAAATTGGACGCATCTTGAGAGCTCCAACTTGGCTCCAACACAAACACATAGCCTTGGACACCACCAAGACCAGCGTGGAATCGGGGGGGTTGCGAGTGCCTAGAGGTAGAGGCAGGGATACTGGCAGCAACTGAATGAGGATTGGCGGCGTCTATCCTCAAATCGACCCTTGCTATCAGACATCCGGACGGTGGTCGCAAAGGATGGCAGATGTGCGAACGGAGAAGGGGACCTCGATTGTCCTGGGAACATGCTGAAGAGAGCGAGGGTTGACCTTTCCGCGTGACATATTAGCTAGCCGTTTATCTGATGCAACATGGGCCGTTGAACGGTTCCTATATTCACATATGTTGAAGATAGTGGGATTCGAGAGAAAGACGAGCCCTCAGAGCCCTCATGATACCTGTGACCTGAGCCGCCTTGCTGCTAAGACGAGAAGATTCAGATTGCGAGATTCATGGAAACGTGTTGGAGGACTCACAGTACAGGGTCATTTTGTCGTGAAATCTGCGCTCCTTTGCTGAGCGGTGGTGGTGTCGAGAGGACGACGGCGCCGTGAGATCAAGACGTGGACAAATAGACCACAAGTCGGGGCGAATTTGGGTCATCCGACCTCCTAGGCGAAGGCTCTGATGCCCCGAGAACCATCGTAAACCTCACCATCTTGTCTCGTTCTAGCTCGCTGTACCGCTGCAACAAATGTCGGATTATTGCCGTGGGGAAAGGAGGGGACTCAGAATTGGGGCAGTCAGCCTATCGATGGAGACGGCAAACGGGACCGGGACCGGCGGCAGCATTTGGGTGCCGCCCTAAAGTTCGCCGCCTCTGCTTGAGAGCGCCGCCGACTCCTCGCCGACACTTTTGTTTTGCTCCTCCGGGCACACAAAGCTTTGAGACAACTGCCCGAAACATCTTTCCTGCAGCTGGTCTGTCAGGCCCGAGATGCTCGCCCAAGAGTACACCGAAAATGCACCAAAAGTCGGTGAGTAGCACCGGCCTGTGTTTCGTCGCCAAAGATGTCCTGAATTTTTTTCGAGTGTCGAATGCGAAGAAGTCTCCTCGCCCAAGAGTCAAGAGCAAGAAAATGGCATGGGCGAGCAGGTTGGCGCATCGAAAGGACAACCAACCATGCCACCTGGCAAGAACTGCGACATTTGCCAAACCTTGGGCGAGCCTCTTGAAAAGTCTCGTTACCTGCAATCTTTGTCTCTGCATTTCTTGTTTACTTTAACTTTCGGTTCAGCTGCTGGGATATGACCGTGTCTGCTTTTTCTTCATGGTCTGCCTTCAGGTCGTACCGGGGCGAAAGAGAGGATGTTCTACAGGGTGACTGTCAGAATGTTCTGCCTTCGCAATTATCTCGGTTTTTCAAGTATCCGTGGCGTACAACGCTGTTCGTGGGCGACTGTAGGCGGCATATGCGCGATCGATGCCATCGACAGGTGTTTGACTCTCTGCGCTCGGTGAAGACTCCTATTGTAGGCTGGAGGACCACGGAGCTCTCATATGTGGCTAGTTCTGTCGCTCATAAATGTGCGTCCATTTGCATGCAGATCGGCGTTTCTTGTGCTATCCTGGGCTTCCTATTGGGTTTTCGTTGATGAGGAGGGGTGTGACACCCCTATCACCGCGTGACTGTGACCAACTGGACAAGGGCCTGACGATTGAACAATGGGGGACAATGGCGAGGCAGACAGGCAGACAACAAAACGGGCTACATGTGTCTGAACGACGCATGGACTCTGTCGCAAAGTACATGGACGACCCCGACGCAAATTCTCGTGCGACATTTCTTCCTTTCCCGCCGACGCCAGGAATCGTGAATCTTCGTGAAGACGGCTCAGTGCCCATCGAATACCTGATTGTTTCGCTGAAGCCCGCACGAATATACGGTTTTTCGCATGCGGGTGGTCAGAAATTGTATACCCTGGGTAGGCAGTTGTCTGCCGCACTCTGAACAATGAAGCACCGGATATCCACGTCGAATTGAGGGTTTGGCGGCGAGGACGATGAGCAGTTGGAACTTTCCTAGGTTCTTGCTGCAGCCACGTCGCCTGGTTTTGTCTATCCAAGAGCTACAGGTTGTGGGCCGTAGTCAGGGCGGGACACGTGTATCTCTCATGTCCTGGTTGCGGTCCCACAGATACCTTCGAATCAACACCGCTATCAACATCAGAATCAAGCTTCAAGAAGGCTGCTTACCTCCACCCAATGCGCACCTTCGACCTCAGGATCGGCGGAGAGGATAGTTCCAAGGCCCAGGGCTTGTGCTGTGAACCTGCTAGGTGATTAATTCGAGGTGTACTTGGATTCGGCACTCCCGAAGTTCGATGGCCGAAAATCCATTTCTGGCCAACCTTCCCGAAACTTAGATTCGAGGGTATAAAAAGCAGACCGCGTTTGTTTGTTTTTTCTTCATCTCTTCTCTTTTCTTCTTCCACCCTCTTTCTCACTCTCGTTTTTCTACGCCGTCTTCGCGGCTACCGTCTCTTACAGTCCTTCGCCATACACCTTCTACCACAACGTCCAACTCGATCTTTTTACCCATTTTTCTGCCCGTCTTCCTGCCACTTCTTATATTATTCCTCGTAATTATCCACCGTCACCGCCGACGCGTCATTCCTGGTCTTCGGTGCTTTACCCCGCGTATCATCAAGGTACACAACCTTTGAGCACGTCCTCGCCCATCATCCCAACCCGAAGTCAGCCAAGCACGGACAAAGCCAGCTGTGAACCCCCGCACAACCTTTCTCTTGCAGACAACATGGCCTCTCCAGCGTCCTTTCCTCCCTCCTCGGACCCTCTCAATGTCGTGGTGCGTAGGTCGTTAGCCGCCTATCGTTTCGGTTTCCTAATATCTCCCTTTCGGTCGTAGGGTACACCGGGCCTGCGCGAAGGTACGGGTTTCGTGTACGCCAACGCTGCCGTGGGTGTAAGTCCCTCATCTTCTGTTAGCTCAACGACTCGCTGACGTTGTGCACAGGCCGCCACCGCGCCTGGTAGCGATACCTCTTCCTGGCAGATTATTTGGGGTAAAGCAAAGGCCCTCTTTTTGGTGCGCCATCTCAGGTGTCGTCGTCTTGTGCACACTTATATTTGTCGTCTAGCGCAATTGGGCCAACTTCATTCGAAAACTGAGGGTGCTTAAGGAAAAGATCCACAAGACCACATTCTTTGCCCCGGGATTTTTCGCTGCCACCTGAAGAGGCGAACAACCCCTCCATGCCTCTCACAACACTGCTTTCCGTGCAGTATCTCGTTGGCAGACCCTATGTCCACCAAATCGCATCCTTCTTGAAAGATTTTTTTGCTTGGACCGCTCTTTTATTCCCATTTCCATTCCGTCGTCGTCGAAACTTGCTTTCGGCGTTGGTTTCCCCACGTTCACATCGAAATTCACGCCAGTGCTCTTCCTACTCCTTCCACTCCCTTAGCTCTATCATATTATCGTCTTGTAACATCTTGCTGTCGTGTAGAATGCTTTGATACCCCGCTATGGACCTCGCTACGGATCCCGCGTAGAGCAGGGCCCCACTCCTTCACTCCCATTGTTTTGTGATTGTCGTCGAATACATTGTCTCATACACAACTATAGCTTCCATGTAGCTTCATTGCGGCCGCTTAAAGACTGGCACTTTTGAAGGTCGAAGAAAGTGTTTTGGGTGAATACGCAAATGCACGAGGCTATTGGCGAACAACGTGTCCAAGAGGAACACTTGAGAAAATCGAAGGTGATCACATAACTCGATCTGTTTCAAAGTCAAGGCAATTGTCATTGTCGGAGGTAAGGTCATCAAGACGCAAACGGCTAGAAGCAGTATGGAATTACATTGGTCTGATAGATGGAGATGATGGCGGTTCAATCGGCCTCAATCGTTGACGAAATTGACGCAAGGATTGCTTCTCGCTCCGTGAGGCTCTGTCCACGAAAAAGTAAGAAGTCCCGTTAGATTCGTGGAATTGTGCTGGCAGACCGGTATCTGTGTATGGATTATAATTATTGAGCAATCGTTAGAAAAGGATTCAAATATGCCGCAATTACAGACCTCAGAGATATTAAGGATAACGCCCCTTTCGGTCCTTTCATAAAAAAAAGGGTGCATCCACCGTTCGTCGAAATAGAAAACATCTTGAGGAAGGAAAGCTCCATGCTGCGGCACAGCATTGCAGACAGCCTCGTACGAAATTTGATGGGCTACCATGCCGCGTTTCATCAGGGCCTATCGCACTGACTCGGAGGTGCGGGGCGAATATATTATAATGATTTCGAAGGTTCAGATACCGTGGCACTGGCGTTATTATAATGGTTTCCTTGTTCGGTGGCGTAAATTGCAAATTGAACATGTTTACGAGCGTTGAAGAATTGAATCCCATGGCGTTGAGTATCGTCCCAGAGCGAAGCCTGGATTAATTGTCGTCCTCGGGGTGCTGGCATGATACTATTGGACTGAACATCAGTCAGTGTAATTGGCCCAGTGAGAAGGGACGTACGTTGATGATAACTATTCCTTGGAAGATCAGATTCAAAATTGAGGCCTATGGATTTGAAGCTCGGAATTAAAAAATCGAGTGACCACTCTGGCCGACTGAACTATCTCAGTGCGTTGTTGACGGCACAGGAGACAAACATTGACAACGCCGTTTAGTTGGCATAGGACGATGTAATAAAACATTTTATCTGAAAAAAAACGAGAGAAGGTAGATTCATGGGGTCTCAGAGAAATGTAGCTTGAACGTGAAGCTTTGTGGCCTTGACCATCGGAAACCATCCTTGAGTAAGGAGTGTGGCCTAGTGAGGTTGGATCTGAATCATCTATAGGCACATAAGGACACGTATTCCCTGTTTTCAGCGAAATAGCGGGAATACTTACTGAAGCTTGGCCAAGACAACATGATTTGACACTGAAAAGGCCAGAATTGGATTTGTTTGAGGCTTGAGCTGAGTCGGCTATGCGCAAGCGCTTTGTCAGCAACCAACGAAACCGTCCTCAGTTGCGTTTCCTTCCACTTGGTCCACCAAAATCGACATTCAAATCCTCGATTCACCGATCCTCGTGCTCAGGCTCTTTGTGCTGATGTCTGGCTTTAAACTGACGACTGGTCCTGCGGGATTTTCGAGCGGACTGCGTCTTGGAGGTTGAAACCAGTCTGTCAAAGCAACCTCTCCAACAAGGCCACCACCTGGCGAAAGCGTCTAGTCAGTCGATACGAGAATTTTGAGGCGACATACGGGGACCTACCGCGGCCTGCAGAGGCCTCAAAGAACCAGTAAAGCGAAATCGTCTGTCGAACGTTCTGGGAGGTCTTCAGTTGAATAGGTGGATGCTGGCGCTGAAGTCTTCAGGTACGAGAAGAGATTTTCTGCAATATCGACAGTTCCTGACGGACTTTAGCTCCTGCTTGTACAGAACTTATACCAATTCTTGAAATTTGAGGCTTTGAGGACAAATCTTGGTCTTCTGGGCGACGACCGCTTCCGCTATGGGAACACCTCATCACCGCACGTGTGACGTGCATGGGTGTAGAAGGTCTCTTCTCTGGCTATGCAGATGCTTTGGGTGCCGGTTTGATGCCCTCTAGTGGAATGCATCTCAAGGAGAAGCTTTCTTGGGCCTTGTGGACACAGAACCGTAGCAGACGTCTCATTAGGAGGAGGATATCGGAGCGACATTTCAAAGGTGAGTCGCTCAATCACACTGTCATTTTTCGGCTCTTCTGCATTCTTTTGGCCCTTCGTGCGTCGTTTTGAGGCGGAGACGATGCGTCTTGCTACGTTGTTGCCGTTGACGTGTCTTGGACATTGGGCCTTGCTGTCACACTAGATGGGGTTTCTGGTCTTGATCACACCTCTTAGGCATTCGGAAGGTATCTGTTTCGTTCAAAAATGAGAGTTGTAATGGTTGGTGTCGGGCAAAGATGGAAAGGCCTTGACCCACTTTGACGAACTGGCATCACGTGATGCTCAGCTCGAAGCTTGACACGTTTCGCGCCGAGGACGGGGTGCATCTATGGTTGAAAGGTGTAACTGGATGATTTCGGTGCCTTCACCGCTAAGAGGAGAGAGTGTGCCGGAAAGAAGGGCGGTGAAGACCTGGAAGTTGGGAATAGAGACACGAATGAGGACAGTGGTGCAGACTTGAGTCTGGGAGATGGAATAGTGTTCGTTGGAATGTCGGAAAGTTCATCTGGGGCATCTCTAGTCGAAAGCCTTGGGAGGCCTTGGGAGGAGGCTTTTCGGTAGGAGCTCAGAAGGCAACTTGGGCTTGAACATTCGGTCGTTGAGGAGATCAGTGTCTTTAAAGGACGTGCGCCATGTCCCATGTGCGGGAAGCCGTAGGGAGGAAAGTGATCGCTCGTTTCTTGAGCTGCAGATGTTCATGAGGGGTTCGAGTAGGAAACGTTTCTTCAATATCTGCCAAATTTCCGTCCTGCTTCACGATTCACGAGGATTGAAGAGTTGACCGTGTCTTTTGTTTCGGGGAGCAGGTTCCAAGGTATCCCGTTCGACCCAACGGATGCTTGCACGTTGTCGGGCACTACCTGGAGAGTCTGGGCAACATTCGACGGCGTAGAATCGCAGGCCTGCGCGAGCAATATGTTGTGGGGTTTCAACAAACGAGACAATGTGAACAAGCTGCCCGTACCTTGTCACGTCTTTCTGTTCCTGCTGTCCTGCCTTAGGATGACAAGTGGGCGACTGTTTCTGGCTGGTCCGAACTCTGGAAGACAAGCCAGCGTTCGTTCGTCTTGTGTTGGACAGCTGGCCTTGATCAAATCACCCTCCCGAATTCCCAAGATGTCCGCGCGTCACAAAACGTGCCTCTCTGGTTCATGCCGGCATCATATCCCATATAATTTGTGGGTTAGCTTCTAATTTCACCCCGGATTTGTCCTTCCGCTTTCCACCTTGCCACTGCGACGTCCAACGATCCTCAGCACCACGCTCTCTTTGGCCAACACGGTACTCCCGTCTAGTCAAAACACCATCATGAAGCACTCCTCTCGTGTGCACGGTTTACTTTCCTTTACGCTCGCTCTCACCTGGAAACGTTCTATTCAGCGTCAACCGACATTCTTCTTCCTATCTGAATCACGGCGTATACGACCAAACCAGACCCCCTACCGCCCCTTTGAACTATTTGATGGTCTGAGTATCAATGTCGGTTGGACTGAAGTTACTCTTCCGCTGGAAAACGAAAGGTCAGCCAATGTTTGGTCGCTGGACATCTTGTGTACTCGCGACAAAACGACCCCGTATGTAGCACCGAGTATCGCTTTGATTCGACGTCTTTTTACCTTGGTTTAGCGACGAGTGTCAACGCGAAGATGATTTTCGACAACAGAAGGGCCGCCGCGTTACAGGAAGGTCCGGCCGTCCGTAAGATGGGGGCCGGTGCGTTTACTGAATCCATTCAGAGACGACGTTCGGCTGATCTTTGTTCAGAATTTATTGAAGTTCTTTCCTCTCGTACTCACATTCGCAGGCTCACCTCACTTCTGGTTGTCAAGATGATGAACGCGATTGTCTGAAGTTGATGGCTTTACGATCTTGATTTTCAGCCATACCTGCTTCAACACCTTCTGCTCCCAATTTTTTGGCGTCGTTCGACGAGCGACAATCTTCACCATCTTGGTGTCGTTCTTCCCGCCCCTCCCAAGTCAATGAATCCCCCATTCCCGCGCTATCTGTTCTTGTCTGTATTTCTCAGCCCTTGGAAACTACTTTCTATCCACAGCTATTGGCTGCCTACTGGTATTGGACGGGTTTGTCTGGAATGTATCTGTGTAAGCTGTAGACCTTTACACAACCGATATCTTGCATCGTAGATAATCCTACTTTCTGATGCCTCGACCCAGGCGCAGACGCCACAATGTACATAAATGGATAACAGAGGTCCTGATCGGGCTAGTTGAACGTCGAACAGGAGTAGGTTAATATATGTTTATTATAGAATTATATCATTGTACATGAATGGGTGCGATGTGATGCGATGCGATGCGATACATACGAAAGAAAAATACACATGAAGCAGTCCGAATAACCTAAAGTAATAATTCAAGTCGTCAAATCTATAAATCTCATAAAACGTTCTAGTTGACTTCCAAGTCAGATGCAGTCGCTCATGATCCTTTGACCAGCATCACATACAACCCGTTTTCTCAGCAGCTTTCCCCAGCCCTCGGCGTCCTGTTCCTTCCAAAGGTCCGCTTCGGGCGTGTATAGCGACAGCGTGCAATGTTTCTTCATCTGCGAACGACGCAGGAGGAATTTTGGGAATGAATTGTACTGGACCCGCTTGAGGTCCTTTATGTTTGCTCTGATAAGCTTGAGCTTCGGCCAGACGATACGTTCTCCGATCTTTTCCTTGCGGGACATGAGGACATCGACTGGCATTCCATCCATGGTCTGGCTTGCAGTTACCCCAAGCGCAACTACGTTGGGTGTCATTTCGGCAAGACATTCGAAATCAGGCCTGCTGATTGAACAATTAATCAGGAAAATGCTGCTGACAGCGAGAAATCGACGTTGGTCGTTTTTGTTGAATAGATCGAAGCCATTATCCATCGCGACTTGCACAATGTTCCACTTGCTATAAATGCCCAAGGAGGCGAAGCTGATGCCTTGTAGACATTGTGCACTACGAATGAAACCCCACATGGCTTCTGCCACCCGAGGATCAGAGCAATAAAGTCGTTCGAGGTTGGTGTCGACCCTCCTCGCCTTGTCGGCTTCAGTTGGAAGCTTGAACATGGTCCCTCCTTCAAGCGCACGAAGAGTAAGTTTTCTCAAGGTCGGAGATGAGATGACGTTGAGGAACGTGGACCACGGCAAGCGGGCCGAGTCTTCGTAGGACCACTGCTCGAGTTCGAGTTCCCTAATCATGGTTGACGGGTGCCAGGACCTGAGTGTCCTAAATTCCGTGTGGAGAGTGGCTAGCTTCGGACCGTTGAGCGTCAAGTGAGGGAAATGAAAATGCGGGAGAGCATTTTTGTGGTTGGGCACGCATTCGAAGGATTGCAAGTTCGATGCAAGGCGGGGCTGGACTGCCCTCTGAAGTACTCCAACGGGACTGGGGTTCAGCTTGAAGTAAACTCGGCGCCAGCGCTCCATATGTCGCACGAAGGAGCCGTAAAAGCCATCCGACAATCGAGGGCTGAGGGTGTCCACCCACAGGTCGACCGGCCGTCCGCGAGAACGACGTACGTGCAACTCGAGTCGACGGAGGATCGTCCTCTTGTCGAGGCCCTTCAGAGGACCTCTGTCTGAATATGCAAAGGTCGTCCAGAGAATGGGGTAGTCGAGGGCTATATCTCTCCATGCCTTGCAGACTTGGGAGATGGCGAACAATTCCCGACCCGGAAGAGATGATTCACTCGTCGAGAATGGTGAGGACCGAGAGGCCTCCTCGAAGATGGCGCATGCCACTTCAGTGGGAAGCGACAAGGCTGGTGGCTTCTTTTCGTAGATCTCCTCTAGTACCCCTTCGTTTGAGTTAACTGCCTGCAGTCTCTTCTGGCGAGGGTCCCAGGCTTGAAGACATCTACGGTCGTGCGGTGCTGGAGGCATACTCGTAGAGGGACGTGAACTGTTAATTGGTGCCACTCCGTAAGTAAGAAATACGTTTTCACTGCATTTTTAACCCTGCTCACCTGTGATGGGTTTCTTCTCCTTCCCTCCAACGTTTCCCAACCACACTGAGTCTCAAGGTTAAGAATCGCGCTGCCGCGTAGTCAGAGAGTGGCTGAGTATTATGCACTGCTCTGGTTTTCCTTCCTACCCGAGGAAGAGATGAGTTAGAGGTGATGTGGAGCAGGAAGAGAAGGGTGCAGAGGTAAGCCACTGATCGTGGCCAGTCCGGGTGATCTCACGTCGACGGATTAGTTAGATCTAATCAATGCCACGGACCCGATGTTCCCTACTCCGAACTTTCGGAGTCAAAAGGCGAAGCAGACGATTGAATATCGAATGCTCGAGAATCCGAATTTGCATATAAATACAGAAATAAAATTCTATAAGGCGATGGTAGAAGCACCATTACCCCCGACTGCAAGCTGGTTGACGCCCGTGTTTCGAAAGCTGACTGAGGTCCCCACGTTCTCCAACGAAATTGCCCGCTTCTTTTCGTCCTTACTACTCAGGTATACTCTCCGATTTATTAAGACCATCAGTGAATTTGCATAAATTTTCCCGAAGATCAGAGTCACTGCCTGATAATTTGCGGAATTGTTAGGGAGAAGACTGAAGATCAACGCAACAACCGCGACGAGAGCTGTAGAGGTATGGAGAAGCCGTCAACATCTAAACTCAGTTTTATACCCGGTCTTTCATACCTGTGAGTGTTCCGGTTTCCAAAGTCAGGCGGATGATTTTTTGGACCATCATACGAGTTCGATCGACGGGCGGCTTAAATTCTGAGAGCTATATGGTAACGGAAAGTGGGTGATGGAGGGCATGCTAAGTTTTCGAGGGTGGCAGAGTTTCAAAAAGGGCTCACATAATATACCATGGCACCCGCTATAACGATGTCGCACAAGGCACTTCCTCCATGCCAGATCTGCATGAGAAAGATGAGAAGAATGGTCTTTTCGTGCTAAATACTTACACCCACTTACACCCAGAGAGAGATGGATCCTCCGAGGGAAATGAATAGGGCTCAGGAATGGCGAATTTTTCACCAGGATTCCGGTCACAATTCCTGCGGCAAATTGAGTGCATGCTAGCTGCATTCACGACGACGTAAGCCCTTGTGTCGCAGGCAAGCATTTACTGGGATGCTTACAAGCATGATAATTGTCCAAACGGCCTTGGATTTAGAAAGGAGATAGACTCGATATGCATAGAATGCTTGAACGACGACGGTTCCTAGCAGAGAGTGTCAAATGAGCGTGGTCAGGAAATAAGGTGGCCATCCAAAATAGACTAACCTACAGCCGTTAGGATAGGGACCGTCAACCAGACGTTCCCAACCTGGTCCAGCGAGTAAAAGTCCCCGAAGCTGGAGACATACATCCGATAGCCGGACTCAAATGTAAGAGCAGTTTGGACTGCTTCCAGAATATATATCCCATAGACGATGGCTTTTGTGTAGGTAGGATCATCGGGAAACGCGAGATAAAATATACCTGCAAGGCCCGAAGTAGCTGTACGGTCAGCGGGACACAGAGGGCTGCGACTCTCGAGTGGGGACTTACAGACTTGGAGAGACAAGATACCAAAAAGAATGGAGTTTAAAAGAGCGCTGACGAACTGTGCGTTTTGCAATGAGCGTGAAGTTGGAGGCTCGCGATTTTCTGGGATAATTATTGCGCACCTGAGGCCCGATCCTACAAAGGAGTCATGGCTCGTGAGTGGACGGCGGGGCATTCGAGAAATCGGTCTCACAGTCTGGGCAAATCAATAGGAATCACTTGGGCTGGGTCGCTGGCCATGGCAGCGAGGCTGCTGGAGTCGACGGCGTTACTCTCTCGGGAACGAAGGGAAAACACAAACGCAGACAAATCGTTAGGGCTCTTTTATAGTCGGGGTTGATTTGGAAGGATCATGATGAAAGATGGTCTAGCGGTGAGGGCGATGCATATAAATAGTCAAATCTACGGGTTGGTATCATCACAATGGGTTCTCGCTTTGTTCTTGTACGATGAATATATATAGTTCAGTGTGTTTTCCATCTCGATCGAGGTCCATGATGATGCAAATCACGTTCAGACAAACCATATTATGAAGACGAATATCCAGAATGAGAGAGTGATTCCACAGCCCCAGAGGTGGATGTTGTTTCGCACTTCCCAGGCCATCATCTCAGACGAGGGAAAGACGCCACGGTAGATGTTAGTTATGTAAAAATAGATTGGCGAAATAATGACCACAATTTTTCTCTGTATAACTGGCTTATTCAATTCCGAAGGTAGACCGCATGCATGATTTAATGTACGAATACCTGGCATATATAGCGCGAATTGAATATAGTGTGTAATAAAATCGTTCGTTTCATAGAGGCAATTCCGATTCATAAACCTTCAACGATCTCGAGTCGCATGAAAGCGCTCAGCGTTTGAAGATACAATCGGTATTCGACGTCGTTCCTGTGTCGTCGAATTATTCAGCTTCGTCGTAGACCACCCCAGCGACGCGGCCCATCTCCTCGAGCTCCTTCCAGTTTTCTCCATCCTCCTCCTTCCACAGCTGTACATGATGTTCTGGGAGGAGTAACTGGCAGCCTTTTCGCTGCTTCAGCAGGGGCGCGTACGCCTCCCATTGAGGTGTCCCGAAAGGTTCGATTCTGGCGAAAATCGAGGTCAACTTCGGCCACATGTAGCGACCTGGGCCAGAGGTGGCGTCGCATTCTGCTAAGGCATCGAGCGGGTTAAGCACCCGATGGTCTAGTCCAATCCACAAATCCTCGCTCATGTCCTCGTTCTCAAGCTCGATGTGAGTTACGTTCTTTGCGTTCAGCGCCAATCTTTTCATCCACGTCTCGGTCACAACGACATTATTGAATTTAACGTTCGTTAAAGCCGGAAGGTTGTCTGAACTGTATGAAGTGTCGCCGTCGGGAATAATTGCGAAGAGTTCGACGCCAATCAATTCCACCTTTGCTAACCTGGGCGCGTATAACTTGCTCCAAAAGTTGGTTGCAACAAATTCGCTGGAGCAGATTAATTCCTCGATGTTGGTCAGTACAGTTCCAGGCGGGTCGCCGAAGAGTTCTCCAGAAACACAGGAGCCGACCACTGTCAAGCTCTTGAGCGAGACGGCGGATTTGACCACTTCCATGAATTCTGATAAATCAAGCACAGGGGTTGCGCTAGTTGGCAGCTCATCAACGCTGAGAGATTCGAGGTAAAGGATGGTTACTGTCGACAAAGGAGGCTTGCATAACTTGAAGGCGGCGCAATCCATCTCGACGCACTTCAACTTTGGTGCTGTGAAAGAATTTGCGGGCGCTGAATAAGGCCCCATATTCGTACAGTGGGGGATGAAGACATCTAAGCGTTCCATAGCTGAGAATTTGACCTCGCTCAGGTGCGCAAGGCAAGCCTCCGCACCGGTGGGGATTTGAATGATTACCCGACGCCAACGAGTGGCATATCGAGTAAACTCGTCGATTAAAAGGGCGGCGAGCTTCGGGTCCCCAGTAACTGCATACAGATCAACCTCTCGTGGCGCGGCGCGCTGGATATATGTGTGCAGGCGATGAAGAATCGTCTCCGGTCGATCCACGCTGGGTCTGTTGTCCCGGTGGAAAAACGTCGTCCACAAAGGTCGTCGGTCGATAGAAATTGCGCGCCACTGGCGACATACTTGGGACACAGCTGCCTCAGTATAGTACCTTTTCGAGCTGAATCTCCCGTGGCCGAATGGCGATTGATCTTGAGCGAGCTCGAAGATCATCGCAGTGAGTTCCGTCGGGAGGCGGAGAAGGGCGTTGGGTCGCTTCGATGGGACAAGGCTTAAAGTGACATTCCCCACTTTGGTGGTACACTTCTTCTCCTGCTCCCGTTCATCCAATGCGAACGCTTCTGGACTGAAATCCTCGAGCTGAGAGTGTAGCATAACAGAGCCAGCAATCTGGGATGAGCCCATGACAGGGGCCTCAGATACTTCTGTATGTGGCCGGGGCTGCATCTTCAGGTAGAATTAGTCGACCGTGTAATTCTGTATATGCCACAGTCTACGTACGGGTGTGGGGGGTTGAAGTGTGGCCCTCTCGGCCTCCCAGCGCGAACCTATCAAATTAGCCAGGAAGTCCTGTGTTACGCGTTGGTCGGTCGGTAGAATGAGCCCGGACATTGTCACTTTGCGTTGTAGAACTCTTGCGTTTCGTATAATAGGTGGGATGGTAGGGGTGGGATGGCAAGGAAGATTGTGGCAATTGGTTGATCTTGCAGCGGGCCGCTGGTCCGTCGGAAGAGGCCATCAACGGATCAGGAGGCGGATCAACACAAGTACCCCCAGGCTCCAGGATCATCGATTCTCGGAGGCATGAATTTTCTATCGTCCGCTAAGGTATACAAATGGCTTTTGTTGTTGGTATGCGTGCATATGGTACAATGCTATATAAATTCAATAAATAATCAAAATAATTTAAAAAGTCCAGCCTAATATTTAGGCAACGTCGGAAACGTTGTGTCATGCCATCACTGTGGCTAGCTCAGTGGGAACAGTTCGCGTGTGGTCAGTCCCAAGCAAACTGGCAGAAGATATCCACTTTTTCGTGTCTTCGCTGTTCCATTGAGCTCTCCGGTTGATGAGAACCATCATGGAGTTAGCGTATATCTTGCCGAAGACGAGGATGACGGCATAGTAATTGGCTGCATTGTCCGGCAATAAGCTCAGTACGAGCGCCGCGATGGCCAGCATTGCTAAGAGAACCAGATACTGTAAGTAAATGTCAAGCAGAAGTGTGAAATATTGTACCTGTTAGTGAGCCTGTTTCTATCGTGAGGCGAATGATTTTCTGGACGAGCCGTCGCGTTCTTGTCACCGTTGTGTGGAAGCCCGAAAGCTGAAGCGTGACCATTAGTACGGACCAGGGTACACCAGAAATTTGCTCACATAATATGCCATGGAAGCAGCTATAATAACGTCGCATAATGCACTTCCGCTGTGCCAAACCTAGACGAGAAGATGGTTTAAACGACAGTTAGCTCATTGCGGCGTTGCGAGCACCGGAGAAAGCGCTTACCCCAAGTGCTATATGAACGCTCGGTCTGAAGTTGACTGGGCTTAGATATGGTGATTGCTTCACCAATACTCCGGTAACAATCCCAGCGGCGATCTGCGTGCAGGCCAGCTGCATGGTGGGCTAATTAGCCATCGACGTCGGCCAGGATAAACGATAAACTCACCAGCACAACAAGCGCTGGGACTACCTTTGATTTTGAGAGGGTAAACAGACGGTGTGCGTAAAATAATTGAGCGAAGAAAGTTCCTAATGCTGGCATTTAGGGACTTGACATTCATCGATTGTTCTCAGAACTCACCGACTGTCGTCATTACCGGGACACTCAGCCAGGTGGTGTCGACGAGGTCCAATGAATGGAAGTTGCCGAAGCTCGTCACATACATCCGGAAGGCGGTTTGCATGATAAGAGCTGTTTGGGCTGTCTCCAGGACGTATAATCCGTAAACGAGTGTTTTTAGATGGATCCCGTCTTCGGGGAACGCCATGTAATATGTGTCTGCGGTGGTTTGATAAGCATGCGGCCTCATCAGCTAGCACGAGGAAGTGTACTCACATACTTGTGAAGAAAGGACGCCGAAGAGAATAGCGTTGAAAAGAGCGCCGAGGAACTAGGCCGTTCCATCAGTACTCGAATGTTCCGCAGCACACAGAAAATTTCTTGGCCTACCTGAGGTCCAATACTGCATCACGAAAAAGTGCAAGAGGATGTAGTCAGATGCAAGGCCTAGATCATCCTAGCACGAGATGGTCCTCACACTGGAGCCAGATCGGTGGGCACAATTTGCGGAGATTCAGGAGGCATGGCGCGTATCGATGCTGGGGCGGGGGATGAGGTGATATCGAGGGAAGAACACACTAACCGTCAGACGGGGGGGAATATATGTCTGGGGGCGGTAGTGGGGCTTGATCAAAACTGTCACTGTCAGTGCTGCCCGTCTTGGTGCCGTCTGCCCAAGGCCTAGGGAGATCGTTTGATGGCCATGATCTCCGAGCCCATAATTACTCTTAGAATACAAATTAAGATGGATTATTGTCTCCGGAGCTGGAGCGATGCTCTTGATCACAGCCTCGAGCCGGACAGGTCACCTCGAGGCTTTCTGCGACGAATACTCGAACTTTGAGCGCTTGAGCGCCGACGAGTATCGAAGGAGGCAAGGAGAGGGTTTTATCACTCTGGATAGGCTTATTATAAGTGTGCAGCCCACGAACGAAGTTTGAGCAGCAGTTATCAGATCATGATATATCACCAAGCGACATCTTTCCGCAGAGGTGACCAACAGATAGAAGGCGGTGCCAGGCCTCTTCTCACCGTCGAAGAGTATGCCAGAAGAGATGGCAGTGGAGCAGTGTCACTATCTTTTTGATAGATTGCAGTAACCAGACATTTTATGTTGAACTGTGTCCATCGTCCATGTTGGTCTGTGACACACAGACCGTGCGCGTGACCTCTTGCCCGCCGCCCTGCGGTCAATAACAGACGGGCGCCGGCGCTATTAAACGCCAAGAGACGGACAATGCGGCGTCATCCGTTGAGAAAGGCGGTTCTCGGGGCGGTTCCGAAGGATGGTAGGTAAGCAACTAGTATGGTATGAAGATCACTTCCTTAAGAGGTAGCTCCATTTCCTGAATCGTCCTCTCTTCTTCCAGGATTTTTGGCAGTAGGTTCAACAAGCTCTCCGTGTGTTACCAAGTGTGTTATAGTACAAATTTTAAGATCGATTTTTTCTTGATATTTGAGAGGGGCTGGGATGTGAGCGCTTGAGCTTCAGTACGGAATTCTCGGCCGAAACACCATGAACGTTCGGGATGAGTTGCTAGGCCTATCGGCCGAAGGAGAAACTGTTGTAAGTATAAATAGGGCGCTTTACTTCTCCAGAGCGTAGAGAGATAACATACAATCATGTCTATCCCACTGGAAGACGACAAACGGGACTCGTCTGGCTGGTCGGCGTCGCAGTACAACAAGACGGCCTCATTCGTTTATTCCTCCGCGTACACTTCTCCCGTTTTAGACCTCCTCGCTGCGAAGCCAGGAGAGCGCATCTTGGATCTGGGATGTGGAAGCGGTGAAGTCACTATCGTTCTCCAAAAACTCGTTGAACAGGCCGAAGGCGGCGTCGTCGTTGGCACTGATTACAGCGAAAGCATGGTGAGCTGCCTTTATCTTTTCTGTGACCTATAATTATGGTAAATTTCTACATAAAAGATTAACAAGGCGAAAGGGAATGGGATCAAGCACGTCTTCGTAGCTGACGCTCAGGAATTGGAATTGCCTCAGGACAATCCGAGTATTCCGCGCGAATTTGATGCCGTCTTCAGCAATGCCGTCCTCCATTGGTGCAAACGTAACCCTTCTGGAGTCCTAGACGGAATGAGAAAGGTATTGAAACCTGGAGGAAGAATCGCCGTCGAGATGGGCGGATTTATGAACGTCATAGGTAGGGTCTCCGCTTTGGTCGTAAGGGAACTTCAACTGACTTCGTAAGTTGTTCAGGTATACGGTCGGCATTACATCAAATTCTGAAGTCCAAAGGTCGTGATCCAGAACAATGTGATCCATGGTATTTCCCATCCGTTGAGGAGTACGAGAAGGCAAGTCGGCTTGTTCATCAATCAAACCCGAACTCACAAGTCATATTTAGCTCCTCGTCGGGGCAGGCTTTCAAGTGACTCACATATCACTCGTACCAAGGTTCACTCCACTCTCAAATGGCTTGTACGAGTGGTTGAATTTGTTCGCTCGTCAGTCATTCTTGGGGGACTTTTCCGATGAAGAAGCGGGCGAAGTTATGAGGGAGGTCGTAGAGCGCTGTCGCACGGATTGCCAGGACTCGAACGGAAATTGGGCAATGATGTACACTAGATTGCGATTTTCAGCCGTTCTCAAGGAGTGAACCGCCTCGCGGCGCACTGTTACATTTTAATCAAGCGGTCCGCGAAACCGTCTTGTTACATCGAGACCTGTGACAAATGTGACAAGACCACGGTTTTCGACGACGACGACGATGCTCTCGACACTGTGGCAGACGACGCGCAGAGCCCTTCCACGCCTGGCTCCTCGACATGCGCGAACTCTGGTAACTGAGGAGGCGACCAAAAAGGAGGCAATGGCAACTCTCGACATGCGCGCGCCAACTTCACAACCACCTGCTGCACCTCTCCCAACGCCTAAAGTCGATCTTGACACCATGCACCACCACATTCCACCAGCACAATTGCCGCTTCTTCAGTTAATCACCACGATGCTCATGCGACACGGGCTGTATGCGCAGGCCGCGAAGACCACGTCGAATATGCTCCTACACATCCACGCGATGACAAGACAGCCTCCGATGCCCCTGGTCGAGCGAGCCATACTTATGGCCTCACCTGCCGTCAGGTGTCGGAAGTTGAAGAAAGGAGGTGGGAAAACGGTGTTTATGCCACAAGCCCTTAATGAACGGCAGCGGACGAGAATTGGTTTGAAATGGATTGTTGAAGCCGTCAGGGCCCCCGGGAGGCAAGGGAATACGCTGGCAGAACGGATGGCCAGGGAAATCGTCGCAATTTTAAATGGCACCAGCGGCGTTCTGAAGTTGAAGGAGGAGATGCACAAGGTGGCAATGGTCAACCGGTATGTTGTCTTGAGATTAAGCGTGTGGTCCATTCTTATCTTATGGTGTTTGTAGGGGTGGACTTCCTCAAAGTCGATAGCGTGTAATGCTTAAACCCCCCTCCATCTTAATATTATCCGATTATGTCCTTGCATGGGATGTGATAGACAGTATTCCCTGCATGACCTGCATGACCTGCATGACCTGCATGATAACGTCCTCGTCTTCCATATTGACTCGACATGCTGCGAACCAGGACTTCTTCAAACGCCATGTATCCTTCCTCTATGGTCGGACCCGTATAACGCAGGCATTCCCTCACGAATGACGCACCCCACACCTTGTCCGGTCACTTGCTGTCCATCGTCCTCGTTTCGTTACCAAGACCACCAGATCTGGCCTTTCCCACCATACATATAGAAAGCTTCGTCGAGACTTGAAAGGCTTACAGGCGCGGGCTGCAGGCATCTCTGTGGCACGTCGCATCCATTGCGCTCATGGTTTCTACTCCGTGCAGTAGCTCGTGGTGCAGGTGAGTCTTGCTTCTTTCCCCGTTGGTGATTGTTCAGAGGAATATGGGGGCGAAGTTAGGCAACACTGTCAACGGACGCTCAAGAACATACATCGCCACGTTGGTGAATGCCTTGAATCCGCAGGCCAATGTACGAGCACATGCAGAGTTCACGGAACATGCAGATGCGCAGGTGTGTGTGAGCGTCTCCGCCTTATCGTTTCGCTAGCTGTCTAATCGCAACAAAGCAGACGCCGTACATCCACCTTGGACCGGAAGGATCGACGATGACTGCCGCCGATATCTTCCTATATCCGAGAGCTGAGGGCCACGAGCCCACACCGATTCACTTAAACGCTCTTAATCTCTGCCAGTAGTTTCAATAGCGCGAACGTGGTTGGTCCAAGAACCCGGTTCTATGGAACCTCGGAAATCGTCGGGCCTCGTGCGTTCTGCACTTTTTCCATGAGGCGAGGTTTGTATATCTTCCTTTTGAAAGAACCTTGAAGGACTCACACTTTCTTCTCTTCAGTACCATTGTATCAAAGGACACTTCGCTCGAACCCTCGAGTAACCTTCATCAAATTTCAAGTAACAGCCGACAAGCAAACAGTATAAAAATGGGAGACATCGACCTTCGGAAGATCAGAGTAGATGACATCGTGATCGCGTACGTCGTTTTATTACAATGACGCTGCTTAGCTACCAACGATAGAGCTGACTATGGTTTAGGTTCATGGGCCCGACGGGATCTGGGAAGAGCAATGTATGTCAGCAGACGAGCTGTGAAATCGTTCTCACCTGAAGCTTACACGCCGATGTATTGCAGCTCATAGACGTTCTTACCGGACAAGTTGGATCGAAGAGGCTTTCTGGGAGCAAGCTCCGGTCGTGTACCCAGGACGTCTACGCTGTCCGACTGTTGAACCATGAGGTCTATGGCGACAGACTGGTGTTCGTCGACACGCCGGGGTTCGACGACACAGACAGAAGCGACATGGAAATTCTGAGGATGATCGGGAAATGGCTGCAGCGAACGTGAGTATTGACCTCACTTGGAAAGACACTATAACGAGGGCTCTTCTAGCTACGAAGCCTCCATCAAGCTCGCTGGCATCGTCTACCTGCATCGAATAACCGACAACAGGATGTCAGGCTCTCCGCACCGCAACCTGCGTATGTTCGGAGAACTGTGCGGGGACCGTGCCACGTCAAAGGTCGCCCTGGTCACCACGATGTGGGATAGAGTGAACCAAGCTATCGGCGAGAAACGGCAGCAAGAACTGGAGCGGAATTACTTCCGCGAGCTCCTCATCCGCGGGGCGATCCCGATGCGGTTCAACAACACCGAACGTGCGGCGTGGAACATCGTCGACACTATCATCAGAGAAGGAGACAGGGAGGAGATCCTGCTACAGGAAGAGCTCGTCGAGCTCAGGAGGCGGCTAAACGAAACCAGCGCAGGCAGGGCAATATACAACACCTTCCAGAAGCTATTGAAGGACCAGAGAGAGGTCGTACGGGAGCTCGCACGGTTGGCCAAGGCTCAGAATAATATGAGACTGGTTTCGGAGATGAACTTGGAGTATAAGAGGATCCAGCGGGAGTTCGAGAAATCTTTCGGCCAGATCGCCGAGTTGAAGGTCCCGCTTGGGAGGAGAATTATCCTGTACCTTTTCGGGAAGAAGTCGAGAGCAGTAAGTAATTATTTCGTTTCGGGACCCGCGACATTTGTGCTTAATGACTTTGCAGAAGTCGTTAGTTCTTGTATGACAAATTGTATTGGGGTCGGCGACGGGATTGGGAGGGTGAAGCATAAATATAACAGATATTTAAAGCAGTAGGAATGGTGTAATGTAATAGTAGGGACTAAATATCCGGACGGCTATGAGGAAAGAATTAGTGTGCTACTAAGTATTTCTATTTAACCCTTTAGATAAACATCCCATAGCGCCGTGTACAGTCAGGCATAAGTGCCGCCTCGTAACATTCGTCCACCAAGTCATCCAGCTTCAAAAACACCGGACGTGCCATGCAGCCTAGCGGGACGATGATATAGGTGATCCTCTGGGTCCCGCGTTCCCTCAACTCTCGGAGACGGCGCTTGATAGTGCACTCAAACTCGAAAGGAGGGTCTACGGGAACACGGGGCTGGAAGATGACGGCATGCTTGTCGGGCTTGGAGTAAAGGAGGAGGTAGTCAACATCGGCGCATTCTATGACGTTGTCTGAATCTTGACCATCGACGCTCTCCGGGTCAATGTCCGAATAGACAAGGGGGCTAACCCCTACCGAGAGCATCTTGGCTCCAGGACTGACAGCCAGGTACGCCACAGGCGTTTCCCACCACCGCACATACCTGAAAGTTCCCTCGCCCTTCGGAGCAAGCAGCCCCCAACTCGTCCCCTCGGGGCGAATGAAACGACGAGCATGGGCCTCCAACACCCAAGCAGCCGACTGGCGTGAATAGGGCATATATATGAGGAATATCTTGAACAGCGACTGCACGAGCTCGTCTGACAGTAGAGACGTGCCGGCGACGAGGTTGGCGATGTGCTTGGAGACGAGTTGGGGTGTATACAAATCGCACGAAATAGGTGCAGTCCGGCGCAGGACGACGAGTCCTAATTTGATCGACAGCTCGTATACGATTATGGGATTTGAAGGGGAGGCCGCGGAGAGCGTCGATAGGAGCGTCATGGCTCGATCCTCGTAGGCCGCAGGTGCATTTGCATAGATGTAAACATCGCGCGGAGAGGCTCCGGCGCCGTACTTGTCCATAAATTCCTTCATGGCTCGTTCGGACGGTACTTTGTCTCTGATCAATCCTCGCCTGCAACAAACAAATTAGTTGTTGAGTCTCACTCAGACAAAACTTCCAGACGCACGCGCATATGATGTCTGAGATGGTCCAAGGGTCCAGGATAAAATCTGACACTCGTCTGCTAGCCAACTCCCCCTTGCACACTCCACCTTCCGAGTCAAGCGTGGTCGCCTCAACGATGAACATTTTGGAGAAGTGGTATCTATCGTCAGCTCCTTGGAGACACTCGTTGGAATCGACAAGCGCCCAGACGTCTCCGGGTTCATGACGCCGAAGGGCGATGTCGAACATCTGGCCCTTAAGGGTGAAGAGCTCCTGTACGCCGTGTTCGTCAAAGAACAAGATCTGGTTTGGGCGGACTTGGTAAGCGGTAGGAAGGCGAGCGTGGAGGCGCAGCACGAGCACGAGGATTAACCAAAATGTTTTGCCTGCATCGAAATATTTTGTTTGTAAGGATAAAAGAATCGAAGTGGACGTTGAGCAGGACGAACCGATTGCAGGTCCCCCTGTCAGTGTGAAACGCACTTCGACGGGGTTTACAGTCCTGCGTCGAAGAAAAGGGTTTGGAAAGGTCGATGAACTGAGTCCTTGGTGGATGTGTGATGCGTCCTACCCAGCGGCCTGGAAAAGGCTACGGAAAGCTTCGAAGTAATCGCTCCGCACAAGGGCATGCGTGATCTGGGTCAATCTGGCCGGATACACGCAGTGGGGAATCTGCATGGACCAGGCTGCACTTGAGACTTCGGCATCAGTGCATTGAAGAGTACCATCTCTGTAAATGGGGTGCTTTTGGAAGAACGGGACCCCGGTATCCTCTCGTGCAAGCCACAGGTCCTCCCAGAGCTTGTCGTCTAAAATGCGAATTATATGCAGGTCACTAATGAGGATGGACTCGGTACTCACATGGATCAATGCCTTTGTTTACCCCACGTGGCATAGATCTTCTGAGGCGTTTGGGCATCACAACAGCCTCCTGGGTGTCGGTGTCATGAGGGATAAACTCGGGTTCGAAGCAATCAGAAACGAGAGCCGTCGGCGAGAGACGATAATATCTTTTGTACGGCCCTCGTATTGGCTCGGGTTGAGGATACAGTGGTAGAATAATTTTCCATATACCGAGCTCTTCAGGCAGGTAATTGGCGAACTCCAATGCTGCAATGTCGTGGACGACCTTGATAAGATCGAAAACAGACGCACGGAGCGATATTTTGACTGTCTTTACGGTGTTCATGCCGCCGCCAACCACCAAAATACGGAGCGTGACATCGACCATCGCACAGGAATTGAGTAGCGTCGTTGACAGTAGTAGAAGGGGAGAATGAGACAGGCGACGTGAGGTCATCAAGTGGTCCTTAATATGCAGCAACGGAACGGATCAGTCGCAGCGGATCAAGGAGCACAACAAGCCGTCCCGGCACGGAAATGGAGCCTAAATCAAGCCTAAATTCCAACTCTCCTGCACCTACTTCATCCCTCTCCTCTATCATCTCGATGGGAACATCCACGGCGCTTCTCCGCTCTCTGCTGCCCGTTCCTTCTCACTAGTCGTTGCTTCCTTGCGAGTTCCACGCCTTCCCACATCGTGTAGCCTCTCTTCCGCTCCCTTCGTGGGTTGGGCAAGAGTCCAACTCACCCCCTAGCACCTCTCCGTGTCGTGCAACGTTAACAGGAAGAACATCAGACAACGAGCACCTTGTAAATTGGTGTGTCCAGATTGCTGGCGAACCTGAGCTAGATGCGCGTTTCCGATCCATGCCGAAGTACCCTGGCCTTAGACACTTCAAGAACGGGATCTCCTTTGTCACACAATGGACCGGTCGTGAGCACAAGCAAATGCAGCGAGTCTTTGTGGGGGTTACTCACTGTCTCCAACCTGCTGCCCTCCGAGCCGCCACAGCTGTCATCGACTTGCCCAACGAGAAGGGGGTATAGCACGACGTATCCTCGAGACACGACTACATAGTAGAGGTCGAAATGTCCCCTGCATCCTGGAATAGCAATCTCTCCAGGGCGTGTAGCGGCTGGATTTGGAGCTAGAGAACTTCCAGTCGACATTTAAGATTACGGTCTTCGTTTGTCTCTTTCCTCGGGTTCTCGTAGGCTGAAGCTGAAGTCAAAGACATAGGAAAACAATTTAATGAGACATTATTTAATTGCTGGTATTTCAATTCGGGGGGAAAGGTCACGTGGTTCCATGCCCAAAAAAGGGCTCCCGCCGGATCCGGGTACCCCGTTAGATGGAAACGACCCTTAGAGTACGACCACGACCACGACAATGCTTTTCGGGCTCCCAGCGACGCTGCAGGCTCTTATTTCAACGTATCTATGGGCCTCCACCTCGCTCCGACCTCCTAGTTCTTCAATTAAATTCCAGCTACGCCACCAACATGCCTTGACAAACGATTCTCGCATCATCTTCTCGGATTTCACCCCAGGTGCCTCTTTTTCGGGGGAAGAAACACAGTTCACGATACCGGCACACAACAGTAGGGTTCCGCGTCCAGAATCTCTGGCAGCTCTTGCAACAGCGCGGAGGGAGAGGCAGCCGGGTATGATGACTTGGGAGGACTGGGACATCGAGGTTCCGGACGTTTCGAAGCGCAGCACTCTCCTCCAGCTCGCCAAGATGGCGTTCAACACGTATGCGGCCGATAACAGCAGTGCCGGCTCATGGTACGACGTCCATCAGGACGGGTGGGACTCGACGCCGTTCGGGTGGCATCCCGACCAGGATGGCATGCGGGGCCACATCTTCGTGTCTGAGGACAACTCCACGGTGGTTGTTGCGATCAAGGGAACCTCAGCAGGATGGCTGGTTGGTGGAGGTGGTCCGACGGTTGGCCGGGATAAGAAGAACGACAACATGCTCTTCTCGTGCTGCTGCGCACGTGTTGGGCCGACGTGGTCGACGGTGTGCGACTGCTATGACGGAGGCAACCGGTGCGACATTGAGTGCGTGGAGAATTCGATGAAGGACGAGGGATTGTTCTACCCCATCGGCACGGTGAGTTGTTGCTTTCTGCTACACCAATGTCTCTGACTCTGTTCCCAGAATCTCTACAACAACGTCACGTACATGTATCCGAACGCGAACATCTGGCTCACAGGCCATTCACTCGGAGGAGGTCTCGCTGCCCTCATGGGAGCCACCTTCGGTGCGCCCGTCGTCGCCTTCGAAGCCCCGGCCGAGAAACGAGCTTCACAACGCCTCCATCTCCCCAGTCCGGTACGCCGCTTATCTCTACCCCGGACCAGGCTCTAAAAATATCTTCTTGCAGCCGTCAACGCACCATATCACGCACGTCTACAACACGGCTGATCCGATTCCAATGGGCACTTGCACCGGAGTCACCTCGATGTGCTCCATTGGCGGTTTCGCCCTCGAGACTCGGTGCCACCTGGGGCAGGTTATCCTGTACGACACCGTTCAGAGGCTTGGCTGGTCCGTCGATATCCGGAACCATGGGATCCAGGTCGTCATTGAGAAGATCCTGAGCGACAATGCTGATTGGAAGGACGAATTCAATGAGGTGGACGAGGATGAAGACGAGGAGGGCAGCGGTCTGATGAAGGTGTTGCGATGGGGTTGGCCTGGGCGCAAGAGAGGTAGTGGTGAAGAGGGTGGTGGAGATGGAGACGGTGGACACAAGCAGAAGCGGAGGGAAGTTCCATTACCCCGACCCGCCCTGGAGGTCGAAGGCACCGATGGAGTATGCACGGTGCGTCTCTTTTCTCCTTTTTTTCTCAGGAGTCCCCGAATTCCTGACATTGATCACTCTCTCTAGGATTGCTTCAACTGGGAATATGGGATTTTCACGAACCGTACAGGTGTTAAAGCCTCGATTTGTTCATGACCTCTCAAGCCTTGGATTGGGAGCCTGGGGCTTCGTGCTTGGGAAGTCCTCATTATCTAGATGAATACCATTAACACTACTGATCGTGTAATATACGTAGTATTTTTTCTTAAACATCCCTAGAGATCCTTGATAGAATTCGCCCAAATCCCTACCGCATTTTGTTTTTCGCGATGCGGGTTCGAACACTGCGATTTCTTGAAATGGTCGTAAACACTTAGACGCATGCGGCCCACCGGGCCGGGTCTTTTTGAGCGCTTTCTGTTGCATATCCCTGTCTTCGTAAACCCTCAGGCTTCCTGTTTGACGATCACCCACGTTATTCTCAGTCCATGGCATTGATACTTATGTAGTATCATCTTCTCGTAAATGCTGTACATACAGTGTGAGTTTTCCTCTCAGTTCGGCTTATCCAAATTTAATAGCCCTCAGGCTAGACTGATTGTTTGACGCGAAAACCTTAGCCCAAGGCTTCTTACAATTTCTTTGCAAGGATGTAATGCAACCAAAGTGTCGCTCACTGTGTATCCTGGGAATAGAAAATCATCACCTGGTCCTCTATTCAAATTCGCAGTGCTGGTGTCGACATTGAAGCTTCTTGTCGAAGGGTCTCGCATTGATCAAACCTTCCAATCCCTCTGGGGGTTTTGAGAGCTGAATACCACGGAAAGCTCCATGCACTTCAACATTAGCTCTATCTCCTCCCTGAACGACATAAATAATAATAATCTGCAGAGCATAATAAGCAGCTGCTTAAGATTCATCCAGAGTCTGGTGCTCTCTGCCACTGAGCTATAGCTTCGTTCCGAGCATAGCCATCTTAACTATCTCACACCCCATCCTAACTTTTGAATGTGGGTGTCCCCGTCCACCCCAGTCAACCCTTTTTGTTCGAAGGGGTACAACACTGGCACCCCCTCTCGGTGGGCTCCATATGAAAGGATGATGATGAGTGTGGGGTCGGATCGTGTGAGCGGAATGTCTTGTAGCCTCTCGTTAGGGACCGTAATGCTAATGTGCGTCGTTGCCTCTGTCGTCGTACAAGAGTGAGCTAGAGAACAAAGGGACAAGTGGCTACGCGTAAGTACTGTGTCCTTATCTAATCTAATCATAGAGCGGGACCGTAATCGCATTGTAGCCAACCTCTCTCTCCTACAACATCCAGTCTGGCTCTTGTTCAAGTGTACTAGGAAGCTAGTAGTCTCATAGTATCAAGACCTGCGCTCGCAAGCCAGGGTCTCCACAAAGACCAATCTACTTGAAATTAAGCGCTTCGGCAAAGCCGAGCGCCTCCTTTCAGTTGACGCCCGTGGCAGCGGAGTGCCGGGCCGGTTTATGCACACCAATCTGATAATGCACTGCCACGTGTTGCAACTTGTTCTTGATCATGATCAAACAGCCTCCCAGCTGGCACTGTCCCGTCGAGATCGCCATTTTCATCCCAGACCAAGATAAAGTCTCGCTGGCCCAATATGCGCCAACAGCTAAGCCTTTCCGACCCTTATGCCAATCGCCCATCTTCAACGTCATTGATTTATGGAAAAGGAATTGTCTGCCCAGCACGACTGCTCAAACGCATACGAATTATTTTTGATTTGCTCGAAAATGATTCCACCCTCCACTCCTACGTTCTGGAGCTCTGCCTCGGCGATTGTCTTCCAAGATTATGGGCCTCAGAAGCTGAACTCTGCAGGGTCCCCGAGTGCGTCCTACCGACATTCTAAAGCTTGCGTCAAACAGCTTGACTGTTTTTCGCTGGAGCGTTGCCGAACGTATCGCAGGTCAGAGTCTTCCGTTTTCGGCTCCGCCAGTTTTGCTATTATTAACGACGTGTCACGTTAGGTTTCTTCTCTGCACCTTTGATCTTCGACTCGGAACCGTCAATATTGCAGTTCTCAATCAATTGCGTACTCTATAGGCGCGGTTGGCAGCTTCAAAGTCGCCCGTAGATTGCTCAGGAAGCTACTTCGACAACTAATGAACTGTGTTGAGACAGTTATATATATATCGCTACTACGAGTTAGGAGCCCTTACCTACAAGCAAGTCGTAAAATGCCGACGTCGATGGATCATCATCTCGAAACGCCTCAAAAAGCCGGCTTTCAATTGTCTTAAACGTGTGGTCATATTCTTGGAGAAACCTATCGGCTCTGGATAGCTGGAGATTGAACGGTCCATGGCGTTGTTTGAGAAGTTTTTCAAGCCGGTCTGCGCGAAAGGAGTCATAATAGACGTCCAGCATGTCCCAGTTAGCGTCTATACCTGATAACCACCAAATGCAGGTAGGAGCCTCGAAATCTGCCTTCATTGGCACTTATCACCTCCCAGTTGACGGTTGGGGTTGGTGAAATGATTCATCTCCTCATTTTTATGATTATAATGCCTTCAAGATAACGATCATGCTCATGGAGATTCGAACGTATGGCGAATGAATGGATCGCGTCGGATTTGAGTCAACGCCCGACATGCTCGCTCGGAATGCTATACCGGACACCCTTGATATTCATAGAACGGTCTCCAGGAGCTTGTCTGCGGAAGGCCAAGTATCATTGAAAGGACCCCGTTTGACATGATCAAGTCAAGATCTGTCGATGAACGTCTCAGCGGCGATGCAGAGGCAGAGCATTCTCCTGTTAACCCGAAGATGGGAGCCCCCGTCCTATTATTAAGGCGCCGTGGCAGCACTTCAGTACTCTGGGCAATCCGGCCTCAGATAGTCCGCCTCATGTAGGTGGATCGCACGGAAATACGATCCCATTGAGCGCAGCATCTCGAGAGGGGTCTTGAAACAATTGTTACTCAGACGTCAGCGCGTCAGCCTAGACTCCGAACAGCAAGCCGCTCTTGCCCCGACGATTTGACGCGGACGTGCTTCGAACAGGATCTCGAGTCTTGAAGAGCAACCATCAATATCACAGCTTATTGAAGAACATCTGACGCCATTCAGCGCGCTGTTTACGATTCCGTTCATGGCTATGAAGACTCCGCTGAATTACGTTCGCCGCTGCACCATTGACTCGGAGAGGCCATTATATCCCTGGACTGTGTGTTACTTCCCATATTGACGAGGACTTGAATAGGTACACACCTCTCCCAAGTATCGTTGGAGGACTAGTGTGTACATGCAGCTTCGGGTCCAACATTCTCCAAGCTGGCGCTGATGTCGATCCATCGAAGTCCATGAACGTTCATGAATCGCCTGGTTGAATCTATTTTTGTCATATCGGCAAAGGGCGCTACAGAACTGCCCCATTAGAGCAGTTCTGCCATCACGACCCCTGATGCCACTGCTATTCGTGTTTACACCTCTCCGTGGCGTGTTTCAGTGCCAGATATGTTCAACAGGCAGTGTCACCCTTCTCGCCTCCCAACTATAAAAAGGTAGCAGACGGAAGTCAGCTCTCCAAGGTGCCTGGTGCATTTCATCTACTACTCACACAACCTCACGGTGAGTCCTCACGGTGTACAGCAGCGAGACCTGCAGTGCTCACTTCCACCGCAGAACTTAGGCCGGTCCTAAGCCTCACGAACTTTCACGACTCTTAAATCTTACTCATCAATTCGATATGCAACTCACGTCCACCTTCGTTCTTGCCGCCATCGTCGCCCTCAAGGCCACCAGCACGGCTGCTCTGCCTGTCGTAAGTCTGAATAATTGTGATATCGAGGCGTTATCTGAAGTATTTTAGGCTGCTTCCGAGCTCACTATCGTCGATGCCCGCGAGGCCGACCTCGTCGACTTCGAAGCCCGTGAATTCGACAACGAGCTTGAGCTCGAGGCTCGTGAATTCGACGACGAATATGAGCTCGAGGCTCGCGAGTTCGACGATGAACTTGACGCCCGTGACGTCGACAACGAGTTCGAATTCGAGGCACGAGGGGACAACTTCGAGGATCTCGAGGCTCGCATCGTCAAGTCCACCAACCTCAAGCCGGCCACCACCAAAGCCAAGGTCCCTTCCCCGATCAACGTTGCGAAAGCCAACCGCAAGAGTGTCAGCAGCGCCTCTACCACCCCGGTGACGTCGAAGAAAACCAGCGTTAGCACCCCGCGGACACCCGTCTCCTCCAAGAAGGTCGGCTCTACCACAAACACGCCCGTAACTTCCAAGAAGACTGGCCTCCGAACTCCTAATACCCCAGTGACTTCCAAGCACACTGGAATCAGGACCCCCAAGACCCCCTTGACGCCAGGGAAGAAGACTAACCTCGGTCTGAAGACCCCTTTGACACCCGGGAAGAAGACTGGCTCCCGCGTTCCGAAGAGCCCGTTGACGCCCAAGAGGACCGGAGGCGGTTCTAAGGTCAGCGCCGAGCGCACCCACTCAGGTCGCACTGGCAGCCAGCGCTCAAACGGAAGCAAGTCCAACAGCCAGCTCCGCAAGCACACCGGAACCAACAGCCGCACCAGCTCTAGCCGTGGCCGCACTTCAGCCGCTGGTCACTCAAGCCAAACGAGCCGCTCTGGTTCGCAAAGCTCCCGCAACACCCCTGGTCGCTCTCACTCAACCGGAGGAGCTCCCCACAAGTTCGGACAGAACTCGCGTTCGCACTCCGCCTCGCGCACTGGTACACAAGGTCGTTCTGGCGCCCGCAAGACAACTGGTTCCAACAAGGAGCGTCAATCCAACCGTCACTCGACCTCTGGTTCCCGTCAGCACTCCTCCAATCGCGGAACTGTATGTCCGGGTCCACTTCTCTATTTTTAATTCATTCTAACGCTTTTGCAGAGCGCGAATAAGATTGGCTCGAACGGAAAGACCCACACTCTGAGCAAGAGCGGCGACCGAGCGGGTAGCCGCAGCTCCGAGACCCTCCAGAAGCACACCAAGTCCAACCACAGGTCTTCCGGAGTTAAGGGCACTTCCAGGTCCCAGTAAACGGGATGAATAATGAGATGCGTAGTAAGGCTTCCATTGTAAATTTGTAGTCGAAAATCAGAACTATGTGGGTTGTGATTAAATTCCGAGTGAGAGCCCGAGAGACAGATATGTAGATCACTTTCCCTTCCCAAAATACCCTCTGCATCAGGAAAAAAAGATTTACGATCCACCCGTATCACGCGCCCTTTGACATAATAATGAAATACTGACTGATGTTATCAATTGAAAGCAGCGCCATGGGCTAGATATGGAGGTATCAGTATCATCTTGATGTCGATGGAGAGTCGTGTGGTGGGTTCGGCCTTTAAAAGCAACAAGTTGTCTAAACACGAGTATCTCTTCTTGTTCATTTCCCGCCTTCGGTTTGGGCGCTTATTTCGGCTGATGCCGATTGGCTTCGGCTGTTCGCCAAATAAGGAATTGACTAGAGTCTTGGATAGCAACCGTTCGCCAGGAGGATTGCGATGTCCCTGGCATGTTCTTATTTTTTACTATCATCCGAATGTGATTTCTTTATCGCTCGTATTTGCGCCCACGAAGATGCAGCGAACAGCGCCGGAACGCCCACTAGTGGGCGACTGGCATTCTCTATCAAATGATTTGGTGAGTGGGCTCACTGCGGTGGGTGATTATCTGCGAAATCACACACAGGTTTCAAGGTATAAAACACACACGAGAGACAAATTTTGAACTAAAGTGCCTGGTGCATTCTCTCAACAGCTCTCTCACACATACAGTTCGTCTCACTCCCGCTTTTCTTGATGCAGGTGCTAACTTCGCAAATTGTAGCTTTAGGCCGGTCCTAATTTCCGCAACTCGTACTCAAGTACAACTATGAAGCTTACCTCTGCATTTATCTTGGCTGCTGTCTTCGCCTTGAAGGCCACTAGCTCATTTGCCGCGCCTTGGGTATGTTAAATCACTTTGTGAAAGACAGCACTAAATTTTTTTATAGGAGGGTCATAACGACGTCGGACATGTCCACCCTCGCGACCTCGAAGGCGATCTCCCCGACATGGACGCCAGAGACTTCTATGACGAGCTGGAGGAGCGTGACTTTGACGATGCTGAGATCGACGCCCGGGTCGATCTCGACGACTTCGAAGAGGTGGCAGGTCGTGCCATCCCTCCTTGGGCTCGAGTTGACAAAAGTGCCATTGCTAAATATGGTGGCAAATTTGTCAACCCCTCTGCATTTGAACCACCAAGAGGGACAGGTTACGGTGGACGCGGAGGGAGAACGTCGAAACAACAGCAGCTGCTGGAGTCGGCGGTGAAGTACCCAGGCGGAAGGGCAACTGGATTCCGCCGCCCAGGGCCTAACTACGTCAAACAGATTGAAAAAGCTCCAACTCCTGGATCGGTACCAAAGGTGATTCCAGGAAAAGCGAAACCTGCCCTGCGCAAGCCAACAGCAGTAAGTCACATCTCTGATTTGGTGCTATCGATTCTCTCTTACCTTAATTTCTTTGCAGGCCAGATTTGCCTCTAAGACGCTCAGTCGCACCATGCTGGGTGCCGGTCGCCGTGGCAGACGGGTGTAAATTTGATTCATACCACTTATATTTGTACTTGATGAGGATGAATGACTCATGTTTTTTGAATGTGGAATGGCGTGCACCGAGAGTTGAACGATATTCCCATTCGATTATCGACGAGGAATCCCTACTCCAAGGGTACGTTGATGAACACCCCGCATCGAAAGGACTTCGTCGATTGCGGTGTAAAGCTTTGAAGAGCGAAGGTGATGAATTACAGCTGCCTATAAGACGGAGATATAGATTAAACATTAGGATAAAGAATTGTGTACCAATCTAAGATGAAGTGGCAATACTGCTTGCCAACGAAGCCGAAGGCAGAAGGCTCGCTTGATCGAGCCTTTGAAGAAGGTTCTCCTTCCTCAGCTGATGTTTCGTCTTATGCTCTACCTTCAGCTTCGACGATTTTATCAACGGGCTTGTCACCTTCTGGCTGAAGTCAAGCGCCTTCGATAAATTCAGTAAACACCAATTTAGCACCACCTCCAGCCGCTCCTTCAGCTCCATGACGTTATCGTAATCCGCATAAACGACAGGGTTGCGGAAGCTCATCCACACGTAGAACACGATGACCTTGTGGAACGACTCGAGCTGTACGAGACTCTTCGACGTGGTCGACAGCGAGACCTTACTTGGTGCACCGTGCGCCTGGGCCTGCATTGCGCCCTCCATAAGCTGGAGCGTCTCCATGAAGTTCGTGCTCTTGATCGCGTGCGCGAGATTCACGCTCATCGATGTCTTGTGCTTCAAAAGCAGCCGCTTGATCACGTTCGTCGTCTCGAAGTCGCGCCATGGGACGGGTGCGAACAGAAGCAGGACGCGGTCCTCGTTGCTCATGTCATGCCAGTTGTAGTCGATGAAGGTGCACGCGGCGGAGAGGTGATGCTTGTCGGCGTAGCGGGCATGTGCTGGTAGACGCCCGATGAACATGGGGGCTTCCAGCAAGGTGCTCATGGGTGTATGGGGGGGCAGGCACGACGAAAGCTCGCCGAGTAATTGTTTGTCGAGCCCGACGCGGGCGTACGGGAGGGGTTGGTAGGGCTGGGCGATGCAATCGCGCAGGTATTGAAGATCTTCGGGGTGGATGGTTGTGACAAAACCGCCAAGGTCGGTCTGGGATTGTTGTTGGCCGTATCGTCCAGCACGTCCTGCGATCTGCTTGACAGATGACACTGAGAGTCGGGTCATCTTTCCTGTGCCTTCGTGTTTGGCGGTGGCCTCAAAGATGACGCGCTTGATTCGACTAAATGGCGAACGATCAGTGCAAGAAACATAGGAGGAGAAAGGAACACACAGGTTGAGCCCCATCCCGATAGCGTCGCTACCGATAATGACATCGTAGCCAGAGTCGGGATCATTGAACAGCGCCGCTTGCTCACTCCGTACTTCGGGAGGCAATCGCCCATAAACCACCGCACACCGCATTCCCGTCTTCTCCTCGACCACCCTCTTCAGACCAAAAATGTTGGATCGACTGAATGTAACGATACAATCACCCTTTCGGACTTTGGTCAAGTCGCCGTTCAGGCTCTCTTCCTCCACCACAAGCGGAGTAAGTCGCTCATACCGGCGGACGATGACCTCATCTCCTGTATGTTTCAGCAGTTCCTGTACAACTGGAACAGCCGTCTCCTCGCCACACAAATGGACCTCGTTCGCACGAATCCCAAGGACGGCATTCGTCCATCCAGCACCGCGGTCCGGGTCCGATATCATCTGGATCTCGTCAATGACGGCGACGTCAAAGCCATGGACGAAGGACAGCATCTCCACTGTAGAGCTGAGGAGAGGAACATTTATTCCAACCATCTTCTGTTCTTCTCCAGTGATCATGTTGCATGGGCGTGCATAGGCAGGGTTTCCCTTACGAGGACCGCCGCCTTCCGTTGGCGCCGATTCTTCCACCCCGAGAGGAACGATCTGGCCCGTGTTGAGGCGTTCCCAGATCTCGTGGGCGAGGAGGCGGAGAGGCCCTGCATATACACCTGTTCGCGCTGCTGCCAGAGCACGGAGCGCGTGATGCGTCTTCCCGCTGTTCGTGGGCCCGACATGCATGATGATCTTCCGGTGCATCATGCGTGCCTCGGGGAACTCGTCAGCAGGAAACCACCGATCCGTCGTCTCCATCAGCCTCTCGATCGTGTAGAGTGTGTCCGGGGAAATCTTGAGCTGGTTCTGCAGGTGCTTCTGGTTCGCTGGCCGCGACGCCCATGAGAAGAAGATGGTGGTATAGATGACGTCAACACTCGTTCGGTCATGTGGCTGGGCGAATCGTTGAAGGCCGTAGGAGGTGTAATTGGTGGGTTTTGATAATTCGCCTGATCGTACTTCGCTTTCGAAGGCGTTGAGAAGTTTTCGACCGTCCAGGTCCGGAATGCCATAGTCTTGCAGTCGGTCTAGGACGACAGGATCGGTGGCCCATGCGATAGCCCGCTCTTCGAAGAATGGCACGACTTCCTCCTCAGAAAGAACGGGAATCTTGTGGTGGTGGTCGAATGGAGAGTGGACCTTCCGAGAACTTGTGGCCAAGGGTGAAGGTAGGGGTTTTTGAGGCGTTGCTGCAGGATGTCTCGTCTGTTTAAGAGCGCCGCGAGGTCCTGGCTTTCGCTCTTTGCGTGGAAATGGTTCGATATCATCGATGTCGCTACGTGGTCGACGTGAATGTTTGTCGGCATCGAAGGGCTCCAACCCCGGGAATGCGCTGCTTTGGCTTCTATGTCGGCGGCCTCTCCGCATCCATGCTAGCAATTCATCGGTATGTCTGAGAGATATGCGACATCTGACACAGGTATTTCGTAGCATCGTTTATGCTTCTTCAAATTTGCAAGGTCAAAACCCCGGACCATATGAAGGAGATGTGTCCAACGCACCGATACCAAACATCCCTTTTTTCAATCCTTTGAGATAGAGCTGGGTGAATATCCCAGGTGTCAGTTTGAATCCGTCAGAACGGCGTTAGCAGGACAGCAGCAAGGGCCTTAGGGTCTTGACGGAAGGAATCACAGAACTCAAAGTAGCGCTTATTTGGCTGTATTACTTCTTAAGAACATTGACCTGGGTTGCCGGGATGCCGCGTCACTCTATCACTGTCACCTCTGTCACAACAGTTCTTGAACCTTGACCTGACCACAACCCCCGTTCAAATTCCCCATCTCTAAGACTCACAATTAAAGCTGCCGCTACTAGTCGAAAAATGGTGTGTATTTTCCGCATTGAAGACGCCGATCGGACTGGTCTTCGCTTCGGGGGCGTGTCATCGAAGGTTCTCAACTTCTCTCAGCCTGACAGCAAATTTTCATGGGGAAAAGCACGTAATGGATGCCTGCCACCTCTCAGGAAAAGGGTGCACTAAACTTTGGTGTCGACATCAGGTCCTGCTGAGCCGGAAGTCTGTCGCCAACTGCCTGTCTTCTCCTGAAGGGTGCTGTCGCCGCTTAGTAGATAAAAGCCAGGCCGGGGCTGGAAAAAAAACCATCACGCATCGTCTTGGAATCCCCCAGCGTTGGGCTACTCGTTGGGCTACTCCTGCAAATTCTGGGACGTGAATTCGTCTTGTAAGTCCCTTTGTCGAGCTCTTCTCCCATTTTACTCATTCAAACAGCGGCTTTTCGCCAAATGCTAACCCAACCAATCCTTGAGGGACACAGAAACCCTGCCGTTCAGACTCCTACGTCCCAGAAGAACCTTCGTGGCAACTGCGCGACAGCCCTCAACGAACGCACGTCTACTTTCCGCGCCACCCATTCCCCGACATTCAACAACATCCCCGTGGAAATTTGGCAGCACATTTTTCACATATGCTACTGTTTTGAACACGTCCCCGAGCTCGACGAGCTCTCAGGACCCATTTGGGGTCGTACGACACCACCTCCCACATTTCGCGGACGCGCGGTACTACCACGCACCCCCTCAATGCTCAGTCAAGTTTGCTCTCGCTGGAGGGACGTGGCCTTCGGCATGCCCGAGCTCTGGAACGTGTTGTACGCCAAGACCGCCCGAACCGACGTAAACGATGATCAGACCACCCGGGACACGAAGATGGAGACCAGGGCGAAGCTCGTGGCCAGTCGCATGTCCTTGGCAGGACACCTTCCCTTGAAGATCTGTGTCAACGCCAAAGATGACTTGCAGGGTGCAAAACTCCTCGTTCGGGCTATACTTCCGTTTTCGCGCCAATGGGAGACCGTCCACCTTCTGGCCCCAGGGGACGTTCTGAAGGAGTTCTCTTACCTCAAACCAGAGGATGTCCCTCTTTTATCGTCGTTCAAGACCTACGAACAAACTTACAACCCTGGCATTCTGCCCTCCCACCCCCCTAACTTTGATCGATTCCGACTCTGCACCATCGCTCCTTCCCTGCGTCGGCTTTGTACCTCAACCCTACCCACCGTACCCACCGTATGGTTCTGTGCCAACCTATACGAACTAAACCTCCAGCAAAGCCCCTCCGAAACGTGGTCGATCCTAAACGTCCTCTCCTTCTGCAGGCAACTGCGTGTACTAACACTCAGCGGGTACGGAGTGACGATGGACCGCCCGCCACCTCACCACCCCGCCGTTGAACTGTCCGAGCTGATTACGCTAAATTTCGTGCATCCATTCGGAAGAGAGTTGCTGTTCCAGATGCTCGTTCTGCCGAAGCTTGCGGAACTGAGACTCTTGGGGAAGTGTGATGGTGCGAGTCCCCAGATGGTGTTGCATGAAATCAAGGAGCTGATGAAGAGGAGTGAGGTCACATCGCTAGAGCGGTTTTGCGTCGAGTTTGACTCGCATGGGTTGGAGGTGGAGGTTCTCATCAGCTTCTTGGCTTGCCAACCGTTGTTACGAGAACTCTGCATTGCTGAAACCCTTTGGAACCCTTTCAGGTTCAGCCCACCTCTCGTCACGTCTCGCCTCGTCAGCGCACTCTCTGAAGTTATTAGGAAGCGGAACCAAGATCGAAGTTTGGGGAACGATGAAGAATCAAACAACCACGCCGGTTTCAGGATTTGCCCATCTCTCCAGCGTCTTTCATTCATCGGATGTTTTGATTTCCTTGACGAAGAGCTGACTGCCTTACTGAAGCGCCGTTTCCCCCTGCTGCGAGGTGGCACGCGGCTGATGACCGTTGACATCTCGATGAAACGCTCAATATCTCGAGATCTGGAGGACATAGTCGAGCAATTATGGAGGGAAGGACTACAGATCGAAATCCAAAGGGCTTGACGCAAAGAACATGAACTCTTAGCCTCTTATTTAACAAGGTCGTTCACTTCAGCCAGGTTGCTGCGAGCGAGGGCGCGACAGTCTGACACGCAATGAAGAAGACAAAGGTCGATTTAGAAATCGTCCAACACAGTCGCACCTCGAGCAGGATGAAGGACTGTTAGCCACAACTCGCTACAGACCACCATCATCACTGCGACGACCGTCTCCTTCACATTTTCCCATCCTCTATACCATGCCCAAGTTCAAGTTCGGACGCAAGACCTCCACTGGGTCCACACCATCGCCATCTACCCCCGACCCCTTTTCCAGTCCGCCCCTTGCTCCGGCAGCCCTCATGACCCAAAGTGTCAGCCCCACTAAGACGAAGCGCTTCGCCATGTTCCGCGGTGCCAGGAGCAAGAGCATGTACGATCTCGACAACCCGAAGGTCACCCCCAGCAAAACGCACACTCCAAAGGCTTCCTCGCTCGCCAACCTCTTCTTCAACCTCTCAGGCCAATCTGGGAGCCCTCGTCGCACCCAGAGCCCAGGCAGTGGCAAGCAGGACGCCGCCACGATCATCCTTGCGTCGAACCACCGCACGTCGGCGGATTCGGACTCGATCGCGAAAGAGAAGATGGATGCACAGTCGTCCGCTACGAGCGTCACTGTTGATTCGCCGTCTCCTGTCCGCACTTCTGCGGCGTCGAGCGTGGAGAAGCGGTCCTCCAAGGCGTCTCTTACTGGTGCCGCGAGCGACAAGCAGGAACAGGAACAAGTAAAAGAGATCGAGGTTCTTCCGCCTGTTCCACCTGTGGCCGTTTTCGTCCAACCACCGACTCCAGTTCTCCCCTCGTTTGACGCCGCTGTCATGAACCGTCTTCCTTCGGACCCTTACGAGCCCAAGATTCCTGAGGTCGACGAGGCAAAAGAGGTCGTCGCAGAGGTCGTCGCGCCGGCCGCCCACGACCCTCTTTGCGCTAATCTTCCCCTGTATTCGTCCAGTTCAGATCCTGGCCTTCGGAAGTACGCCGAGATACTCCAACGCACCGTACGACGCATCCAGGCAGACGGCACGATCACACAGGAGACGGCTTTTCGAAATACTATCCTTATCGCCTGCTTCCTGTATATCATCGCTGCGGGCGTTCTCCTACCTCGCCATCACGACTCTATCAGCTCAGCGACAGGCCTCCCGGTCGAAGGATGGCCTGCTCTCGTCTCTGCGGGTTTACTACTTGTCCTTGCGATGTTGCGAGCCGTGATCTGGGTCGCGAGTCGCGTTGGAAAGTCCATCTGCGATCTGGATATCGAAGATGTGTTCAGCAAGGGGGCGTGTGTCGATGCCAACGGAAGAAAAATGGGTGAGGCGGACATGATTGTTGGAGGTTTGATTGGATAGATCGGCTCCGCATAGAAGTTTTGGTTCCTCGTCCAGCGCGCGTCCCGTTAGATGTCTCGCGTGTGTATACGTATGGTTGAGCTTCAAGTGTACTCTATTTGAGACGAATTGTCAGAGCTCATATGACCGATTAAAAAGACTTTCTTACTTGCGCCGCACAGTGCCGCCTCACTTGCTTCGGCCAGGCTCACTACGCGTTCCTCCTTAGGTAACGATAATTAAATAAAGCGCGATATAACAGTGAAATTGTCAACAGGTGTGATAAGGAACCGTATGCGTGCACAAGCGGGGCCGTGTCAATCATCTTTTGAACTTTATAACATAACTTAACGCCCATGTAGAGGGAGAGTAAAAGACCCGCATCGTCTGCGGTTTTTTTGTCACGCATCCCATTGTGACTGAAATGGCAGGTCGATTCCCGAATTGGGAAGGGGCGGTCCGCCTCGCCGTGCAACTCTGCTGCATCAAACCGAAAATAGACTAAAACATCGTAGTCCAGGTCTGCTATGTGATTCAAGGGTGGACACGCGAAAACAATTCAAGGCGTCCTCGGTCGATGAGCGCTCCATTGTCTACAGGAAGTATTTCATGTCACTGGACAGCTCTTCCCTTGTGCAGGAATTCTGACATGCTGAATGTGTTGATCCCTTGATCCGAGGAGCCCTGCTCGGTGGACGTCGAGCCCTGCACCCTTGACTATCAACGACGAATCAAAGACCGCCCTCTCTGGAAACTCGTGCTCAAGATCGAGAGACCACGCGTCGCAACAATGAGATGGATTCAGTCCAACTGAGATATTAGTTCGTACTCCTTAAGAAATCATGAAAGATTACCAACGTTCGTGTTTCCACAATGCTGAAAATCTGCCGAGTCGTCCATCTATGGAATCGGAGTTGAATCAGAGGTTTCAAAGACGCAAGGAGGAACACATGACACCTTGGACAATTGAGTCTACGGCAATGCAGTGATATCCAAGCCTTTGAGCGTGTGAGGTTCCATCCGGAGCCGCTTATCTCCTGTCGATTTAAGTGGAACAAGCGGACGGTTACCCTCAAGGTGGCGGTGTACTATCATTGATATCTCCAGTGGATCAGGATCGACATGCAGCACCGTGGCGTAAAGCGAATCCGCTCTTACACAGGTATTATCGAACATTATGGGCAAAGTAGGTTAGAAATACTTTGTCTCTGTATTTTCCTTTCGACCAACTTTCGACTTACTATCAGGCTAATGATCCCCACTTTTCATTCAATTTGACATCAAAAATCTTCTCTCAATAGGGTCGGTAGTACTACTCGCGAAAATTGTTCTTGAAGGTCCTTGGCAAATGTGATTGAATCAAAAATCTAGCGCCGTCGGTGAAATCGGTCAATCCCTGCAAAGCGACGGATTCGGACAATATTCGACTCGCCTGGTATAAAAAGGGATTTATTTTGACGATGAAGCTCAGTGCCAGGTGCATCTCCAATCTCCTCGAATATCAGGTGTGTCTCTTTCTTGACCTTGGTAGAGCAGGAAATTGACTGTCTGAAATTTTATGCAGATATTAGGCCGGTCCTAACACACGTCTCACAACCATTGTACGCGTCTCTCACACCGGTGAACAATTCAAAAATTTAACTATTATCCAACAGAACATGCAGCTTACCAACGCCAAACTCATCCTACTCGCTGCTGCCATTAGCGGCGCCGTTGCTGTCCCCCTTCACACCGAGGTAAGTCGCCCCTACCATTTCTTATCGACTGGCTTCCTGATTATACCTTTCCTAGCCTTCGAACGTCGAAGCTCGTGAACCTCGCGCACCTCCCCGCCCCGTCGTCCACGCCGAGACCCACAACTCCGCACACGGCAAGCGCGAATTCGACGACGACCTCGAGATCCGTACACCCTTCGGAATCATCAGAGGCGCAGCCCGCGCCTTCCGCCATCTCGCGTCAGGTGGACTCCAGGGCCGCGAGTTCGACGAATTGGAAGAACGCGACCCGCACGGGGGCTTCGGAAGAGGACTCGGTCGGGCTGCGCGTGCTTTTGGACATGCCGCGGTGGGCGCGTTCACTGGTCGGGATTTGGAAGATGTCGACAGCTTGGAGGCACGCGAGCCTCGGGGCAGTGGTAACCACGGTCACCCCACCGGCAAGCGTGACCTGGAACGCTTATTGGAGCGCGAGCCTCGTGGTAGTGGTAGCCACGGCCATCCCACTGGAAAGCGTGAGTTAGAGGCACGCGAGCCTCGCGGCAGTGGTAACCACGGCCATCCCACCGGCAAACGTGACCTGGAGGGCTTATGGGAGCGCGAGCCCCGTGGAAGTGGTAGCCACGGTCATCCCACCGGAAAACGTGAGTTAGAGGCACGCGAGCCCCGTGGTAGCGGAACTCACGGCCACCCCACTGGCAAGCGGGAGTTGGAGGGTCGCGAACCTCGCGGCAGTGGTAACCACGGCCATCCCACCGGCAAACGGGAGTTGGAAGAGTTCTGGGGACGTGAACCTCGTGGAAGTGGCAACCATGGTCATCCCAAGCGCGAGTACGACGATTTGGAGGATTTTTGGGCTCGTGAAGAATTTGGAGGCTTTGACGAACTTGATTAAGGAGCTTTTGTATATGTAACACGGTGAAATAATTCCAGGTGGATGTTACATACCGTAAAGTGTCAAATTGTCGCTTTAAATCTTGACGAGTAGCTATAATGGAAATTTCGTCTGAATCATACAAGGCTATAGGGGAAGACGAGGATAGGGGCGCAATTTCCTAATCCAACCACCCGGCCCGCCATCCCGCCAGGTACGCGTTTCCCCACATTGATGCCCCAGCCTCCTTAGGCCCGCCCACTGGCACTCGAGTCCCATGCAGCTCTGCCTCGTCGACAACGACCCCACCGCGACCCTGCTCGTCTCGTCCGACGGCGAACCCATGTACGCAATCGAGACGCCGCCTCTCCCGCACGCCACCTACGACAGCCTCCCTGCGCGCCGCCGGCCCAAGTCGAGCACGACGACGGTGAAGCGTCTGAGTCGGTACCACCAGGTTAGTGGGCCGGTGGAAAAGGCGGTGGGTGTCGTGGAGTATCTGGGGGAGGGAGAGGGGACGTGCATGCAGCTCTGTACGGATAGCGATGAGCATGAGATGAAGATTGGGCCGTGTCGATCGGCGAGGGCGATTGAGGATATGCCAGTGGGTGAGGAAAAGAGGGAGGGCGATCAGGATAACTCGGAGGAGAAGTACGTGTTCCCTCGTGTGTTTCGACGATGTCATAATGAAGATCTAGCTCTTGGGTGTTCATGGGCCCCGATTCACGAAAGTACAAGTGGCAACTGTTCCTCTACTCACCTGTGGTATGTCCCGATCTCCCTATCTAACCGTTTACGTTTCCAACATATTTGTTTTACTTCTTCAGCTCATGCTTGCGGACAACAGTCATACCCCACTGGCACGATACCGCCGTGCCAAACTAGGGATCGTGTCGCGTTCACGACGCGCCTTCCTCGAATCCTGCCTTTGGGACTGAACATCCTCGATCTCATCATCGTGACTTTCGTTGCGTTCATGAAGCAGCGTGTCCTTGTTGACGGTGGCCAGATCGGTTCTGTGCTAGAAGAGCACGTCGTTCCTTCCCCCAGTCCAGTCGTGATGCCGCCAATGAACACGCCATCTATGTCACCTGTGTCGCCAGTGGTTCCTCCTCAACCAAAATGTCTTTCCATGCGTGCTGCAAAAATACAGGCGATCCAGTCGCCTATTTTCCTTCATAAACCGCGGAAGGACCTTCCACATCGATATCCCTATCGTATGGCGCGTCATTTCTGGCTATCTCTCTATTATCCTTCAAGGGTTTGAGTTGTTTGTCAACTCCTGTCGTTGCTGTATTGCTTTCCGTTCTTCGTTCCGCTCTTGGCCGCAGCGGACCTAGCTTTGTAAAACTTGAATGTACATATTATAGAACGTCTTTCACTCACCTTCGCTGTCATCGTGCACAAATATTATATTGCTTGCTCCATTGAAGCTGTTCGACAAGCTTTGAGTCCGCTGCTTAGTTCGGTGGCTGAGTCTTTTTCTTACCTCGCAACGTTTGTGTCTAGCAGCAATCGGAGATAACCTCGAAAAAAATCCAATACGTATTGAGCCGGACGAAGTCGCTGGCAAGTGGAAGGGTGAAATGCTTTCATTGTCAACCACCGTACAATACACAATCACGAAAGGTGATAATCCTTGACCTCGACTCCAACATGCAGGTGACGGGTGAACGGCTCCCTGCTCTCGATCTGCAAACATTCACCCAACCCATCAACACCCGGGACTCTTCTTCCGAACAAAACAGCGGACTTGCTCACCTCAAACCCGTCCTCCCTAGCTTCCAGCTCATCGACTAAGTTGTCCCATTCTCTCCCCTCCAGCTCCGATGAAAATCCAGCGGCGAGCCTGCGCAAATAGATAGGATGGAGCGAATGCTGTCTGTATCTTGCCATTAGGACGTGAACGTCGCCGTCACGGGCCTGGTTGTCGACAGCCAGGACGCCAAAGGATGGTTGAGGGTTCAAGGGGCGCAGATTTATGGGCGACGCGGTGACCGCAGCCATTCCGGTGAAGAAAAGGATTGAGGAAACGAGGGTAATTTGCATTCTTATCTCGTCGTTCTTTCTGAGTTGTGCGTTTGATTTATTTGTGATTCAGGACCAGCCTAAACCTACAAACAACAGCTACATGACGGATAGTGAGATGGCCGGTATATAGCGAGAGGGACAAGGAAGACGTACTGCAGCAGCGGTTGTTGTGAGGGCTCCGGGCAAGAGAGGTGGGCAACATCGGAGAGTCACATTTATAGCGATCAATCTGTCATCATAATTCACTGCCACACATTCCACCGCTCTGGTCTGCGCCAGGTCCAACCTGGGTCCACCGTTTGATCTTCATAGGTATACGCGTAGAGAGTCTTGGATAGCGTTGTATGGCGGCGATGAGCACCAGAGAAGACACCAGAACCCCTGAGGAAGACCAAAAGACTCAAGAGCAGAGAAATGCGGATAGCAATACAAGTTGCCGGAGATTGGGACTTGGTGAGCTGTTTTTGAAGCCTTGTGGTCAGATTAACCAAAGACAGCTTCCTCGTGCATTAAGGCTGTATGAGGAGAATATAATCGCCTTCCTCCTGGACATGGTTGTCGAAGCCTAAGGATGCACACGTTCAGACGGCCCGGGAGTTGCCGGTTGTGCCGGATCACATCAGTTCACGTGCATGCTTCACTTCTACAACAAACCGCCAGTCTCTGCACAGTGCAGAAGAAATCAATGGCAGGCTCGGGTCAGTCCCTTTTGCGTCTATTATCTTCCTTCTTGTGTTCTTAACTCAAGAAGCCCAGCAAGGGTACTAGAGTCCAGCGGAATCCCCTTCGTCATTTTCGGCGAGGACGCATTGGCTTTTGTCCACTTCGTCCCAACAGTCTTGTTCGACCTCACAATTCTGGTTCCATGTGATCTTGTCCAGGCTGCCGTCGGAAGGAACTCCCTCAGTATCAGGTTACCCAGGAGAGGAGTTACCAACTGTTGAACGACGGCGTGTATGCACTTCTCCGTGCAATGAGACTCCAATGGGACGGCGCGATAGAGAAGCCAAACCACTCACCAGAGGCGATACTCATCGTTCCTCAATCCCATTTCCACTTCGACGTCAGAAAGGAGACGCGATCCCGGGGTCTCATTCCGCCATTCGACTCGAGTGATTCACGAATCCGTTTTCCGACAATGCCAGCCTTCCTCGACGCCATTATCGACACCATGTTCGAACCGGTGGACGGGGTCAATCACCTCGAATTTCAACGTTCGCGACGAAAATGGAGCCACCGATCCAGACACAGAGGAACTGCTGCCAGCTGCAAAGGCATTACTCGAAGGCCTCAAGCCGGGAAATATAGCCTATCTGGATACGTTCATACGTACTGGCTCAACGAGGATGACACCCGAATTGAGAGCGGCACGCGAGCGGCACCGTCTTTCTCAACCTCTGTAAGTCTCTCTTGTGCAAGACCGGCGATTTCTGATTTCCATTCTCCCAAGTAAAGATAGGCTGACACCGCCCTACCAACTTCTGAGTACCGGGTCTCGCGGTTTTCAAGGACAACGCCCAGTAGCTGCCGGTCCAAGTACTGCCAGTCGACCCCACTCTCGCTCCTTTACGCAATACTGGGGACAAGCGCCTCCGGCCCTTCCTTTTCGGTTAATCCTCCGCATCCTCCAGACAAAGAGACTTCTTCCCAGATAATTGTTGAACAATGTCAATCATCACGGTACCTCAATCTGAAGAAACATCGGCGAACGATAATCCCCTGAAGCTCAATGCTCTTTCATCTCATGCACCGCTGGGATCGAGGAAACGAGCACAAGCTGCATTCATATCTCGTCGTCCTTTCTGATTAGTAGTTGTAAGTGTTTCTTCGTGATCTAGGACCAGCCTAAACGATAACAAAACGTACGGTCAGACGGCGTATAATTCCCAAGACGAGGAAGACCCACCGTGGCAGTGGTTGATGTGAGGGCTCCGGACAAGAGAGGTGGGCACCGTCGGAGGGGCTTATAGCAATCATGTTTCAGAAACACGAAGAGCAGGACTCGGTAAGCCTTGTGGCTATTTACGGAGCCCAGATATGTTCAAGGAAAGTATACTCGTGCGGCAAGAGGCTGTATGAGGAGATTTTAGTAGTCTCATGAGGACCCGGAATTTGCCGGTGCCTAGGCCGGTTGAAATTTGAAGTCCATCCGCTCACGCCTCTTCTTAACTTCACATCTCGCATTCTCCTGTCTAGACAACTACAAACGCGTTTCATCGCCCTCCGGGGTTCTTGAAGGCACCTTAAGCTCCAAGTTCAGTGTTCAAACCGTTCTGTTCCGCAGAGCCTCGACCGCACGCCGACACAGCCCGATCCGCTCATTCGAGGCTGGGCTCGAGCTCTGTGTCTGGACCTCCTTCGACGGCGCTCAGCAGAAAGGGGCTTTGACCAATCTGCGCGCAAACGACTCATCATCTTTGTTGCATCTTTCTTGGATATCTAATCGAGTTGCATCCCGACTCTCTCTCGGCCTCCTGTCCAAGCCTGCTTGTTCTCGAGCATGTGCCCCTCGCTGAGGGTGCTTAAAAGCGTTCGAAATGGAAGCCGATAACCTGCAATTATCCTCACCGCATAAACCACGAACTGCTTGGTGGACTATCCACTACACTACCCCACACTACCATGCACCTCTGCCTGACGTCACACGAGCCTTGGAATAGCAATTACTGCACCGAAAAGGGGCAGGTGCTCTACAAGGTCGTCTGCCCGTCCAAGCTGCGCTCCCAAACAGCCGCGATATGGCGCGCGCTGCCCGACCTCAAGCCCACCGATGAAGGCGTCCTCTGGGCAGAGCGGCACTCCTTTCACTCCCCTACCCCGGAAGAGAGCACCACACAATCCCACTGCTCCTCGCACAGTACCGGCGTGGACAACGATTTCGAGATCCACGAAGAGAGCCGGAGGAAGTCGTTCGAGTCGCACGACCACGACTTCCAGTGGGGAACTCCGCCCCCGACGCACGAGTTCCTGGATAAGCTGTCACAGGAGTCGGAGAAAGAGTTGAAGGACAATTTCGTGAAGCTCGCTGAGATCGACTTTCATACGATTTCGTCGACGCATATTCGGTATATGGGTGAAGAGTGGAAGACGAACGAGTTCTTCCGGAAAGAGGGATGGGGCTGGTATGGAAGGTAAGCCGTTCTCGCAGGTCTTCGAACGCGCGCTGACTCTTGTGCAGTAATCGTATATTCACCGGCTCCGATGGGAAGGAATACAGGTGGAAAATGGGCTCGAGCGTCTCCGAGGTACGTCCTTTCCCATATAAAGTCCTTCTATACGCTGATGCCCCTTCCCCAGCTATTCCTCCATGATACCGCCCACGACACCACAAAACACGACAGCAAGACCCACGTCCCGCTCCTCGTCGCGCGATTCCACGACCCCCAAGTCTCAATGTACCAGAAGAGGCGACCCGCGTCGCTCGAGATCTTCCCCGTCGGCGAGCACATGGTCGAGCTGATCCTGATCACCTTCATCTACATCGAGAAGATGCGCACGGACAGGCAGAACTCCGCGGTGCGGTCGACGCGCATCGTCACCACGCCGAACGGCACCAAGGTTGGATCGCCCACGGCTGCGGCTTTCGCGTTGGCGTAAGGGTGCTTCTGGATTTATTCTATTCTTATAATTTTGGGCGCCTGTTTATACACGATCTGGAATACTGCTGGACTCGATTACTTTGTTTCTTAAGATGGCCCGGTGCTTATATCCCTCGTATTACTGTACTAATGTATTAATTGATGTTTGTACAATTTATAACCACTCCTCGACACTAGTCCCTACCTCTGTGTCTGAAATTTGAATGTGCGGAACGTTGAGGCTTTGATATTCCCTTTGTGTGGGGCCTTGGAACAATCGTAAATGAGAAACACAATGCTCGAGCGTTTTACTTCGTACATAACTCGCAGTTTGAATTTGAGCATTTGAGCGCTGGTCCGCTTGCCCTACGGGAAAACCTCGGTGATAGCCAGGACCAATGAACTTGTCATCCGGCGCCAATGTGCACGTTGCATTCCCTTGCTATCGAAGAATCGAGACTCTGCCAACCTATTTGTATCACATAAACATGAGGCACCGGGGCCCAAAATAATCCTCGGGGCTGCTGCGGTGAACAAGGAAGGAAGCGAAATTCCTCTAGAGCACGGCACAAGTTCGACTCCTCGTAATCACTTCTGATAGTATATCTGTCAAGAAATTGAGTATGTTGTTTCAATCGTACAATACGCCATTGTTTCGCATGTAGTAGCAAAAGGTTCTCGCGTATTCTGTACATGGCACTGGCAGACAATTGCAAGTTGGAATTCCAAGCCCGTTGCCTGAGCGCTTATGATCAAGTAGACCTCGATCCCAGCGCCTAAACACGTCGTTGATCGATGTTGACGAAACAAGCCCTGTTTTACCGTCACCTCAACTAACTTGCGTTATACACCATCCTGGCACTAGCCTACAGAGTTATAGAGCTCAGGAAGCTTTCTAAACGCATTCTCTCTAATCACCCCAATTTCCAAGTCCCATTCCTTGAGACAACCCTCACAGAAAGCAAGATCGTCTAACTTCGCTCTGAAACCCATGATAGACCTTGTCGCACCGAGCAGGTCAAGGTCGAATAAAAGGGATCGGTAGAGGTCAGATATGCTCGCTTGCATGCACGCGGTGCAGCGGGAATCTGCGGGCTCGTTCCTGCAGTACCACAACGAGGACATTACCGTCTCCTTCAACCATTTAAGCGCCCTCGTTCGGCGTTAATCCGATCCTCCTGGGAGACAAGTTCCCATCGTGCTCCGATCCCGATGGAAGGAGTTGCCCGTTCTTCGTAGCTGGCTAGGGGGTCGCGGCAGGAGAGCTCATAAAGCATAAGAGGCGAGAGCATGCCTAAGCCGAAGACGCGAGCGAGGCGGATGGCAGAACCAGGCTCCGGGAATCGGGAAGTGAGATTTTGGTTATTGTTGAGTATGGTGTAATGGTGTCTTTTGTCGTCCCATTGGCGTAATTGAGTAGGCCAGTCCTGCTTGACGCGGGCGATGATCTTCTCCTTCAGTGGTTCTATCATGAGCATGTCCGCGAGTCTGAATACGCCGAAGAGCTTGAAGGCGACGTCAGGCTCCGTGTCTGCTAGGTATTTGTTACTGCTGACAGATCTGTTAGAAGAAATGCAAATGGCGCAAACATGAAACATACAACGGCTGGTAGAAAAAAGACAGGAAGATTTCCATGTCTTTGGGGTCTTCGTTGAACCGTACGACCGGTGCTCCGTCGTGCATTTCGTTGGCGGCGTCAGCTTGTGGGAGGCCGAGCATGTCTTCTATGACGGAAGAATGCGAGGAGAGGAAAGCCTGGTGAATGCGGAAGAGGGTAGCGGGCCCATCGTCGCTTGGGCAGGCTACAACGAGATTCCCGTCAGGATAATAAAGAGTAGGGTGGCGCTGAGCGTTCTCCATGTTGTAGGTGGGTAGGGAAAGAGCGGCAATCGACCCAAAGTCGACTCAAGCTTTTTGAATGTCCTCCAGTGGCACCTGGCACCCGACACCCCGATGCCGACGCGTACCTGGCTGTCCATCTCCTGAAGCGACCAAGATCAAATACCCAACCCATAGAAGGGTGGTTAAGGATGACAATGAATGCAATTGTGATGCTGGAGGCAAGTAATGCACATGCGGTTGAAAACAAAGAACAAAGGAAGAGAACCGTAGCCGAGGCATGAGACTGACGCGAGGCTCGAGACCTACACAAATCGTATCTGATGATTTTCCTCCATCTCATCGTCGCCCTCCTCTCCCGCCACTCCACCCTCGTATTCCATCTCCGCGTCTGCGGCCAAGGTGATCTTCTGGACATGCTCCTTCAACACGGCGAGCGACCACCGCTTGACGGTCGAACGGTCGACTTTCTTTTCAACGGCTCGCATGGCATCTGCGTTCTCCTCCTTGACCGTCAAAGCGAGTCGACGGTGCTCATCTTGCAGTTTCTTCGACTCATTATTTGAAAGGGGTTTCACATCTGCGTCGGGCTCGATCTTTGAGAATTGGTCTTTCTCCGGACTCCTAGACATGTAGTCAACGGTTTTTTTCCGGATGTCTTTGTCTCTGGGTGAGCGGCGAATTTGCTGTGATCTGGGTGGCGATTGCAGGGCGGGTTGGCTCGACGGCTCCGGTCCCTGCTCCGGCTCAAATTCATCATCAGCTTGCAGCTGCTCTTCCTCAGTCACATAAAAGTCATCATAGTCGTCATCCGCCACTGGTACTGGCGCTGACGCAGGGGCAGGGAAATCAGCAGGCAGTTCGATGGGTTCGACAGCGGGTTGGCGGGTAGCAGGGGTAGGTGACGGGTTGGTCGATGGCAAGTCAGGCTGGCGCTGCATCCTAGCCTTCTTTTGGGTATATGGGACGAAAACCCCACTTACTCGGCGGCTCTCTCGCGCGAGCGCTTCCTCCTTCCGGCCTTGTCGAACGAGTCTCGCGTACTGACCAGCACGCGAGGTATTAGGCGGCGAGTAGTCCGACATACGGTCATTCTCGCCAGGCGGGGTAGGTTTGATAGTAAGGCTTCGACGAGGGCCGCTCTTCCTCGGCGCGTTCCTCGGGCTGCTTGCAGCCGACGGAAGCTGGCTCTGGGCAGGGGGGACAATGCCCTCAGGCTCCTGCTCTTCGTCCGTCCCAGAACCCATCTCTATATCCATGTTATGGATGAAGAGGTGTGGCATCGCCTCGTGCAGGGCCCGCTCCGCAGCCTTCATCGATGCGTTCAGCGACTCCAGCACAACTCGCGTTTTGTCTATGCAACCTGTCTCCCTATACGTCTGTTCGACCACGCCCTTTGAGAACCCATACTCGTCTCCCAGTCGGTGTAGATTGCTCTTGAAAAGCGCGAAGAGAGTATCCTGCGTCCCACTGAGTCCTGAGTGTACGTCACTCCGACGAACGACCGCACTTGAGTCTGCAGTCACGGTGGATGAACGCGAGCGACCTCGGCTTTTACGCAGGGCGTGCATGCTCTCGCGTTTGAGGTCAATACGACGAGGCGTCTTCTCAACTGCACGTCCTTTGCCTTTGGACTCAGTCCTGGCGGACTCGAAAACGTCCTGAGGTGGTGGTTGAGGAGCAGCGTTGGACGTCTCCGGAAGCTTAACTTTTGAGGACGAGGCAACAGGGAGGACCTGTGCGGGTAAGCGCAGATGCCCAGGCTTCCGAGCGGCAAGTTGTTGTGTCTGGGAAGGGGGATCCTTCTTTAGGCGCTTCGGGGGCCACGCTTTAACATCGTTCGAGACTGTACGAGGGCGCTTGATCGTGGTTCGGAACGGGCCCTCGATGTACGTAGGCGGCGCTCCTCTCGTCGTCGGTGCAGGCCGACGAACGTTAGGTGACGATGGTGGTGTTTCGAACGGGTCGTCATCCTGAGCTGCCTTGCGCTTGACCTTCTTCGGCTGCGGCAACACGCGAATAGGCGAAACAGCGTCGGATTTGGGAGGCGTTGGCTCTTGGGATGGGATGGGTAAGGGCATTTGAGGCTCCTTTCGTGGTTGCGAGGCCACAGAGCTGGAAGGCGACGTTCTTCCCGACCTGTGGACGGGTTCAACATCGATAGTAAACACTGCGGCCACAGACACGCACCTCTGCGGTTCCTCGCTGTCATCGACAAACGAGCCAAATAGCTCGCGCGTGTAGTCGTCACTTCCTACTGGCCCCTCCTGCTCGTCTTCAGTCTGGCTGTCCTCCACGACCTCCTCCTTGGGCTTCGGGGGTGCCTCAGCGCGTTGCTTCACAGGGAGTGCCTTCGGCTTGTTGACCTCGGGCTTCTTCGCCAACGGACGCGCCACGTCCTTGCTCGAACCCGCTCCTGCATTCTTCCCAGACCCCTCTGCTTGTCTCTTCAACTCTCGCTTGATCTTCCTGTCGAAGTATTCTTGGTTCTTCTTGTATCGTTCCCGCCACGACGACCAGGGATGCCGCTTGGCCCATGGCCATTTTCCAGATGTCTTGAATCAAAAGTGAGCACCATCTCGGACGAGTTCATTCCTCACTCACATTCTCCTGCAAGTTTTGGTACAGTTTGTTTCCCTGCCGGCCTTCGCCTCTTGGGTTGTGTTTCGCAATGTAGCGTATTAGATTTTCGTCGTCCGACTCCGTATACGCGTTGCGGCTGGTAGAGTACGTCATCAGTCACTTGTTGAAGAAAAAGAAACAGACTTACACCGCCATAGTTGTGGAAAACGGAATTCAAAAAGTATCATGCCCAATTCCTGCCCTCTGGGACTCTTCAGGTCAACTTCCCACGATACCGTGATCACGTGAATATTCAGAAAGCAACGTGACCGCGACATCTTTTAATTTAGGGGCTCGTCAATTTCTTTTATTCTAATTTCGATACCAGCTCTAGTGACTTGCACCTCACGGCACGAGTTCCGATGCATGAAATCACCTTTCGAATATTGATATTCCATATTCAACAGAAATACAATCACCCCAAAACCAAGATAACTCCTATGTGTGCCAATTGTACGCCTAGCAACTACTCAGTCTAAGTATTGAAGTCATCGCGAGAGTCCCACTCTGATTACTGATGCTATAAGGCTAGCAACATTTTACTGCATGTCTGCAAAGAATTGGGACAACCTAGAGAAGATGGCCGTTCGGAGCTCGCGGAAAACATAATCCCTTCCTTTAATGCATTCACGGCCACAGGCTCGCACAGGACCCCCCTCGATATTGAGGACCTCGGTACGTCCAATGTAATTTCGAAGGAGCATTAGTGGGTCAAATTTCAATGCAAATTCTTGATGAATGTCGTCCATACTCTCTGCAAAGAATTCGCTACATTCCGCACTTTGATCCTTCTGCCCACACTGCAATTTGTATTGAGACAAGCCGACGAATATGAACCTCAGAATGGCGCGACGACCTCTTTCTATCTTGTTTCTATCTTGATGGGATACCAGGACCCATCGTGCGCCCATTTCCACGTTTCCTTGAGCCTGGGGTTCGCCGTAATCGACAATGGGGTCTCGACACGACAGCGCATAGAACATGACTGGATTGAGCAGTGGCGGGTCTGAGTCGAAAGCCCGGGCAAGCCGGATAGCCGATGCAGGTTCAGGGTATGCGAAAGCGCCAACAGACGATTTGTTCTGTTCCCAAACGTCCTGCTTCTCATCCCATTCCTTCAAGGACCTTGGCCAGTCCCGCCTGAGGCGATCCACTATCATCTGCTTCAAAGCATCCACCATGAATTTGTCGGCTAGCTTCATTACGCCGAACATCTTGAATGCGAGATCAGGATCAGTGTCCTTTAGAGGGTTTGTGCTGCGCATTGAGACGAACCGCGATCAGGTCATTGTCAACAAGGAATATGCAGACGCACAATGGCTGATACATGAAAGATAAGAAGGTCGCCACGTCTTCAGGGCTATCCGGAAACTCTACGTAAGGTGCACCATCATGGTCTTGAGCACGATCGCCTTGAGGAATGGATAGCATGTCTCCTATAACTGAAGAATGCGCCGAAAGATAACTCTGGTGGATGCGAAAGAGCGTCGATGTCCCATCAGCTCCTCTACAAGAAATAACTAGATTGCCGTCGGGAAAGTAGAATTGAGGATGGCGAAGCTGGTCTGGCATTAATGATTGGGTTGAGGTCAAATTGAAGGAAGTTCAAGTTCAATCACAAAAGGTTGAAGCACAACAAGTAAGCCAAGAATGGCAACGATGATGTCATTGCCATTGTCTCGCTGGCGCACCTTGTCCAACACCATCATCATCGTAGAGACGACAATTGGTTTAGAGCGCATTTCCGGTAAAAAAAATGGACTAATGTAAGTCCTGGGCCTGAATATTTGAACATTCATAAGGCCTTTCCCATCGTTAACATAAATATCCATTTCCACAGGAATAACTTGAAATCGCCCAGCAGCTTAAGAATGCTACGAGTCCCTTCGATGGGGTACTGTCCAGCAAGTGTTCCCCGTCACGCGAGGGTTCAAATTTTACTCTATAGGAATCTCAGCATGAAAGGATGTTTAGATGACGAAAGCCAAGACCTCGACTAGAGTAAAAGATTGCTAGTGGAGTAAGTACAGCAAGCCACCAATGCTGGTGATGGGTTCTCGAGTTTGCTGACGGCCAGGCAGCAAGGTAAGAATTAGCTCTGGAATGGAACTGAAAGATCATTCTCAACGCTGAGAGATTCTATAAAGGATTTTGATTATCCTCACGGTTGGTCCCAAAATATAAACCAAGGTTGCCGCCACATGCAAACTTGGTTCAACTCGGAGTTCGTCGTGCAAAGCAGAGCACGCCATTCTCGTATTTCTCGAGCGTTCACAGCCATCTCGTCCATCCTGTGATTTTTTGAGGCCTATAGTAGCACATGGGAGGCCTCGGAACAGCAATGACCTTCCCGAGGACGTCAGCTCCATGGATCGAAGCGCCCTTACATCGCTCGTAAGCACCTCTAGCAGGAAAATTCCTCCCCCGAATTCGAGAGCCCTCGATGCCAAGACAATGTCTCTGCGTCATCGCTGTTCATAAGACGCCAACTGCGCCACGGGCAGGCGTGTTCTTCGTCAGTTATGATACCAAGTAAGTAACTATCGACATTTTCTCGAACTCTCCATCGACGTTTTATTCTCCAGTTAAATGTGCATATGCATTGTACTTTATCCGAGGATTTGCATTCGCCGGTGTGAAATACACGACTCCTGAGGACTGTCACTACTTCTCGCCGATGCAGCGACGCTTTTGATTAAGCTTCTGCCAAGAAACGAAATGAGGCGTGCAATGCCCTTTCACGTCTTGCTATCTGGAGCGAGTACTCATTTCCGGTCTCTACTAGGGTCTAATGGATCAAATCTACGCGCTACATCGTCAATCTGCGGTCTTGGCATTGAACTTCTTTTACGGTACCTTCTCAGGTGTAGGCGCTTCTTTATAGGACTGCGCTCTATATAAGAGCTACTCGACGTCCACCGCCGCTGTCCCAACGTGCTTTCCACCCACCACCACTACGCCAAAAATGTCGGTCACATGCTCTGAACGAGACCCACTTATCGAACGCGCCTCGGTTTCCGCGTTGTCCTCGCTGACGAAACGCGCCGTCTCGAAGTACGGGCTCGACCTCAAGTCACCAACACAGTCATTGTCTCAACCGCTTGGACCTCTCGAGATGTCCAGCAGAGCGAGACATGGCATCCTCGCTGGTATCTGGCTTGCGCAGTTCCTCTCTGTAAGTTTGAGCTTCCTCGACACAGTTATCTTTTCTAAAAATAGGTTCTCATTTTATTCATAGGCCTTGAATCGTTCGTAACCCGTCGACGATTCTATCCTTGTTAAAGCGCCCTAACTCTCATGTTTTGACAGTAACGTTAGTGCCTACGAGTCAGTGAAGTTCTCCTATTCACTTTTTCACATCGAAGCCGACCAACGTTCCCAGTGCTTCCTGAAATATCTTCGGAGTTCCGTAAATCCAACGAGGCAAGTTGGGTAGGCACATCGTAAGAACCACATCGTTTGCATGATTAACATACCGATCGTGATTATCTGGGCAATTTTCCCGCAGGTACCTCCTCGCTACTTGCACGTTTACCCCTCTCTACGGACGATTGAGCAACGTCATGGGTAGAAATGGTGCAAATCAATCCGCGGTCCTATTTGCTCTCTTCGGTATCTTATCATGTGGGCTGTCGAATAGCATGCAAATGCTCGTCATCTCTCGTTTCGTACGCCACATCTCTCCCATGATCACCTTCTTGGCCGGCAGCTCATTTCATGTTTTTTTTTGCAGATATCTGGCATGGGTGGAGGTGGAATTTTTACGACCTCTTCGTGAGCTACACCCTTCACATGTATCGTTATTCGTAAACTCACTATTCACCAGTATAATCACGAGTGACATGTACACCATGCGCGTAAGTTGGCAATTACACTGCAAACTGACGGCCAAGACGAGAACTGATATGCAACTGATGTTGTTAGTCTCGAGGATTCGTTCAAAGTATAGGAGGCATCTTCTATGGAGTAAGTCGGCCAAGAACCTATCGCCTATTCATTCGATAATTAATCCCTTTATCAGCTTGGTATGGGCCTCGGCGGCCCAGTCGGCGGGCTTATCACTGACTGGCAAGTCACTAGTCGTGTTATCCTTCTGATTTAATCACATCGAAACGATCAGGCTAGGGTGGCGATGGGCGTTCCTCATCCAGATCCCGCTGTTCGTGCTTTCCTGGGTGCTGACAACGTACAACTTGACATATGTCATACCGGTGGGTTTACGTCGCCATATTTTGCGGGAATCAATGCTAACTTCTCCCCAGGGTACAGGCAGGGGCACCAAAGAGGTGCTAAAGCGGATCGATTATGGCGGTAGTTTCAGCCTTCTCGGAGCAGTAGGTTTCCTGTTGCATTAGCCCTATTTCCCTATCTGACTGGCTTCTTGCCTTCCTAGGTCGGTCTTCTGTTAGTCTTCTTGAGCGTTCGATTCAACGAAGGGCTCGAGGTAAAGCCTATCCCCTCCTTTCGCCGTTCGAGTACAACTGGCTAATGCAGAACCTCCGAAGTGGTCCGAACGCACAGTCTGGATGTCTTTACTGGGATCGATTTTCTTTGCGATTCTCTTTATCGTCATTGAGATATATGTCGCGGTTGAACCCGTCCTACCGCCTTATCTGCTCACCCAGAAAGTGCCAGTCCTCGTCGGTTTCAGCAACGCACTCGTCGCCGTTTGCAACCTCTCGGTAACATACTACTTTCCGACTTGGTTCCAAACTGTTATGCTCTCGTCGGCGTCTACGGCAGGTGCATTTGCCCTTGCACATTGCTAGAGCCTTTCTGATGTTCAAACCTAGGGTTGCACTTATTACCCAACAGTATCTGTATTTCCAGCGGGTCTTTCTTTGCTGGGTGTGTCTTTATTAAAAACACTGTCATTCTGTTGCTGAGGATTTACCTCCTGCCCCAAAGATGGACGATGAAGAGGTATGGATGCTACAAGTCCCTGAACATGATTTTCGGAATCCTGCCATTCTGTGCCGCGGTCCTTATGACGCAAATGAAGGAGACGTCTAATTCAGCTCATCTGTGGTTGACGATTGTATGCAGTTCACACATAAGTAACTCCCGTTCTTGGTTGTCCTCACCCTCATCGTAGATGCCACTCGGCTTCGGCAACGCGATTGTTCTCCAGACCATGTTTAGTAAGCATCACATTTTTTTCTGGCTAAAGTCTTACCAACGGTGTTTCAGTTGCTTTGGTGTCACACCTGCCCGAATCGCAGATGGCTGTTGGAACGGGCTTTGCACAACTGTTACGCGGGTTAGGTGGGCCCTAACTCGCTATTTGTTCTTCCCCAAGTTGTTAACCCTTGCTTGTAGGCCAAGTAGGCGGGCTCGCCCTCGCTTCTGCGGTCTTCCAGTCTCGTCTCAACACTGAGCTTCATAAGAGCTTCCCGAATGGGTCTGAAGAGGTATTTTGTCCCTCACCACCGTTTGCATCTTCTCTGATCATGACCTTTCCCTCACCAAGCTCATCATGAAGATCCGGCATTCCGTGCGCTTAGTCGGGAGTCTTCCTCCTGATACCCAGCGCTTGGCTAGAGATGCATACGCCGCGAGCTTGAAGTCCGTCTTCATCCTCGCCGCATCTGCGTCGATTCTTGCGTACCTTGCGCGTTTACCGGTATGCACCTCGACTGGTCGCGCCTGACTTCTTTTAACGTTCCTCCCAGATTCCGGACAAACGCCTAGAAGACTCCGTACCCAGGACAAATTCCCTCGATTCGGAAGACTCTTCGTCTGACATGGGTCCACATGTGGAAGAGATCAGGGATGACGAGGACAAAATTGTGCGGCCGGGGTCGCAAAGAGGAGTTGCATAATGGTCGTCTTGAACTTAGTCGGGATATTCAAGGAGAACTTTCTTGCATATCTATTATTTATCCTACGTCGGAGCTTAGAGCGTGAATGATTGCCATTGGTTGGCATATTTTCTTGTGACGTCACCTAGGCGTCGTTCTTTGACGATTTTGGAGATAATTGCCACATAAGGGAGTCAGCTTAATTAGGCATGGTGCCTTTCAACCAACCGTCCGTGCTGCCATTTGAATAGGAAGAAAGTATTTGTTATGCGAAGGTATTGTCCTCGATAAAGGGTCACAGCCCTGACAATCAATTTGCATTGACACATCAAAGACATTGTGCGTTGAATGAAGACAAAGCGACCTCGCCTGGACCCCCCATTATAAATGTGCCTGCGCGTGGAATCTCCTCTTCACACCACTCATCCCACTTCCAATAGCCTCTCGCAACTCCAATTTTTCGACTGCAAGAAAATGCCGCCCGTATGTTCCATTTCCTGTTTTGTTCTTCCGCACGAACAAGGAGACTGACTGCATTCCGACTGAGACAGAAGAAAGATTCAAAAAGCCGATCCAAGACCAAATCAAAGAAGAAAGCCGCGTCGAATAATCTTGACAAGGCAGCCAGCACCGCTCCACCCCCCAGTGAACTCCCACCGAACGAATCACCCCCCAAGAAGCGCCAGAAGATGAACAACCGAGACGATGTTGGTGCGTAAATAGCGCATACATCTCAACTGTGAAACTTACGTGCTTCCCGTATCTAGAAGACGTTCCAGAGCGTGTGCCCACCTTGAAATTAGCAGGAACGTTCGACCTGTACGCGATGGAACTCTCTTTCCTCAACACCGTCTACGCCCCGGAGGACAATGACGGGAGCTTCTTCTCCGAGGAGCTCTACCTCACTCTCCTCGAGTATCAGGCCAAGAACGACAGGACCGCCAAAATCACCATCCCAGACGCATACAGCCAGGGTGCGAACGGGACATTCCGCTCGAACGCCCTTTGCGATCCGATGGAGGACCTTCCATTCCATATCGGCATCACTGACATTCAGGAGTGCGATGGTACTGAACTTAAGATGTCGCTCGACTATGGGCGTCCGAAGGAGGATTGGGTCGGGAAGGGATTGCAGGCCGCCCTCGAGTTGGACGACCCGTACGGGTGTTCTGGCCATGGCACGTTCAGGATGCGGCCTTTGTGGAAGAAGACGACACCATCGGGAGTGGTTATGGAGCTCTTTGAGGGGATATTTTCTTTTGATGTGATTTACGGATCACTTTATAGGCGGAAGGGCCATGGAGACGGCATAGAGTGTCCTGACATTCCCTTCTGGGGTATTCGCGCAGAAGAAAAGTGATCCCAATGCGCGGAATTCTATTTTTCCTTATCTATGTAAGCTCCAAATCAATTTTGTAAAAGTTAGGCAGCTCCGCGAAAAGAGAGTCACGTAACTGCCTAAGCGTTTCGTCCCAATATGCCGCGCAACTTTCACAGAAGGGGTATGGACAATCTGGCGTTAATTCTGGGCTGATGTTTTGCTGCAAGACTTTGAAGGGGTCGGATCCTGTAAAAATCCTGCATTGCATAGCAGATGAAAGTTGTTCATAGTATCCGTTGCATACAACCATGTCGTACTCCGAGTGGATCTTGGGGCAGCGTTCATTGAGCGTAGGCAAGCGGGGGTGAAGCCATTGTTGTAGGCGCTGACAACCCATTTCCGCGCAATCCTTATCTCCCTGTTGAATGAGCTCCCAACGAGCACCAGGCCCTCGCTGTAGGTGCGGTTCAATCTTTGCGCCATGTCCCATGAAGGGATCTTGCCTGGAAAGCTCAAAAAACAAGACGGGTGTAAGGAGACTGGGGTCAAAGTGGCGTGCTGCACGGATGACTGAGCATGGATCGGGAAAGGGTATGTCGTTGTCGTTCCAAACGTATTTCGACGGTGCCGGATAATGTTTCCACCTCCTTTCCTCCCAGGCAGCCAGAGTTGTCGGCCAATCTTCTCTAATGCGCGCAAGAATCTTCGCCTTCAGGTCGTCAACCATGAGCTTATCCGCCAGGCGTAAAACTCCGAAAAGATCGAAAGCAACATCGGGGTTGTTGGAACTTAAGCAGTTGTCGTGACTAAAAAATCGTTTCAGGGGCCAATAAGACGATATGAAGGTTGACGTACAACTGATAGAAAAGCGACAAAAACATAGTCATATCCGCCGGATCTTCATGTAAGTCTATCAGAGGCACGCCATCATGAGTTTCACAGTGCTCGGTAGGGTTTGGCAAGGTGAGCATGTCACGTATGACAGGGGAGTGGGCGGACAAGAAGCCTTGGTGAATCCGGAAGTACGTAGGAGTCCCGTCATTGGCTCGACAGACTATGACCAAGTTCCCATCTGGGTAGTACAAAGTAGGGTGATTGTGCGCGTCGGCCATACGGGGAGGAGGAGGAGGAGGAGGATGGAGGAGGTGTTGGATGATTGTGATGGTTTCAGTGGAAGCTAGATTGTATCTCCAACCGAGTGTCCCTCCCTCAGGCCTCAGGTGTTGGAGTCCTTTGCCCTGTATCCCTTGCACATGGCCGTCAGTAAAATAGGGATTTTCAATGAGATGGGATGTAGAATGTTGCGGGCTTGTCTGCTGGATAAACTTCTGTATGGAGGAGCAAGAAAATCACGAGTTTAGTGGATTCCGATTGCCCGAGATAACGACTCCGAGCATTCAGTTTCGAAGCAGATGCGTGGTCCTCGTCGAGCATCGGATGAATCATAGTGAAGTATATTCACGGTGCTATGTGCCTTCGAGCTGATTCCGCGTGGATTGGGGCGGGAGTTTTGGGCAAGAGGCTATATTTGAGGAATATTCTAATTACGAGAGGAGATCCAGGCTGCCTTCCTACGGCGCCTACTTGGCCTTAATCAGCGTGCAATGCTTGCCCCACTCTCCACGGAGATGGCACTACAACCCTTACGCTTTTGGAGGGCCTTCATCGCACTCAACTTCCTAAAATACCTTACAGGTCTACATGAGGATCGTCTTGCAAGGTGCGCTCTGGTGGACTCCATGACACTTGCCCTCGACAATCGTGCGTCATGGTACGGTGACCTGCAAACCGTGCTCACGAGGCTCAACGCACCGATGGAGGCTCCAGATGCATGGGCTTACCTACCTCAGGATGTAGAAAAAGCTGTGGCCACACTGAATACTGCCATGCTAGCTGAACTACAAGGTGCGATAAATAACTCCCCGAAACTATATCTATTACATGGCCTGAGAGAGAGGGGAGATGGTCTAAAAGTACTGGATTTCCGACACTATTTGCATGTACCAAACGCGGCCCACCGCAGGGCGATTACCCAGATCCTGCTCTCGTCACACTCCCTGGCCCTGGAGCGTCTCCGATGGACCGAACATCGCCGCCCTAGGATCCCCAGAGAGGACAGAAAATGCCGCATATGTAAGGAGGCTATTGAATCTCCGGAACATGCATTATTGGAGTGTCAGGCAGACGAGAACTTGACTACCTTGCGCAACACATTCATTGCCAAGTTCTACCAAGAGTGCCCCACAGTGGTCCGCCCCGGACAGGGCTCGAGTGCACACCTGCTTCAAGCTATGATACACGAGGAAATCTCTATCAAACTGGTAGCCAAGTTCACCTTTGAAGTCCTATCAATCTTCGAGGGTCTACCTATGTATATCCCTCCTCTCCTGGTACATTGGATATATCAATAAGGTTTTTGTAGTGAGGGCCTCCTGCCCGGTGATTCCTGTATCGTGAGGGCGGTCTTAAACGCGATGCGGCTTGATAGATACAAGGGCACAGGGCCCGGGACGGTACACAGTAAGGCTTGCCCGTGTACTGATAATCCCGGAAAACCGGTGTTCAGCGAGTGGACCATGCCGGTATACTACTACTACTACTACTACTACGAAACAATTCTATATGATTTTATGATTCGCCTGTAAAGCTGTCAAATGATCTTCTGTTTTCTGAACACTAGAAACTGCTGCAGAAATCGCGTTCTCTTCATGGACACTATAGTAGGGATTGGAGGGTTCCATCGTTTTCTGTCAGGGGAAAGCGAAAAACAAAGGTCAACAATGAACCACAAAATGAAGCACGCTAATTAGTGTGGGATTTCTACACTTTGTCCCACCCCCACGATGAGTCGACGCAACAATAACGTCCAAGGTCCAACCTCTGCGCTCACAGAGTTCTTGAAGGTACCGCGGACGCGAACATCGGTCGAAATGAAGACTAAAAATTGCCTTAGGAGCACGGAATCACCAGCACTCTGATTGCCAGGAGAGCCGCGACGCGACAGACGCAGGACGAAGCAGCACCGGCACCAGCACCAGTTGCTGGGCCCAGCAATGCACCAGCTGCTGCAGAAGCGAGCTCGAGCTCCAGGAGACGTAGGAGGACTACGAGGGTGCGCGTTTTGTCAGTTGCCTGACGGCCAGAAACTGACAGTGATCACAGGGGTCTGGGTACGCGTCGGATGAGCTGGACGAGCCTGAGAAGGAGGATGAAGAGGAGGAGGCCACACCCGCAAAGAAACGAAAGCTTTCCAAGGCTGCCGAGGCAAAATTAAAAGCAAAGGAGAAGAAGAAGCGCGGCGTGAAGGACAGCGATGACGACTACGAAGACGACGACGCGTACACTGCACCGTCCCGTGCCCTTGGACCCAAGCCTCCTGTCGGCAGTTTCGAGAAGTGTGCTACCTGCAACAAGCAGTTCACTGTCGTATGTTTGTGCATTTTCGTATGAGATTTTGTTGTTCTGATACCCATCTAGACAAAGTACACGATGGCGGCGAACTCGGGAACGGGATACCTGTGCCACCAGTGCGCAAAGGCAGGTGGACTAGACCCTTTTAAGAAGCCTGCTATTCCGAAGAAACGCAGGCCGACGGAGAAGAGGAATATCATTACGTTCGAGGAGAGACGGTTCCCGACGCTGGTCTCGCTCTGTATTCAGGTGAGTAGCCTGTTGTCCTTGGAAATTCGCCTTTAAGCTTTTAATATAGCTCATCACGAAACACATCGACGATGTCGAGGCTCTCGGAGATATTGGTGCAATGAACGTCGAAGCTATTTCGAAGGCTCTCTCGAAGAACCGTGGATTGTAAGTGTAATTTGCATCTTTTGTTTCTCTTACCGACGTCTGTCAGAACTCCACAGAATGCCCATCTCTTCTACAATCCCGCCAATGCATCTCTTACCTTGTTCGATGCGACCAACCTCCCGTCCCCGGCTCTTGAGACCCTCGCCTATCACAATGCGAACTTGGTTTCTCTGCGTCTGGATTTCTGCGGTCTTCTCGATGACAAGGCGTTTGGCGTGTTCAGCACCGGCCTCCCTTCTCTGACGCGACTCGAGCTCCTCGGCCCGTTCCTCGTCCGTTCACCTGCATGGCAGGCATTCTTTAAGAGCCACCCCAAGCTCGAAGGCTTCCTTATAACTCAAAGCCCACGCTTTGACGAGGCCTGCATCAAGGTACTCGTCAAGAATTGCCGTAAGATCACCGATCTGCGACTCAAGGAGATCGGAAAGATGAACGACGTCTTCCTATCCGAGATCAAGGTTCTCAAGTTGCGCCACCTCGACCTCGCGGACCCGAGCTTGTCCTGCAGCGAGAAGGCGATGATTGCCCTCTTGCGCGCCGTGGGCAAAACCCTGACGCACCTCAACGTCTCGAAGCACGACCTTCTGACCGATGGGTTCCTCACCAAAGGCCTGCAAGCGCATGCGAAGAAGCTTGACTCGCTCGTGCTTGCTCACCTTCCTGAGCTGACCGATGAAGGCGTTGGTGCCTTCTTCCAAGGATGGAAGGGCAACCCGCCCCTCCTCTCACTGGACATGTCCCGCAATGATCTCCTCGCAGGCGCGGCTCTCAAGGGCGTGTTCAAGCACTCAGGCCGGCGGCTGGAGGTGCTGAACATCAACGGGTGGAAGGACGTCCCTGAAGATGATCTGATGATTATCGCGCACGTTGGTACGGAGCTCAGGAAGGTGGATGTAGGCTGGTGCCGCGCGGTGGACGATTTTGTTGTCAAGGCGTGGTTGGAGGGCGAAAATCTACGTGGGGTGGTGCAAGGAGGCTGCAACCGCCTAGAAGAACTGAAAGTGTGGGGGTGTAATCGTGTCACAGCTGCTTGTCCTCGCAGGGTATGTTAATCATTTTCGTCTTTCGTTTTGGTGTCTTGCTCACAGCATTGTAGAAGGGCCTCGTTATCTTTGGGATTGAGTCACAGACGTCTACCTAAAATGTGTTGTACTCTATGTATAACACCCCCTTTTGGTGCAGATTGTATTTTTGGAATGTATGTATTGTGATTTGATAAACTGAATATTATTTAATTTAAGTTTTGACGCGTCGCGTTACGATCACGTGCTATGTGATCACGCGCGATAATTGCTATGTAAGCCGTCCTTACTTTGAAGATTTAGGCTCACACCATCTACGAAACTCAGACTTCATTTGTAAAAGGCTAATGTTTTGGAGCATCAAGCGATCTACCATGCACAACAGTAAATATTCCAAAGCTATTTTACTCCGACAGAACAGGATTTAATTTCTTCACTACCTCTTGCGAAGATAGGTACGAGCCATTGTACTGCATTATCTCTCCGTGTTTGACTCGATTTCGCCAATTTGCCGAAATCTCCTCGTGACGCGCCTGCTTGACCTGCTCGGGAGGCGGCTGCTTCTCCCACATCGTGGTCACTAGAACGGTTGGGATGTCGCGAATTGCCGAGTGAACTCTGGGGTGTTGTTTGATGAAGCTTTCGTACTGAGGGCCAGGCGGCTCGGTCATCTTGGGGGAGGTGATCGGGTATAGATAGATGATCCCTGCTAACTTCGCCCCTCGACCAGCTGCACTAAGGGCAGAAAATTGGTCAATTCGTCTGTCTTCTAGGCGAAAGTTAAGCTTACTAGTCAAGCCATCTCGTAATAGCAACCCCGGCATCATCGTCTTGTGTTTCGAGAGGAGGTGTATCGACGAACACGACGTCCTGGCCCTTCTGCCCGTCACTAGGTGAGCCGCGTACTGGAGTAACGGGATTGGCGTGTTTGGACAGTTTGTGGTGCACATGCACCGCGTCCTTTCTTGTAACGGTGTTGATGAACTTTAGACGAGTATCATGAGGGCAGAAAATGTGCGACGACGCTGAGCCGCATACCGTGCTTTTGCCGCAGCCAGAAGGCCCAACAACCCTTCGCAGTTATTGGTCATTATCTTGTTCGGCAATTCACATATGGACCTACAAAATCACTATATCGTTGGGAGAGACATCTTCACTTTCAGTTCGTCTCCAGTTGAAAAGCCTTCCAAGTCTTAACATCTGGGATAGATAGTGTACTAGAGAGCTGGAGGAAGATAGGGTGCGGTTCTGGTTGCGGAGATATCCTGGTCGTGAACGCCGTTTCAATCTCATCGATTTCATTACCACTGACATTGCCCACGTTATCCATGATGCTCATCGATAGTGAAGTACAAGAATTCACGTTGATAACGAATCACCCACGCTCCATGTTGGATAGCTGAGGAAGCCCTGTCAACCTCCGACACGCATTAACATCGTGGATTGGGCGTGGACGTCGCCTTGCACATTGGTATGACAGGGTTCTCTGTGGTCCATGACAAGAATTTAAACGAAAGCAGGTGCTATGGTCATTGGGTCATTGTACGCCAGTGATATGAGATCGGGGCCGTGGTATTGACGGGTAGCTGGAGACATGAAACGCAAAGGACCATAGACCGGAGAGACCTGTTCCTTGAATAGAAAGGAATCGTCAAGAGCATTTTCGGAAGATCATTTCAGAGGAAAATTCAGGGTCTTTGTCCTCGAGGCCGTCCACTCGTCAAGCTAGTCCTCATACAGCGCGTGTTGACGCCGGGCACGTTCGTGGGCGACGATACGGAAGATGAGCGAAACAAGTACTCCTTTCCAGCTCGAGTGCAGGACAGACTGCATGCCTTGGGCATCGTTTCAGGCACGAAAAGGCGGAAGGCTGAGATGAGAAATCTTGCGATACAGTCACATGTAGTAGAGCATATTATTTAAAATATTCAACCTTTACTAACTGATGACATCCTTTGCGCGGCGGCAGGCACGCGATTTGGCTCCCGTTGTGGTTGGCATTCTGGGTTGTCTCTTCTTTGAATCTACAGTTCTGAATTCACTTTTGTCAACGGCCATTGGGATTACAATATGGCAAACCAGGCCATTGAAAAGCATTGAGGGACTGTACAAAAATTGAAATTGCGTGCTGCAGATGTTCTAACTTCTAGGACAGCGCGTTCGGTTTCGAAAGTCGCCTCGCCAATAACTCGTCGACTACCCTCCATGCGGAATCGTGCGTTCCATCGTGTTTGGTTACTGGAGCGTCGGGTCCTGCGTATTGGAGGTCCGCCTGTGTCCTCTTCCGTTTCAAACCCGGACCGAGGCCCTGCCAACTCGACGCAATCACCTTTTGCCTTCCCTCTTTCAGTGCGTCGTCCTCTGGAGGCCGCTCCCACATCGTGGTGACCAGCAAGATAGGGACATCGGTCTTGAATATTTCCGAGAATTTGCGGTACTGCGGTAGCGGGGGGTCTGGCATCCTGTTGTCGCTGATTCTGTAAAGATATAGAATTCCAGCTAGCTTAATACGCCGTTTATCCAGGCTGAGATTTCGAATAGACTGTCAGCATCATTTAGTAGATTCCGAAAGATGGATCATCTCACACGTCCTCCTTCCACTTGTATATCAGCTTCTCCGCACGCTCTTGCCCCTTCAAGTCGTCAGCGCCAATAGGCGGGGTGTCGACGAACACGACGCCTCGGGCATCTCCCCCGTCGTCACTGCCTGGAAAATTGCATCTTACATGTGCCACGGCGGTAGTGCAGGGCTTAAGAAGTTTATGGACCGCAAGCAAATTTCTCTGCGTCGCAGTGTTGATAAACTAAAATATTGACGGAATATTAGCGCTCGGAAGATTCAGAGGGCGATGGACTTGCCGTGCTTTTGCCAGTTCCTGTCTGACCTATCAATCTGGATACGAGAAATAATAGTGTCAGATAATGATTATTGACTAGTACTGGGGAGGACGTACAGAATAACGATATCATCGTTCTTGATGTCGGTTTCGTGCACGGACTTCCAGTTGATGAGCTTCCTCCAGTCAGGCATGATGTGAGACGAAGGGCCTTTGGGAGAGTTGAAGCGTCCGAGTCTGTAGGTATGCTTGCTGCTGGTGAGTATGAAGCCTTACGAGCGACATCTCTGGTGCGGTGAAATGAAGGCTAGTGGAAATGCTTCTACCTGCAGGACATGTTGATCATCGGCGATAGATGGGTCGTATGACTGACCACAATTCGATCGCGATAGTGATTCAATGAAGGGGTACTCATAATTCAGAAAATATATTACGGAAAACTCTGTACTCTATTTACGAGATGTTTCCGACTATCTCGTTCACATGTATTATTATATTTCACTCCAGGCCTTCTACTTCGCTGCGGCCAGTAGCTGATCGAGTATCCTCAGGGCCGACGACTGGGTGTTATCATGACGTTCGACCACTGATTCACCCACGTTGTCCTTCCAGTCCTCTGTTAATTGGTTTAATCGCAGTTCGGCAACGCGCAAAGCCTTTTCTTTCTGCTCTGCAGAAATGTTGGGCCGACTCCAGTGATCCCACATCGTTGTAACAAGAAGCACAGGCGTGTCAACTCCACCGGCTAGTCCTCCCTTGAACTTCTTGTAAGTTTCCCCCGGTGGCGTTGTGACCCGGTTGTCCGTGATCCTGTGAAGGTATAGAATGCCGCTGATCTTGGCCTTCCTCCTGAAGTCAGGGGTGGTCGAAGTAGTTGTGAGAAATGACGAAGTCCAGGCTGCAGACACGACTGACTTCTTTTTCATCCAATCCTTGATCTTATACTCATTCGTCGGCATCTGTTCGTCTGGATATGCTGGAGTATCGACAAGGACGATGCTCCGCTTGGAGACCGGATCCTTGCAACGCACGGTGCTGATATCTCGTGTACCAGCAGAAAGGGATTTCTGTGCGTCAAGCAGTGTCCTCTGTGCGGCCATGTTGATAAACTGCCAGGCTCCCAGTAAGAACAACCGGCTCGTTGGAATTTCAGAGAGACAAACAGTAGTTTTTCCCACTCCGGGTGGGCCAATAATACTATTACTTTCAATGGGAAGCTTCTTCCAATCGGCAGATAAATGACGTACAGGATAACCACATCCGACGAGCGGAGACTATCAATGGGGATGATTTTTGAGAGAAAGTCTTTGAAGAAGCCCATTGTCGTTTCGGGACCAGTGGGAGAGCGTCAGGACGTCAGTTTTACCGAAGTGGTTTGTTAAAGAATGTGGGATGCCTTGGACTGCCTTCCCGTGAACAGCTGAGTCAACATGAGGTCTCCACGTGGTCGGTGGAAGAGGGCAACATTGAGGGTTTCACGCACCTTGGACCTCCCTGTGTCCTGCAGCAGTTCATTTCCGATGTGAGGGAAGCTATAAGCTTGAATTCACTGTGTTTACATTAGTTTTCGATCAAGGAGTGCCCATACCTTGGGAGGCCATTCCCGTCTAGAAGCATTGCCCATCAGATCGAAGGTATTTTGAGTTCAGTGTACAAGAAAAGAACATTGAGCAATCAGCTTACTCAGATTTACCTCTCGTCTTACTGTCGACGAAGGATGAGTCCAAGCATGAGGGTTCTTGAAATAAGCGGCGCCAAACGTCGGAACCCTGATGGTCTTACGTAATGTATGCAGCGCCATACTGGACAAAAATACAGATTTACGTTTTTTCCTCATAAGTCCCTCTCCAATCTGTCAGATTCAGGCGGAATCCATCCAATACGGTCCCAATCCGCAGGAAACACACCGATTAGACCCGCTTCGTTCGCCACCCAAAAAAAAAAACCAAAACCCCTCCTGATCTGCAACACATCGCCCTGATTCCGACCGATTCCGACCAAAACCATAATTTTTTTTTAGATCGCAAGGTCCCAAACGGTCGGATTCGGGACGAATCCGACCGCACACGAGGGAAAAAAATCACTAGATGTTTCTTAAAAAAAGAATTGAGGAGGGATCCGTACGAATCGTCCCGAATCGTCCTGCGCGGCCAGATTCCTCCCGTATCGGAACGATGGGTCATAAAAAAAGGGAGGGTCGATCTGGCCGAATCGAGCAGAGACGGTGCGAAGATGGCGGATCCGGGAGGATAGCGTCGGTCTCGGGACGAAACTGGCAGATTTGGTCAGATTTGGTCAGGCTCTGGCCTAAATTAGGGTTTCTCATAAAAAAAAACTTCAATCGTGTATTTTTGTCCAGAACGGACCGTCATAGCAATGACAGCTAGCTTTACACCGAAAATTCTGCGTGCTGGGCAGTAAGTCACCCTAAATTTTGTCTCGAATACTCCATAAATATGTACATCCTTTAGAAACTAGAAGAGAGTAGGGGAAAGAGGCGGGTTGGCTTTCTTGACCAAGTTAACGACGTAGTCATTGAACCACGAGCCGGCCTCGGGGGCAGGCACATGGGCAACGGGGCTCTGGCACATGGCGTCGAACCGTGTAGCGTTGACGTCGGAAGTACCGTCCGACTCTCCTCCAGGCCAGCC